ATATATATATATATTATATTATTACAACAACAACAAAATTACTAATGTAATATTTTATGTAAATAAATACATACCCCAAGTCAGATCATGATAAAATTTCAAAAATCCCATATTCCTTTCAATATCAACATTACTCCAAGGCTCATCTATTTCCACAACAGATTTTCTTTTTGCTAGAATTATATAAAATAAATTTTCACAATTATTGAGGATGTACCAAATATGGTTTTTTTTTGCCTAGCACCAAATAATTCTTGTTTTTCCTGACTACCAAATAACTAATATTCAACCAAATATTCCAAATAAATACTACCAATTTATTTGGAACTACATGACACAAAAGGCTTAAAGCAAAGCGAATGATATGTCTTCTAATTAATAATAAAAATTATACAAGTTTTTATTTTTAACAAATTATTATTCATTAGATGATAAAAAGTAAAAAATTAAGTATTGCAATTGAGGCACATCATTTTTGTGCTTGGCAAAGCTGGATGTATTTATGATGACCAGCAAAATCACTCATTTCCTACAAATACATTATTGTTCCTTCATTACAACTTATTACCCTTGAATTATGATTATTAATAAAAATTATTTGATCAAAATAATTTATAAAACTTATATTTGTTTCAAAAATAAATAAATAACAATATTTTTAAATATCTGAGCTTCAGCATGTTCTTTTCATTCTATTTTGTGTTTTATCTTAATTTATTTTCTCTCTCCTCCTCTCGAAAATGAGTTTATATGATTAAACAGTTTGACTTTGAGGAAGTATGTGTTTAATACTTGACCAAATACCAAATTAATAAAGTGAAATCAATAACTTTAACAATATATACATTTTTAATTAGTAAAATGTTGCTCATTAACTGTTTAAAAATCAACAGCTTAAAAAAAATTATTTTTTATAAGCTATTGACTTTTAAACAGTTTGATTAAAATAATTTTTTTAAAGATTTCAGTCATCAATTACATTTTGTTAAAAAAATTTTGCTGTATATTTAATTATGAGCAGATCAATAGTACAGTTATCATAATTATAAAAATATACCAAAAAATCCACTAAAAATATATATTTTTTTATTCTTAAGAACAACTCAAAATTTCAATACATAGCAAATCTGCTTTTTTCAGAGTCCAAACAATACAAAGTTCCATAATGTAATTACCAAGTATCCTTCGACTTTGCATGTCTACCTTCATATCCTGTGAAGATGGATAGTCTGAAAATGCATGGAATTACACTATGAAACAGCATGTTGTTCAGACTTCAAAAAAGCAGAATTGGTTTTTAGTTTCTTTATTGTATTTTATAATTTATGAAATATAAATTATAAATTAACACTAAATAAAATTCACTACTTCGGTTTGTACAGTATATATAAAATATAATTGTATAATTGCAATCATCAAACAAGTTTATATTAAAAGCACAATTTTTTAACAAAGACCATATCTAACTATTGAATATTTGATCTTAAATCAAAATATTTCATTTAAACAAATGCAGGAGACTAATGGATTATGTTATTATATTATGGATTATAGTTGAATTGCTTATTTTTTTAAAATTTAATAACAGAGCTAATGAGGAAATCATAAGAATTTAATGCCAAAAAATGGAAAAGATTATTATTGAAATTTATTGAAACAAAATCAAGCTTTATTGTATTTTTATTCATAAATTTAAAAAATCAAAAGTCTATTTTTCAAAAATTCCAAATTAAATTTTTAAAATTAATTTTTGGGTAAAATTACAAAAGTAAGAATTTGATTAATTTATAATTAAAGAATTTTAGTAATTACAACAACAAGTAAATCATCACAAAACTAATTGAATAATTATTGACAGTAAGTTGACATCAAAAACGTCCCTCAAAAATAATAAAGCCAGCTTAGAAATAAAATTATATATTGTTAGTATCAATATAATATATACCATCACTATAATTCTCATCTATGAAGAAGACACTGCCTAACAACAGGAAGTGATATGACATTGCTTGGAAAGTGTAGATAGATAGTTTTTTATTTTGTTTCTAAAGTTTGTTCATCAAATATGACTGGTTACTCATGTCCAATGGTTTAACCTTACCTGTGTTATATTTTTTAAAAATTTACAAAATTTAAGAAAATTTTTAAATAGACAATACAAAAAAATATTTCTTCTTACTTGTCCTTTCACTCAGATGAGTAGCCTGAAATAAAAGATCATGAAACTGTTATTTTCCTCATGTGCATGTGAAAGGACAAGTGAGAAGACACATTTTTTGTATTGTCTATTTAAGAATTTTTCTTAAATTTTTAAAAAATTTTTGTCCTGGCAATTTTTTATCAAATGTGTTGCATTTCTTTTGGCAAAATGCTTATGGCAAAAGAAATATAGGATTTACAAAGAAAATATTAGTCTAACACACAATATTTATGTATTACATTAATATTTTCTTTGTAAATCCTAAGCAGGTTTTCTTTAATTTTTAAGTAAGTGTGAACTAAAAGGCTTACCAAGACAGTTCAGACCGTTACTTCACACCTTTTAGCCCAAAACGCACAATGTTAAAATTCAATTGCTAGAGTACTAATCTGATACTGGCCATATGAGACTATTTTGACTAACAATAGAGCATGCAAGCTTTGATATCCTGGATTTTCAGAAGTTTTAGTACACTTCTACTAATGCATGATAACTCATGTTAATGAGCAGTGGTTTACAAGAAATCATTGTTTAAACTTTTTCATATGCATTGCATTATACAGCAAGTTCTATAAGTGAATTGTAATGAATAGGCAAGGACCAGCAATTAAAGCACCACATTAAAAAGTTCAATGATGTGGGTTCATCCTGTTTTTTTCCAACTTCATTCCAAAATTTTTTCTGACGTACAGGAAAAGTATTTGTTTACTATTCAAAGTTGTTAGTTAAAAAATATGTGAATGATTTTAATAATTACAAAAAAGTATTTTTGGGCCAAATATAATTCTCTAATAATTCATTGAAATACACACTTCAGAAAAAACTGAAACAAAAGTTGGAAAAAAAATGTCAAATCTGCATCAACAACCTTTTCAACTTAGTGCCTTACTCATTTACCCATGACTACTAATGATAATTTGTTTATAGAACTCCATATATAACCCACATGGAAAAGTTTAAACAATGATTTCTTGTAAATTGCTCATTGGCACAAGTTATGTTACCGTGCATTAGTGGAAGGGGTGTACTAAAATGCATGTCAAAGTTTGAATATCTTGTAATTGCTATTACATTCATATTGACCACAAGTGCTAAACTTGTGGTCAATATGAATGTAATGCAATAACTACAAACCAAAACTTCCTATATAAATTCAAATATTTTTTTATAGTAATTTAATTCGTGAATTATAGTATTAGCATTTTTAGAAAAAGAGATCAATTTTAGAATAAAATAAATTTTTTTAGAAGGAAATATAGAAAAAAATCTTTCTTTTCTTGTATTTTTCCTTCTAAAAAATAAGAAAAAGAGTGAATGTCATCTGTTAATAAATTGTCCTGTTTGAACAGTTTATGAAAATGAAACTTGCAACAATATTAAAGCAGTTTTTATGTGAAATACAGTTAGTAAGAAAAGTTTCTACCTCTGTAAGAACCTTCCTGCTCAGCACCAATAAGTTTGCCCCAGATATGTAATTTGCGTAATTCAATTAAAGCCTGAGGAAAATCTCTTAACGACACAGTAATTGAAGAAATATTTGCTTGAATCATTCTACACCACAGAGTACAAAATTCAATTTCTTCTTCTGGAAATGGACTACTGTAATTTAAAAAATTAATAATTTTAATATATATTTTTTTAAATATAAAAAAATGCTTTAATTAGTTATGTTTTTCGAGATTTGGATAAGTGAGGGTGAGGGTGAGGTTATCCNTCTAATTTCTAAATTTGTTTGATTTAGTATCTAAAGAGAATTTTAATATTTACAAAGTTGCCTGAATTCTAAGTGATGACTTAGTTTCTGAAGTCATGAAAACAAACTCCACAAACTTCTTATAACAACTAAAAATCAGAGAACAGCAACATTAAAGGGATTGAAAAGAGAAGCAAAGGAGTAGGAAGAAAATATAACAACAAAGAAGCATTTTTAACAAGAGTAAAACAGAAAGTCGTTAAACCTTGACAAAAGTCTTTTTCTGTTACTTTGATATAGATACATATATAAATGATAAATTTCAGTATATAATATGTTTTATTAATATAATTTTTTTTTAATTTCAAATTTTCTTATAATTGACAATATAGAAGTACCTGTCATCAATCTCTCTCATTGAAGTCAAAACCCTCTCTTTACCATGGTATGATAAATCAGCAACAAACATGATATCAATTTCATCCAGCTTCCACAACAACAAATTGGTCCTCTTTTTAGTATGCTGATAAAGTTGTTGTGATCGTTTTATGTAAATTTCTGCATTCTTCTTTGCAAAAGTTGCATATAACTCTTCTAATTTTGCAGCTGTAATGTATGAAAGGAAATAGTAATATAAAATATTATGTTCATCTAATTTTTAATATAAAGAAATCAATTTTTTTTAATCTTGACAATCTGCATCTCATAAATTATTAGGTATTAATCAATATAAAAAAAAACATAAAAAGAAAAAGATCAGATAAACATGCATTAACTAAAAGTAAGATAAAAGAGATTTCTGAATGACTTACTTTACAAACTGTATGCTTTTATTATTGGAAATGATTAATAATTTTGACTCAATTCTGCTTTATGAAGCTTTTTGACATTAAAGATCTCTCTGTTTAGCATTTTCAAACCTCTTGGTTCATTTTCAGGGCAATCATTTCTATTTAAATATTGCAAACTTTAAATATTGAAATAGAAATTATTGAAAATTGATAGATATGCGAAATCCGCAATTTTTACATAGATGTCGGGAACTTTTGTAAACAACTCCGATAGAAAAAACACTCTTGGTGAGAATTATATCTGAGGTCACCGTTTGTTTTCACCATTAGGTGGGAAAGTTGACACTTAGTTGATCGAAATGCACCGTCAACAGAAGTCGATCACGTGACTCCTTTCCCACGAAGAACGTATAAAAGCTCGAGCCCCCGGAAGCTCAGGGCAACCAAAGGAAGTTATACTTATTACTGTGAGCATCTTGTCTCCATACACCGGACATAGCGACTGAAGGACATTGCTATACGACAGAACTTTGAACTTCCTGCGCCAACTACAATTTCGACAGCCCATTCAATGAACGCATTTTAGTCATATCCTCATAGAGGTATTTGTATTTTAGAGCTTTGTGAACTCTCTCTCTCAGAATAGTCCTTACAGCTGTTAAGAGCAGCCCTTTGTATAGTTAACTCATATTTAACCCGACCCTCCACTTATCTCACAGATACCAAAAATTTCCATAAAGCAGAAGTCAATCAAAATTACAAAACAGTGATATAGTAATAAAATGTTAATTAGTAAAATCATATTCTGTGTTTCATTTAAACCAACAAAAACTTATAAGAATAAAATATTTTTTCATACTTATTACACTTAATTCTTGTTTTATGCAATGGATTAGTTCTAAGAAAGTCAAATGTAAACTAAGACTAAAATTCATATGAGAATTATTAAATCTTGAAAAAATATCCCTATATTTCCAACAAATTTTAGTCTCAGTTTACTTGATTTCAATTAACACAAACTTTCGCAGAACAATTCTATTACATTATATAAACTGAAAATTAGGTGTTTAAAAACAACAACAAGAAATTAACATCTATTAATTGAAACAATTTAAATTTCAAAAGCAAGTTAAGATTTGATTCTAGAATTGTATTTTATTATTTTGAATCAATTCTATTTTTTTAAATAAATTTCTTATAAATATTTTAACTATAGGAATAGGTATAACAATATTATTTCCTATATCTATTCCTATAGTTAAAATATTTGTAAAAAATATCAAAAGTAAATAATTTCAGTTAGAATCTGGGAAATCTATTTAGAACTACATAAGAATTAGCATACTTTATCTGTTAAATAGAAGTTTGTTACAATAAATGAAAAATAATATTTCAGTATTATTTAATAAATTCCTTTAAACTATGTATGCTTCTAATTTTGAAAACCCCTTTTAAAAATGTATGAATGTATATTCTCTTACTTCTTTCTTAATTCATAAACCAAATATTGGTACAATATTTTGTTTCAAATTTCAATTGTTTGACTTGTAGCAACTCAAGTAACTATGCTATTTTTGACACATTATTTTCTCACTAGTATAAATGCATTTCGAATTATATTTAGTAATTCCTCTTCCAATATACATATAAAAATGATACAAAACTTTTTAAAAAATTACAGTTGAGTCAACACCCCAAGGGAAGTGGAAATGTTTCAAGTTATCCGATATGATGACTAAAACAAAGTTGGGAAAAAAACACAAAATTACAATTAGGAAAATACGATAGTGCTTTATACAGTACATGCAATGTATCTCTCTGACCATCCCATCCATCACTGGCACAAAAGTTGGTTTATATTCAAAGTACCCCAGTTATTTCTATCACTTTTTGTTTCAGTATTGGCCCCAAAACAGGAGATTTGATGTACAAATTTGCTTTAGCCAATGTACCAGAGCATCTTCGACATATTTGTAAAGCAACTTTCTCTGGCATTTTCAAGAAAGCCACAACGAACACCCAAGAAAAAGTTTCTTAATTTCCTCTTTTTTCTTCAGGGTTCCCACCAATGTTGTTTGTGGAAGGTTTTTTTTTGTTTGCAAATTTGGCTTGTGAAGTTTTATTACATTCAAATTCAGATAAAAGTTCATATTTTTCCTTCAGCATAAGGATTGTTAGCTTTCAGATACTCATTTCTAATAGAAATGTAAAACATGTGCTACACATAATGCATGAATGAAAAGTGAGGAAATGCAAAATCAGATTCTGCTGTGACGTTGATATAGATTGCATATTTTTTTGTTTATCTGTTGTTATTTTATATATAAAAATACATAAAATGTTAAGGTATTTTTATTAATATGTATATATTAATAAATAAGTTGACTTCCCTCCTGAAAAAAATGAGTTCACACTGCACAGTAAGCTGTGCAGTGTGAACTCATTTTTTCGGGAGGAAAGTCAACTTATCAGACGTCTAAACTAGTGTGGGACAGACAAAGTATGTCGATTTATCCTTAGTTACAAATTAAATGGTGTCAAGTAAACCAGAGTTTTTTAACATTAATGCCTACATAAGTTGGCCTATATAAGTCATGTTTAATTGACAAGGAGTCCAAACACCACTTGATAGATACATCCACTACATAAATACTTGTAAGCATTACATTTTAATTTGTAATAGTCTGAATTGTACTTGTGTGTATATAATTTTTTAAAAGGTTTGTATTATTTTTATATGTATATTGAAGAGGAATTACTAAATATCATAATTAGAAAAGCATTTATACTAGTGAGAAAATAAATAATGTGTCAAAAATAGCATAGTTACTCAAGTTGCTGCGAGTCAGACAATTGAAATACAGAACAAAATATTGTACCAAAAATTTTGTTTACGAATTAAGAAAGAAGCAAGAAAATATAATCATACTCCAAATCCCTGTAAAATAATTAATGTATGAAGGTATATTCAATTTGAGAATCCCTTAAATTCAGAATAATAGAGACTGTACAGTACATTCTAATATGCATTCCCAAAGAAAATGCTGTCTTCATCTATCAATTACTAGAAATATCAGATATTAAATCACAGAATAACAACTTTACCAGGGAGAAGTAATTTCCGTTTTATTAATTTTTCAATCTTTTCGTCCAATATTCTTCGTCGCTTTAAGCTCTCGTGATATTCATCTTCTAACAACTAGAATAATAATAGAAATTTATAAGGTCATTAATGACATTTAGTATTTTCTTTTATTTTAAATTATTAAAAAATTCTATATTAAAATATCATAATTAATGCTTTTATTTCAACATCAATATTCAAACTTAAAATTATGTATAAATAATATTATTTTAAAACCTTTCAGTTTTAATGTTACACAGAAAGATGTGTTCTAAAGAATTACTTCATTTATGTAAATACTTGTTATAGTACGTATGTTAAAATAGTTTTCTAAATTCAACTCGAATAACTGTACCTGGATAATAATAATCATCATAATGTATGTAATTACATTGTTTTTAAAGTTTTTGTATTTTTTGTAGTTTCTGATTGTAAATACCTGATTTCTGATGTTCTCAAGAATAATTTAAGAAATTAAAAACTAAATTTACATTTTAAAAGTCTCTCTTTCCACATAATGACCATTTGTGGTTTTTTAGCAAATGGTTAATTAAGTAATGCAACTACAGAATATAAATTTATTATATAATATCAAAATATGCACAATACAGTAAAATTTCAATATAATGTTCCTCAAACTAATGATTTCCTCAACTTAATGATCATTCTCTTTGATCCCAAAGAAAAGCTTATATAATTGGGCTGCAATTTGAAAAAATTGTAGACCTATAAATTTCCACTGTCGTATGTCCATCCTTCCTTAATCTTAAGAACAGAGTTAGACAGACAAAAATCGAGACTAGATACGGAAAGCTTAACTACATACTAACTTCTGGTTAACTATATACAAACTTCCGGTTTGCATCAGAAGTCACATTATTTCAATTCAAAAGTTTTCCTCTGAAAGGAGTTAGTTAAAATGACCAGCATAACTCTATTGCTAACAGGAAAAGTATGATGTACAAGAGAAAGACACTACTGTACTAATTTGAGATGGAGAGCATATATTTTAAATAAAATAAATTAAAAATATGATTAGAAATTGCAGCCCGTCATTGTGACGATGTCACAATAAGATAATTGCATGTTATACACTTACTTTTCTCAAATAAACATTTTACTCAATTTATAATCATATTATTTGGTCCTAAAAGCAATTTTTGCAGTGATCTAATATTAAATTATGAATTTGGTAAAAATTTCTCCTCTGCTAAAGGAAATTTATAACAGGATTGAAATAGCTCTACAATCTAAAATGCTGACTCTCCATTTAGTGCAATTGCATTGCCATCACCTGATGATTCATAGAGAAGTGCAATCACAGCACTATATGCCTACACACTTCATGCAAAATGGAAAGCAATTTGCAATGAATTATGGAATTTTTTAATATGGCAGCAAATCCAAATGTCATTATTATAAGTATTGCATTTATTGATAGCAAAACAAAACAGAAATTAATAAAGAAAAAAAAATAAAAATAATGTTTTACTTGATCTGCTACTATTTAAAGCCATTTGTTTTCATACTTCTGTTTTTAACTTCTCGTTTTTAATTTGGGTCTTTTTTGTCATAAAGAAAGGATGACATCTGATATTCTCCAATAGTTTTTCAACAGCAATATCTGACCATCTAATATTTGCCATTTTTGTACATTTTTTAAATTTCTTGATTTAAAATTTATTTTTATCAGCCCCAGAGAATAGTTAGATTGAAATTTTAATATATACAAAAAATTATAGTGAAATTGAGTAACATTCTGTAAACTAATATTTTCTGGCTAATTAAATATATTCAGTATAAATCTATAAATACAGAACTTCATGCAACATCAATAATCTGGTCACTGAAAATCAGACATTCTGTAAGAAAATATTAATCAGGAGCTTATTTCTCATTATTTTAAGCAAGAAGAATTATAATGCATTATGTCAATCCAAACTCCCAACTAATTTCCAAAACATAACTTCTATACACAGGACTGACAAGAGCTATAGGTGCACTAGACAGTCAGTCACCCAGATGCAAAAATTTATAGGTACTACAGCCAACTTCAGTTAAAGGAAAATATTTATCAATTATTTTAATTAGACTTATATATATAAATGAAGAGCTGTTATATGTAGGAGGGATGGCTATTCAATGCACAAAACATCTAGTACAAATGAAGAGGATGTCAAAAATCCTTGGGCCAGCCCTGTCTACACCTAAGTTACAAACTCTCATGTTAGGATATAAAACATTTAATGCATTGCTTTCTGAACACCAAACAGTTAATATATGTAAGTTGTTTAGCAAAAAAAAGTTGTTTTGTATGAAATAAAATGTAAAGGCTGCATGACATACTGCAAACATTACAATCATAACATAGCAGGGCAAAAATACTTTTCTGCCAGTAAAACATTAAGTGAGAAGATACTAAGTAGGAGATACCAGTATATAAAACAGAAAATTTCTGTCCAGAAATTGTGATGTATGTTAAAGTATAGCTATTTAATGTCGATAATGATAACATATGTGATAATACATCATAAACTGCAGGAAATTGTTATAAAATAAGAAAAATATAGATAGAAGATGAATATGTAATAAAATTATAGCATAACATCTAGTGAATTAAGTTGTTTAGTATCTATAACTATACATTATTCTTTATAAAAACATTACTATAAATGTTCACATTTATGTAATTACACATTTCATTACATTGTAATATTACTAATAAAACTGAATGCAATATTAAAGATAACATTTTAAACTATAGATCAGAATTCTTTCATAAAATAATGAAATAAAACATCTCACTTCAAAATTATCTCTTAATTTCACTTCGAACGGATCATCTTCAATTTCCATAGAAAATGCCTGTAAATTTTTTAATATTGAAATTATTAATAAAAGCTGTTAAATTTTATGATTAAATTCTAAATGTTGTTATTAAATTTCACTTTACAATAAGTAATTATTTTGTAACTTTTTGTTTATTCATATAAAATGTGTAAAGTTATTTACTGTTAAATGAAATAATTATCTCAATACCAATTGGTGGAGAAGGCTTATTAAACTGTAATGGATTTGTTATTAAGGTATTTTGTTTTGTTATGATTTTTATTTTATTTTTACTTTATTACTTTTTTAAAAAATTACTAAGATTAACAAATTTATTTTGATGTTCAAAAACAATTAAGAAATGTTAGTCATAAAAATAATTCTTATTAATAATGTTTGATAGTTTGTAAAGTATGTTTTATTAATGTAGATAATTCTGAGAACAATTTACAATATTAAAGTTTTGATTACTGTAAGACAAAAAAAATCAGTTTTGAAAAGAAATTTAAATGTCTTAGATCTTAAATAAATATCAATAGAAGTTAAATTCAGAAAAACCTTAATTTTGATGGAGACATCGGCAGGTAATGGTGAACTTAAGGTAAATGCTTTCTTTTCTCTCTTATGAATTAATTTCAGCCATTTAATAATGCTGACTGCCTGAAAAATTAAATTAAATTAATTAGTTTTTTATTTTAAAAAAATTTATGCATTGCTTTAAAAGTTATCATATTACAAACATTTATTTAATTTAAATCCATACAAGTTTAATAAAGTTTTTGTATAAATGCATGTCAGTTATAATACTATGATCTATTTAAAAACAATTTAAACTAATAAATCCTAAGTCCATGCTAAAGCTGCAGGCCTCTGCTTTATAGTGAAAATAAAAAATTATATGTTCAGTATAATTTTTTATACTGAACATATAATTTTATAATAGTTTAGATGAATTTCTTTAAAGTAAATCTAAAAACTAAAATAACAATAAATCTGAAAGTAACATTTACTTTAGAACACACATACTTGTTCTTAACAGGAGTGAAGAAAGATAAAATTATAAATGCATTTCATTTTTAAATTTGCTAAAGAAGCATTTATAACATAATTTTCTTTTTTACTTATGCTCTTGTGTCCAGAAATTACTATTTGTAGTATAAAATGTAAAATAATTAATTAGAAGTAAATTTTATATTGAAAACATCTACCAGATATTACACTGAATGTTCTTATCAATTTTTTGCCTAAGAATTTAATAATGCCATGTATTTTGATCTTCAGATTTTCAGCTCAAAATTCTGATTTATACTTATGTCCACCAATAAATCAACTCCAAACATGTGGTGGGCTACCAGTAAATTAAAACTGAAATAGGGACACAGTACAGAGTAATTTAAGGACTTCATTTTCATTGCCAGCCTGAATCACAGTAAGTGGTGCACAGCAAATGTGAAAAGTGCCAGTACAGTTATTTATCAATCTGTGGTAAAGGTTTGCATTTTATACCTACCATGTAAATTGACCCTTAGTTTTGGATAAAGACTTTTCAGTCTTAAAGATCAATTTACAGATATATATGATAATTTCAAACTTTTCCCTACAATCATAAACAACAATGGTTACGTCAGTATTTAATGATGGGCACTAACTATATAAAAAGTAGTTTAGTAGTATAAAAGGCAATGTAATTTAATTACTATTTAACTATGTAGTTACTTTGTTTTTTATAAAATTAGTTGGAACTACTAGTTAACTACATTTAAACTACTCAGAAATAGAAAAAAAAACATTAGAATGGATTAAAATAATTCTGTTTTCATCTCATTATTTAACATTTCTCAGAATGCATGTTTCTCAAATTATTCATATGACATTAAGCACTGAATAGATATTAAAATTTTCCCTGATAAGAAAAACAAATGTTTCCAGTGCAGCACTATTGGCAACGATAGTTTTATTCCAAAACTGCAAACTTTAGATGCTGATAATTGTGTAACACACTCAAACTATTATTACTGTTTTCTAAATTTCTGATTTTACATCAAAATTCCTGCTCACTATTTTAATTGAAGAAGTAAAGAAATAAGTAATAACTTGATGCAAGAACTAAACAAAATATAAATATATTTACATACTTAAGTGACGTACAGTTTTCTTATACATGTACTGTACATGGCAAAAACATAGCAAAACCTAATTGCTTAATTTGTTTAAATTTAACTCTTATCAACTGGATAATATAAAAATTTTAATTGCCCTATAATTGCTCAAAAATGAATAGAAAAATTGAACTAAATGTGTTGAATTTATCTTCATAAAAATTAAGATGCAATCACTCTGCTTAATAAATTATGCCAAAAAAACATTATAGTGAATTAAAATAAAAATTAGCTAGAATAGTTAAAACTAAGTAACTAGTTTAATCTAAACTAATTTAACTAGTAGTTTAATAACAGAATTGAAACAGTAATTGTAATCAATAGTTAACTATATTGAGAGTTGATAACAATATAGTTTAATTGCAATAGTAGTTAACTACTTTCCATCTCTAGCCAATAATATGTCAAACATATCAAATACGATGATACTTAATACTTTGAATGACTGATTTTGAACATTTCAGAGTTCAAATGTTAAATTTGACACAACTTTATCTTAGAGTTCAAACAATGCTTCAAAGTTTAAATTGTGTGTGCAGTGAAAAAATGTGCACACAATTATAAATTTAAATGATCTGTTGTTTACACAAGTAGTCATTCACTCTCACATTATGTTTATATATTGTTGGTTTTTTTTTTTTAATTTTAATTTTGCTATGTTTGGTTATATATATGTGTGTATGTATATATACATATATATATTTTAAAGAATTTCTTCCTACAATTATATTTTTCATCAACAGCTTTTGGGCATCCCATATGTTTTCTATCCCTTAACTTAAAATTTTCCAAATGGAACTTTTTAAACCATATTTGACATGTTTAAAGTTTATGAGTATCTTCTCTTACTGAGTATTAATGCAAAAAGTAATAATTTTATACCAATAAAAATTAAATAAGAAAAATCCGATAAAAATATAATTTTGATAATTAAATGTAAAAAAAAAGTGTGTTATAAAAAAAATTGTGTCATAAAAGATTGAAATGTTACATTTCAATCTTTTCTGACACAATTTAAAATATGTAAAGGTAAAAATAAAAATACACAGAAATAGAGATAAAGTACACATAATGTACAGGAAAAAGAACTAAAAAAGAAGGAATGTAAATTAACAATACATTGAATCAAATTCAAGGAAATAATTGGAAATATCTTATGAAACTTCAAGTAAATGAATATTGTTCTACTGGTTATATTATATTTTTGTCAAATGTTAAAAATAAAATCACAGGAGTTATTAAAAATAGAAATTAAAATTGAAATCTGAATAGACAAGAATATTGCTCATCTGGAAGAAAAGTGACAGATCTCAATAAACCAATTATTTTTGTTTTTGAATAAAATGAGTTGAAAATAGCTAAATTTTTAGCTAAAAAAGTGTCACAGGTCATGTTACAGAAATAACTGGTAAATGACATAAATATATATGAATGATATTAATTGAATATTATAACATTAGTTTTAAATTTCTTCAGAAAATTTTTTTGAGTTGTCACTTTTCTTCTGGATGAGTGATATAAACACTTAACATGTAAAGAAGTCTGAAAATTTAGTCTAAGATAAATAATTTTGGAACCAGTTTATTCTTCCATCAGATCTTCAACAGATTGACAAAATTCAGAATTTAGATGTCCAAGAATGTTCAGTGATATAAAAAGTTTGAATATTATTACATGTACTGGCAAAACTCTTCATTGTGTTATGTGCAGACATTTAAATTGAAATAAAAGTTTTAAAAAAATTCTACTGACATTCTTATCAGTTTGTGTTTGATAATACATTTGACAGTATTTACTAATTTTTAAAGATTATTTTAATATGTCAGCCAACTGATACCTGTTCACTACAAGCTTCAGCAAATTTATACTGATATGGAAATGTTGCTTTTCCTTCATCAATATGTAAATTCCTGTAAATAAAAAGATATCAAAGTTAGTAAAAACTTTTATATTAATTTTTCTAAAATTTAAGTTCTAAATCTCTACAATTATAATTTTTTTAAATTTTTACTGTATTATTATTGTAGCAGTTTGAGAGAAATTTAAATTATAATCATTATGCTTTAACAAATACAAAAAGATATAGTTGGTAATTGGTTAATAAACAAATCGGATAATGAACACTTTCATGAAAGATTTTTACGATCGGACAACGAACACATGTTCGGATAACGAACACTTCACTGAACAAATACAAGAAGAAGCAACGTAAAATAACAAATACCGATTGGTCTTCCTTTGTCTTCATGCAACAATTCGAAACTTTTTGGAGTGCGGGAGATGTCAACATCGACGTTCTACCCAGTATATACTGATCAGATAGTATTCCCCCAAACTTTGAAACTCTCCCTTGTAATTCCAGCCTTTTATATTTCTGACAGAAACAATTTTTTTACGTTTTCTTCTGAAAATGTGGATTTATGCGATATCTGCTATTAAAGATCTTTGAAGAAGTGGGAGGATGTCAGAACAACAGTCTTAAAATGGCATCCAAACCAGGTTGAGGTTAATAGGACTAGGGATCTCTACAATTACAATGCTATTAATTACTTCTGAAAAATCATGAAGAAGACAGAAAAGCAATTGACATTGTACANATTTGAGAGTTACCACGTCTTCTATTTACCAATTAAAAAAATTTTTGAGCAGATTTGTTTTTCTTACAAAATGTTACCTTTACAGATTTCTAGCTCTGCACACTGTAGATAAATCTAGAAATACAGTTTTGTATATCATAATAATATTAGTCGTTGCCAGAGAGCTCTATAGAGAAAAAAATCTATAAATTTCAAAACTATAAACATAAATTTAAATTTCTCAAAAAATAAACAAACAAAATTTCAAAAGTCGCTACTTTTGGCTGATTTGTCTGAGGTATCCGCTATCTCACTACGTCCCTCTAAAAGTTGCCATGGTTGGAAACACTGGTGAGCAGACATCTAGGGTTTAAATAAGGCAAAATGTAATTGCCAATAAAAAGGAGGAAAAATTTAAGATTTAAAACTATAATTTCTTGTGAACAGCAGTTTGGGCCCCCCTTCCAAGTGGGCCCTGTGCGAATGCACCTGTTGCACCTGCCTAGTTACGGCTCTGATTATAAGATCTGATCTTTTTAATATTATGTCAAGATTGGTTTAAATAATCTAAACTAAGATCATCCATATTGAAACTGGAGCCAATCAACCATCTTGTTTCTTTGCTAATCTACAGAATAAGTTTTAACTGTCCAAAATTGACCAGTTAACTTAGCTGACAGTTTATTCTAAAGATTTATACTTGTGCAAATTTTGTATATTAAAATGTATTTAATCTTGAGATTAAAACTCATGCTAGTGCTCATGCTATAATTACTGTAAAAATATTTGTATAATCAATGAAATTTTACCATTAAAACAAATGTTGTAATTTTATATTTTAGCATTAGTATAACTTATATTGAAGACTCCCATTATTTAATACAGATTAATTTAAAATTATTACATTATCTCATCAATAAAACCGGTCTTAAATGTTTAAAGTTTTTACTTTATTATATATAAAAATGATTAGAAACAAAACAATAAACAAAAATATTTTTATATAAAACCAAATTACTTTGTCTTCATAATCAAACTTGACAGTTCTGAAATTTAACACATAGTTCTTTATTTCTGAAGATTTTAGGCACTGAAAAGGCTGAAAAATAAATAAATGTACACATTAGTAATTTCTTTAACTAGATAAATATAACTTAAAGTTTAACAGTCAATAAGAATTGCTAAATTTAATGTCAACCTATATCTGTCTTACTAATGTTTATTTTCACTCTAACATATATATCCCATTCCCTGTAATCCTACTCAAGTACAGTTTTAAACTTGATGACATCTGTTTAAAATGGTCAAAATGTTTAATACTTAATTGCTTCTTGTTCTTTCTTTCGTTGTTTGGAAATAAGCACAAAATTGTGATGCAGAACTTATCACAAAGAAACACTATTTGATGAATAAAATAGACTTTATTTTGTACAACAGAAATGCCTAAAGGTTTTACGTGTTTTTCTACTTTTTTTAGCAAGTTTTTATTTTATGTTTTACAGTTTTACTAGTATTTACCCCTTTGTTTTAAATACTTTGTTACTCCAACAGTCACTTTTAAATATCAGTTTAGTTTTATCAATTTGTACAATAAGGACTGAAGAGGGGCAAACAGCCCAAAATGCATTTTTGTTGTACAAAATAAAGACTATTTTATGCATAAAATAGTGTACCTGTGTGATAAGATCTACATAGAAATTTTGTGCTTACTCCCAAAGATCAAAATGTTTGTTCACCAAAAGTTCTTTCTGAATTCTAAGGTTCTTATTTTTTTAGGTTTTTTTTTAAGCTAAATAAAATGTACATACAAAATGTTAAAATTAAAAAAGAATTAGTATTAAATATAAATAAATTAAAATTTTAATATATTAAAAATGAAATTTTAAAGAAATGCACAAAAATTGAATTTATTTTCTTTCATGAAACTGAATTGACTCCATTTTCTATGATTGTTTTTTAAAAACAAATCACAAGCATAACTATTGATGTATCTGTATTGCGCTGTACGGTACAGTACATTAAAGTAACAGTTCTATTTTTGTGTGCATTGAACGTTAATAAAATCAATATACTGCTAACTAGATTCTGGGAATATAAAGAAATGTGTTACAATAGAACTAGGTTGTATTAGGACAGTTTTATTCTTTAATCATAAGTTGTTAACTGAATAAATCTAGTTAGCTTAAGCAAAATTGAATTTATTTCGTGTATTTTTATTTAAATTTTCATTGAAATCCTACTGTTTATTATTATAGTTGATATTTTATCAGCTAAATAAATCACAGTATATAAAGAGAAAATAAAAATTAAATAATGATCTGCAGAATTAGTTGTGCTCAAATGCTTCTATTCAAATTAAATCATGATTTAAATAACAACTCTTCCTTTCAATAAATTCATTAATATTACAATTCTAATCCTACATTTGGATAAAGATCTACAGAAAATGTAACTTTTTCAATGGAAAATGATGGTAAATATTAGTGAATTGACAATTGCAACAATATTATAGTTTATTATATCTTAAGATAATAAAGTCAAACTATCCACTGTAAAGAAGTAACTAATACACTTTTAACAATGGTAAGGTTGGAAAAGAGCTAATGTTTTCAACCTAGTTAACAAGAATCATCTTATATCTGTTCACACTTGATGATGACCCACTAACTAACTAGTCAAAAACATTGTCATTTCTCAAACTTTACCTACTGTTAAAGATGTATTGTGTTACATCTTCATTTTTGAGCACATTATTTAAATATTTTGATTAAAAATTGTTGTCATTCTTACCTTTTTAGGTTGAATAAAATGTTGTACTTTTAATCCATCGAGCTCAAATTGCATTCTTAAAATTGATTTTTCTACAATGAAGGAATCTATTCTAAATGCCAGAACTGTTCCAGCATTACTAACAGCAAAGATGTCAGTGCTATTCAGTTTTAGTTCTACATTAGAAAAATGTATGGCAGAAGAGTTTTTTTCTTTTTCTCTCAGAATAATCTTATTGTCTAAACAACTGCTTGACTTTTTAAAATATAAAGATATTTCTTGAATGTTCTTTGATAGTGATGGAGACCATTCAAGCTTTGTTCTCTCCATTTTGCATTGAATGCTAAATGCAGATGCAGAATCATTCCAAACCTTTTAAAAATAATTAAGAATATATTTATTAAATAGTATATTAATAATTAGATTTATATTAATATATATTTAGATATAAATCTAAAATAACATTATTATTATTATTATTATTATGTTGAGTTTAGTAGGCTATACTCAGTTGACACTGGTTGCTGTGTACTATGCTGGACCAGAGTCAAAGCACAGCATGACAAAACAAGACAAAAATTAAATAAGTGTGTCAGTTTGTGTGTCTGTATTCAGGAATTTCCTAACAAAATGACATGTATTCAATATGGTGGCCTTAAGTATAGTTTTAGTCCTCTCCTTTATTCTTTGTTTCTTCTTCTTTCCAGAACTTTCCTTTCTAACACTTTTTCATTGGGTGGGGTGACCGATTCTTTGAACCATGGAGAACAATGAAAGAAAAGAGGCTCTGGGGCAAGTAAGATAAGGGAAGGACATTCTTTGGCCCAGATCTCAAGGTGGACAGATGTCGAATGTGGTGCTCCAGGTTGCAAATGGCAACGACTGGAGAATTTGAGAGTTTGAGAAGAGAATTGGAGAAACCTAGTAATTAGGTGCAAGGAGAAACCTAGTGATGATGACGACGATAGATTTTTCAGAAAAAGTTCAACATGACATCCCACCCAAAATTGTGAATTCCAGCAAATCCCAAGTATTTCACTCCTTACTGTACTGTATTTTCCTTGATTCTCTACTCCCTATCATCTTTTTTTCTTTCCCTAGTTTTAAGCTAGCGCACAAGTATTAGTCATAGTTTTTGGTTATCATTTATACTTGTTGTGAACGGTACATTTTGTCATTGTCTGCAGAAATATTGTTTGACACCGTATTGTAATAAATTACTGTGGAGTTGGAATCTAAAAAAAAAAACCTGTTCATATACACGAAATAAAGTACTTTGTTTGACCATACTTCACTTAGTGTTTTTGATACGTCTTTCCTTCATTGGTCTACGTATATTTCATGTGAACATCACATTATAATGTATGTGATTTTATTGTGTTTATCAACAAGTGTGATGTCTGACCTGTTATGGTAAATTCTTTTTTCTGTGATTGTGGCTCTGTCACAATACATTTTGTGTGTGTTGTTTTCCAATACTGTCTGTGGAATGTATTTGTAGTATGGTTCGTGGATGTCTAATAATTTGTGTTTCTTTGCAAGTTCTTGGTGTATTATATTTGCTACTTGATTATGTCTATGTAAATAATCTGCCTATGCCAAGAGCTTGCAACCAGCGGTGATGTGGTGTATAGTTTCTGGTATGATGTGAAATTTTCTGCATGTATCATTTGTGAATGTTATATTTTTGAGTAAATGTGTTACCAAGTTTCATCTATTTGCAAACTACAGTTACTGCAAATTCTCTCAGGGTCTATTATTAGTCTACTGTTATACATCAAAATATAATTTTGACTATATCTTAGCTGCAGAATTAATCATTTTATATGGCAATTTATGTCCATAAACAAATAATTCTCACACATATAAGTTGTTTTAAAAATACTGATATGATATAATTCAAAATGCTTGTTGTTTTCCAACAACGACCAATATTCTTGTATGCTCTGTTCGCAACACACTTTTATAATTAATGTTTAATAAGTTTTGATCAAATGAGGATTTCAAACAACCATAGAAATAAGAAACTGTGTCAATTTAACAGATTTTTCAATGCGAACATCCAATTATGTATAATTATCCATCATTAAACACAATTTATACAGTTTGTTATATGCTACTTTATCATGTTATCATGTAGTTTCAATAGTCTAATCCAAAAAAGAAACTATTGCTTTTATTATTAATACTGATATTCTAGAAACATCAATTCCAATTGCAACATATAAGCTAGAATTTTATGGTATATTTTATGGTTCTTGCTTTATATTTCAAAGATTTAAAGCAAGAACAATTTTCATTTTATTGTGATAAGTAATTGCCCATATAGGACAGCATAAAATAGTACAGATGAAATCATTGAGTAAAATAATTTCATATAAATATGAGGAGAATTAATATTAGCTTTTGAAAGAATAGGTCTAATAGAACCCAGTGCCATTTTAGCCTTACAAATACCATAATTTTTAGCCTGTAAAAACTGTCCAGATGACAAAAATAATTATTAAAAGACCATCTCTCTCTTGGTGATAGTCTACGATCTTTCTTAAACACCATCACTTTTGTCTTTGAGACATGTTAATCCATAGTCACAACAGAATTCCTCTAGGATTGTGATTTTCTTTTGTAACATTTGTGGAGTATCAACAAAAATTAGTGTCATCAACATACATTATTAGTATATGCAACTTGACCAGAGAGAAATCTCAGGTAGGTCAGATTTAGCAAGTTGCCCTATCAAAGCATTAACATAAATAAAAAAGCAGATTACCCAATGAACTTTTACATTTAAAACTATTAATTATTTGCCAAAATATTTTAGAGTTATTGCATGTCACCAATCTGCTATTTAAGTTCCAAAAATAAGACTGTTTTTTCTTTTGGCATTATAATTTATATTTTTATTAAATTTTANATACTTTCATTTTAAATTTAAAAGATTCACAATAATTGTGTATATTAAATAAATACAATAAATAAATAACAATAAAAATAACATAAATAAATAAAAACATAGTAAACAAGGCTAAATACAACTACTACAAGCTTTAAGGGTTTTTAAGTCCCATGCTTTTTTCTATTATATACTTCCACACTGTTGGAAGCGCATTAGCATCTCCTTGGCATTTAGGCAACAGTTTTTCATTTTACTTTTATATATTTCCATCTTTTCCATCTCCAATGCAATGGATGGAGAGTGGACCATCTTAAATGACTTTCACCTCATCCCATTTTACAATTGCTTCTTCTGTCTGTGCCATAATCACTAATATTGTGTTCTTGTGCTCTTTATCAACATTGTATTTGTGTTCTTGCAGACGTACCTCCAGGTTTCTTCTGATTACACCCACATAATCCTTTGCTACTCCTAACAGTTGATTTAAAAATGGTATTTTATAAACTCCAGCTTTCTCTTCCATTTTTACGCTGTCTTTATCGTTCCTTAGTAAGCTATAAATATTGAGTGCTCTTTTATAGACCATTCTTGAGTTTTTATAAGGAACCAATTCATTCGTCACTCCTCTTATATGATTATTGTATGTGAATTTGTTAATTGCATCTACTTTAGTATCTTTTTTGCCTTTATGTTCTCTGTAATTGCATCTACTTTACTATACTTTTGTATCTTTTTGCCTTTATGTTGTTGTTCTTTATGATAAAAATAAATTAAGAATAAAATTTAAAATTCTTCAATATATTTTTACAATTTAAATTACCGTCAGCTATTTTCTAATAAACTATTTGTTTTATGGTATTGTATCATCACCAGAAAACTTCATTAACCTATTTATTTTAATATCTTTTTACAGAGGCAAGTCTTAAATAAAAGGTCATCTCGGTAAGTAAAGTTTTGTGTAGTTTTGGTTTGTCAATGGTAACTGTGAAATGACAGATTGTGAAGACAATTTTTTTTTTGTTTTTGTATTCCTCAATATATTTTTACTATGTAAATTATCCTCAGCCATTTTTTTTAATGAAATAATGTAATAAAATCTTCACAAAAAATTTTATTATAAAATTTGAAAGCAGAAAATTTTGTGTTTCATTACTTTATATTCATATAAGGACTGAAATATATATAGCTTGAAGAATGACAATTTAATAAAGTAAAAATTACATTACAGATACTAAACATATCTTTGTTGTTTGCCATGTCCAATCACCAGGAACAACTATTCTTCACTGCAGAGATGACCTTTCTTTGTATTGCAGAGAGCATAAACATATCTTCATGGCAAGCAATGAAGATATGTTTAGTATCTGTAATGTAATTTTTACTTTATTAAATTGTAATTTCCGCCAGCCCTTTTTTACATTGAAGAATGACATTAAAATAAAAAAATAAATAGATGGATGGCTAAGGCAGTTAAGGTACTTGCTCTGGGAAACCCAGGATTGAATCTGAGCAGTCAAAAAAACCTTGGAAATTTTTTCATGGGTGGTCCATCCCAAATATATCAGGCCCACTCACCATCCAGTTGTCCCCATCTTGGGTGTGGCCAAATCCACAATGGATCCTCTTATTAACTATATCAGCAAGATGTAGCCTACATTTGACTGCATTTTTAAACATGATCATCAGATTAGAAACATAGTCCTTAAAGGAACCTTCAATTTGGGAAAAGGATGGAAGTCCAATGATGCCAAATCAAAACTATAGGTATAATAAAAAATATTCTGTGTTAAATGTTTAAAAGATTCAGAGCATTATCAGCATTACATGATAATTATTATCATACAGCAACAATATAATTGCTAGGACTACTAGCTGTTTCTTGCTTATATTATTTTGACTTTAATTCCTTATAGTGATAAGTATGTTAACAGACAAAGCATCTATGTTGGAAGAATAGATTCATATTGAAACTCGTCTGTTCTATGTTTCTATATTTTAACCCGTTTATTTTTCAAAATAAATGAATAGGAATCTTGTCGGCATCATATATCATTAATCAGTATGAGCATATAATCAAGCTAAGCTTTACTTAGGAAAAGAAGTGGCTTTGAGTTCTTGGTTAGCTTTACATAGGCATGTAAAGAACACTATAACCCATTCATATGTAGAAGTGAATTGGTCCAATGGAACCTTTATCTTTAACATCCATCCCAAACAAACATGACTTCCCATTAAATGGTAGAGGTTTGAATTTTGGTAAAGTCAGGACACCTGATTTAAATAAAAAATGGAGAGAGAAAGAGAAACATGGCATGACAAGTAGAAGTACTCCAGAATTATAAGTCATGTAGTGTTTGTACATATGTAACATGTAACATTTTTGCTGTAAAATAAATATACTTTGAAAGTATAGATTCTTGACTAGATTCACAATGTGTTTTCCAAAAGGTGGAGCTATGTGAACCCAACTCCTTTGGAAAGAGGACCAAAATTAGATAGCTTGGAAATAACAGATCACCTTCTAGATCCTCAAGAACAAAGTGGTGAGATGCACAAAAAAATCACAAAGTATTTTACAGAAATACAACCCTTAGCAAACAAATGCAAATATGCAAATTTGTGTGTTCAATCAACACCTAAATAACCTTACTTTTTGAAATTCCCTCTCAGATTTTTCTCCTAAATATTACAAAAAACTTTTTATTGTCATTTTAAATAATACCTTTTCACAATTCAGGATAAAAATAATGAAAAATTTACCAAGCTTTATTTTTCTGTAGCTCCAATTTTCCAAAATTTTCCCGATATATCACATTAGGTTCTTCTGCATCAAAAGATATTAAACTTAATTGCTGTAATTAATAAAGTAAAAAGATTATTCATTGATAAATATAATATTGAAATAATAACAAATAAAAATGTTACCTTAAAAATAAATATATCATAATCATTAAAACAAATATTGAGATTTTCAGCTTGAAAACTTGAACGATTGTGAAGAAAAGCTATTGATAAATCATTAGACGAAACAACTAACCTATAAAAAATTAAAATTTTAATATTTACTAAATTTATTGTTACATTACTTATTAAATAATGATCAATCATTTAACATAATAATTATTTTAATAATTTAAATGATAAACTTGAATTTAAAATTACACATTTTTTTCATTCTTCCTTTATTGTCTATTTTTAAATTTAATTAACATTTTTAATAAAATAATTTAGCTTTAACAGAATTTTAAACCAGAGTTTGTAACACTTTATTAGTCTGTTTAAACCAGTTTTAAACAGAGTTTGTAAACCAAAGATTTTGTGAACTTTACATTTAAATTTACCAAAATTAACTTCAGTTTCAAATGTGGGATATTTACCAAATTAATTGCTATTTAAAATTATATGAAATCCATTTAAAAAATTTTTAAAATATTTTATACAAAATAGCCATAAAGCCAGAATAGTCTGGATCAACAGAAATGTCATTTTAATGCGCTGCATTCATTACAGTTTTGTACAATACACTGATAATACCATGAATGGTTAATGAGAGAGAATGCATTGAACATATCATATATAGGGTGTTTTTTTTAAACTGACTGTACTCATCTGTAGAGCAATCTAACAGCGGGACTATTGCCAAATTTGGGAGAGTGACTAAGGACATCATGGGAAAGATTCCGCGAAGAAAAATAGTAGTACCCAAATTCGCCGGTAGAGGTGGATTTGGCGCTGTTGTAGCGAAGAATTTGCATAATGCACTGGTAACACCTCAAAATCCAAATTCAAAATGACATGGTCGACAGCAGTGCCACCTAATTTGGCTTAAAAGACAAGGACAAAAGTCCAAAGCTCATTCTGGACATCAGCAGAGTTCAACATGCATCTTTCGTTACCTCAGCGTGCGTTGCTTGTGAAACTTTAGTATCTTAACCAATTGAGTGCACCGGGCACTCTTCGTGAGTTTAGAACATGTAACAACCTGCGCAGAGGTCATCTATTAATTAATGCATTGAAAGACTTGATAAAGAAATTTGAAGAGATAGGATCCTTAGCAGTTCAGCTTGGTAGAGGGTGGAAACCAGTGTCTGCACAGACAGTTAGTGATGTTGTGACTGCACTCATTGAAGGTTCACAGGATAGTAGGTTGCTGGTAGTAGCAGCGCCCAGGGAGTGGCATGACAATTGGAAATGACACCTTCAATGGTATGGCAAGTTCTGCAAAAAGTTTTCAAGTTCTATCCATCCAAGATAAGCTGCCTGCAAGAATTAAAACCAAACGACCATGCTACACAGTTGACATTTGCTCTGACATTTCTTGCCAGGATGATGCTTGGCTGTGGATAATTCTTTGGGGAGATGAGGTCCATTTTTACCTAAATGAGGATGTGAACACTCAAAATTGTTGCATTTGGGCATCAGAACACCCCCAGGAGGTTGTGCAAATCCCATTGCATTCACCGAAACTCAGTGTTTGGTGTGGCTTTAGAGCATTAATTATTTTTAATGACACAATAAATATTTTTGTCATTCTGTACTCATAATTACTAGGAAGATAAACAATCAATTATATATACAGTATTATACACATAATGGAGTCTTTAAAAGAAGGAAATATTTTAAAATTTAACCTTTCAAAATACATAGCCATATTACTTCATTATTTTTGTAAAACAATTCTTTATATATGATAAATTGAGATATAATTGTAAATTCTTCCAAGCCACAGATGTAGCCATATGTACCAAATTATAAATACATTACATGCTTGTAAATCCAAATTAATAACCATATGAGATTGTTCATATTAGTGATGTTATATATAAAGGAAGGAAGTCACAAAGGGCTAAAGATAAATACTTATATTTAAACACATTTATAAATTTATTTTAAACTTTAGTATAAAAATATGTAGTAAAGTTAATTTTACAAATTTGTCATGTTTTTAAAAAATAATATATGATTTCTTTTTGTTTTCACTGGACCTTTCAGGGAAAATGAACAAAATTGCTTTAAATTAAATAAAATTTGGATAAGGGCAAGTTCAGATTAGCAAGAGTGCATTGTATAATCATTCACTTATCGTACAATAAACTTTAACATGCTTCATGTTTTCCATAACAGATTTTGAATTTAAAACATTGGAATGAAGAGTAGAATGCATTATAACAGTAACACAGTAGACACATGTAAAGGAATGTCTACAAGAAGTACTAATAGCATTTAAGTGTGGTAAATTGTTAAAGATAAATATAAATTAAACTTTAAAAAATTAAATGTCTGCAAATACTTTATAATGTTAGTGTAGTTTTTGTGTACAAAGAAATGAGATTTTGTACATTGTTATATTATCATTACACCAGGGGCATCTGCAGACATGGAAAACGGGGCCCTTGCCCTCCCTTGGTATCAAATGAAACATTCCACAATTTATAATTGTAAAAGTGACTAAAATATTTAACCTTACACCTTTGATCATAAAAACTTTGATGAAATATTGTATTCTATAACATACTTGTAAAAAAACCAAAAATTAAATAAATAAAAACTTATTGATGTAATTATTTGTCTCCAAACTTTGCTGAAAAATTTTCTGCTGACTCCCATGCATTACACAAAAAAATAAAAGTATTAATTATGCGTTGAATGCAATGTAAATCAAAAATTTTGTAAACTTCACATCTTAATAAAATTAACTTGAATCTTTTTAAAAGAACTTTAAGAATTTTTTCCTAATTTTAACATGTAAAATTATCAATTATAATATAAAAAGATTTTTAAAATTAAAAAAATATAAAATACAGTTAAATTTAACTGTTCCATACAATAAAATTACATAACTATCAAATTTCAAACTTTACCTATGAATTTTGGATAATTTGGCTTCTAATAACATTTCTCCATAGATTTTTATGCTTAAATTTAGCATTTTTTCATTACTTTGAGATTTTGATATTGTGTTTCCTGAAAAAATAAATAAATAAATGAATGAATTTTATAACATAAAAACTATAATTTCAAAATTAAAACCAAAAAATAATTTCAAATGAAAATGTTCAATAATTTTTTAGCATTTTTTAATTTAAAAAATATTTCATAATAATTTATGACAAATCATTTCAATCTCAACTGTATAGTTTAATAACATCTTTCAATACCAACTTTTATCAATAATTAATTATATCAGAATAAATAGAAAATTTAAATTACATTTTAAAAATGATATCATTACATCAGACCTGTTTATTATATAAAGAATTTCTAGAGAGTCAGTTTATCAAAAATTCTGCTGTTAATTCATAAATTCTATACTTTTAAAAATTTCAATAAGTTAATGTAATAGTTTTTTTTAATTCTTTAACTCTTTCTATCCTACAGGTACTAAGAAGGCTATTTATTCAAGTGTGGTTTTGTCAGGCCCTTATACAGTAAGGATCAGATGACAAAAGATTCGAATTGAACCATCCATAAAAATTTCCAAGACTGACAAAACTTAAGCATAATTTTCACTAGAAAGGTAGACCTTGATTAAAGAGCCTGGTGATAAGGCCTTTGTCACCTCGGCCATCCAACTGTTAATGTAATAATTTAAGAAACAAACTATTCTGTAACAAGGACAAATTTTATTTGACAAAAAATATCAAAATCTGCATGTTTCTTATGATTACATACTAAAAAGCATTTTGAAGAAAAATTTGAAAATTTGAAAATAATAAATATAAATGTAAAATTTATATGATTAAATTATTTCTACAGATAAATAAGATTTCTCTTTTCTCACCTATAAGTTTGGTTTTAAAATTCTTCATTTCTTCTATAATATGAAATATTGTCATATGGACAGTTGTGGACCAATTTATTTGAATGATTTTCAATAGTTGAATCTTTGTTTCCTATAAGATAAATAATATATTTATGGACAAACTGTACAATTTTCTTTTAAATTCTAAACACTTTAAAGTTTTCTACAAAAGATTAATTAATGTTGTTTATATTTTCTAAATAAAGTAATAAAGATACACAAATATTTCCATAAAAATTTATCATTTCTAGAGCAAAGCATGCAAAATATCATTTCTGATTAGCTTTTGAGAACTTGAAATATAGAAAGATCAAATGAAAAATGTATTTTCAAGTAGCTCTAACAATGCTGTATGAGTGAGTGATGCTTGTTATGCCCCATTATGCATTGTGCAAAACATTTAAATCCAATTATTTGATTTATTATGAATTGAAAGAATAACAATTCCAACTTCTTTTCTACATCATCAAGTCAACTCCTTGTATGTAAACTTATCATTTTATTGCCATGTATCCATGTGACATCCAACTTGAAATGTCTGATTATATTTATGTATTATTTTTATTTACTTAGTTAATAATTGCAATTTCTATACAAAAATCTACAAATGACTAAATGAATAATATATGAATACTGTTATAAATATGTATCATATAGATTATTCTTGAAATAAAAATTTCATTAGCAAGTAGTTTAGATTTAATAACAGACTTAATTTGTTTTAACTAACATATAAATTATTTTTAAATTCAATAAAATGAGGTCGTCCACCTTGACTCAAAGTAATAATGCTACAAAAGTGACAAAATCAGTCAGTTTGACTACTATATTTCATACACAAACCAAGGATGCTTTACATGAAGATCTGATAGAGGCAAATCAAGATTTAACAGAAATAAATGAATTTGATAAGATTATGTATTTTTGCATGAATTTGACTTTCAGTCAAGAAAGTGAAGATAATTCTCCTACAAAAAATTATTCAAATCAAAGAGATCATATACTAATAATTGGTTTGCAAAATTTTGTCACATGTTGGAAAGAAATAGAGTTTCTTATATTTTGTTGGATAACACAAAACAGGATTGGTTTTCTTGGATTAAATATTCTAAGGAATAGTATTTACAATAATCGAATTGCTTATGAAAACCAATCTATACAGAAAGCTAAATTTTGTAGTTGGTACTTCCTATCTGCCATCAAATGAATACATCCATTCTAATTTGCCATTTAAAGTCAAAAGGTTCTTTATGCAATTAAGACTAAACAGTTTATATAATATAATGTTAAAATCAAATTTTTTGAAATTAATCAATGCAAAATGTAGAATATGTCAAAAGCCAATATCAATTTTTCATATTCTTTGCAAATGTAGTAAATAGTGGTTATTAGAAAAAAACTTGATTTGTCTTACTTGGAAAATTATTCTTCAAAGAATGATCTATATCAATTGATTTACCAAGGCTCTTCAACATTTGTGTTAAAATTGTATAACTTCTTTATGAAATAATAGTGTATAAAGCAGGATAACTCTCCTGCAGTTCAGGAGTAGATATTACAATTAATGTTGTTGTAATTACTAAAAATAATAACTATACTATTAACTTACTAAGTCATTTGTTCTAGTAACACCCTTTGTAAGGGGTATAACATATAATACACAAATAAAAGAATTTGATTGATAAAAAACAAAATTATTTTTAAATTAACAGAACATAATCAACACAGAATTATATAACATATTCTATAAAAAAAAATTTGTATAAAGACTATACACAAATTATTTTTAGTGAATTTCGTCATTCTAGAAATCAGTAAGACAAATGACAATTTGGCTTCTTTAAAACTTTTATATAAATGAGTAAAAGTTACAAAGTATTTACAGTGGAACCCCGGTTAACAAACTTAATCCGTTCCGCGACTCTGTTCATTAACCAAAGCAATTTTTCCCATAGAAATTAATGCAAATGCAATTAATCCGTTCTAGTCTCTGAAATTTTTGTCATTTTATTTGTAATTTTCTTTGATGAAAATGTAGGAAAACGTAGTATCTATCATTACAGCAACAAACATGTAAACATTGTTTAATAAAATAGCACTGTACATACCTTAGTTTGTTGTAGTTGGTGGCAGAAAAGTGGAGATATACGAACCTTAATGCTTAGAAGGGGAATCCCTCCAAAAAAATAACGGGTAGCACTTCATCAGAAGATTCTTTGAGTCGAAGTCTCTTTCGGTAAAAAACCCACCAGTGGCCAAGTGGTTTTTGTACCTTGAACATGAGGAGTTCGTTCGTGGGTTCGCACCTCGCTCAGATGGGCTGGCCACTTGGCATTTTCGGGTTTTCTCCACATCTGTAATGCCTAAACATGGACCAGTTTCCCTTAAAAACACCTCCCAGAAGGCATTCCCCTAGGCAGATTGCCCAAGTGTTGCGTTGTCATAACTTAACAAACAAACAAACTCTTTCCGTAAGGAACAAGAAATTGATCTAAAGTTGATTGTTACTCTACTTACTTACTCTTTTAATCGAAATTTTTCTCAAATGCGATAGCGCATTGTCGTTTATATTGCGTTGTCATTTTCTATTGCCACTATGACTTTTTTCTTTCTTGAATGTCATATTGATTAAATATATAAATCACAAAACTGAAAAAAGAAGTATAGCACAAACACTTGGAAAAGCAATGTTTAACTCGCGCATGCCTAACACCAACTAAAATTTGACACAAAATACCGNTTTTTTTTTTGTTTTTGTATTCCTCAATATATTTTTACTATGTAAATTATCCTCAGCCATTTTTTTTAATGAAATAATGTAATAAAATCTTCACAAAAAATTTTATTATAAAATTTGAAAGCAGAAAATTTTGTGTTTCATTACTTTATATTCATATAAGGACTGAAATATATATAGCTTGAAGAATGACAATTTAATAAAGTAAAAATTACATTACAGATACTAAACATATCTTTGTTGTTTGCCATGTCCAATCACCAGGAACAACTATTCTTCACTGCAGAGATGACCTTTCTTTGTATTGCAGAGAGCATAAACATATCTTCATGGCAAGCAATGAAGATATGTTTAGTATCTGTAATGTAATTTTTACTTTATTAAATTGTAATTTCCGCCAGCCCTTTTTTACATTGAAGAATGACATTAAAATAAAAAAATAAATAGATGGATGGCTAAGGCAGTTAAGGTACTTGCTCTGGGAAACCCAGGATTGAATCTGAGCAGTCAAAAAAACCTTGGAAATTTTTTCATGGGTGGTCCATCCCAAATATATCAGGCCCACTCACCATCCAGTTGTCCCCATCTTGGGTGTGGCCAAATCCACAATGGATCCTCTTATTAACTATATCAGCAAGATGTAGCCTACATTTGACTGCATTTTTAAACATGATCATCAGATTAGAAACATAGTCCTTAAAGGAACCTTCAATTTGGGAAAAGGATGGAAGTCCAATGATGCCAAATCAAAACTATAGGTATAATAAAAAATATTCTGTGTTAAATGTTTAAAAGATTCAGAGCATTATCAGCATTACATGATAATTATTATCATACAGCAACAATATAATTGCTAGGACTACTAGCTGTTTCTTGCTTATATTATTTTGACTTTAATTCCTTATAGTGATAAGTATGTTAACAGACAAAGCATCTATGTTGGAAGAATAGATTCATATTGAAACTCGTCTGTTCTATGTTTCTATATTTTAACCCGTTTATTTTTCAAAATAAATGAATAGGAATCTTGTCGGCATCATATATCATTAATCAGTATGAGCATATAATCAAGCTAAGCTTTACTTAGGAAAAGAAGTGGCTTTGAGTTCTTGGTTAGCTTTACATAGGCATGTAAAGAACACTATAACCCATTCATATGTAGAAGTGAATTGGTCCAATGGAACCTTTATCTTTAACATCCATCCCAAACAAACATGACTTCCCATTAAATGGTAGAGGTTTGAATTTTGGTAAAGTCAGGACACCTGATTTAAATAAAAAATGGAGAGAGAAAGAGAAACATGGCATGACAAGTAGAAGTACTCCAGAATTATAAGTCATGTAGTGTTTGTACATATGTAACATGTAACATTTTTGCTGTAAAATAAATATACTTTGAAAGTATAGATTCTTGACTAGATTCACAATGTGTTTTCCAAAAGGTGGAGCTATGTGAACCCAACTCCTTTGGAAAGAGGACCAAAATTAGATAGCTTGGAAATAACAGATCACCTTCTAGATCCTCAAGAACAAAGTGGTGAGATGCACAAAAAAATCACAAAGTATTTTACAGAAATACAACCCTTAGCAAACAAATGCAAATATGCAAATTTGTGTGTTCAATCAACACCTAAATAACCTTACTTTTTGAAATTCCCTCTCAGATTTTTCTCCTAAATATTACAAAAAACTTTTTATTGTCATTTTAAATAATACCTTTTCACAATTCAGGATAAAAATAATGAAAAATTTACCAAGCTTTATTTTTCTGTAGCTCCAATTTTCCAAAATTTTCCCGATATATCACATTAGGTTCTTCTGCATCAAAAGATATTAAACTTAATTGCTGTAATTAATAAAGTAAAAAGATTATTCATTGATAAATATAATATTGAAATAATAACAAATAAAAATGTTACCTTAAAAATAAATATATCATAATCATTAAAACAAATATTGAGATTTTCAGCTTGAAAACTTGAACGATTGTGAAGAAAAGCTATTGATAAATCATTAGACGAAACAACTAACCTATAAAAAATTAAAATTTTAATATTTACTAAATTTATTGTTACATTACTTATTAAATAATGATCAATCATTTAACATAATAATTATTTTAATAATTTAAATGATAAACTTGAATTTAAAATTACACATTTTTTTCATTCTTCCTTTATTGTCTATTTTTAAATTTAATTAACATTTTTAATAAAATAATTTAGCTTTAACAGAATTTTAAACCAGAGTTTGTAACACTTTATTAGTCTGTTTAAACCAGTTTTAAACAGAGTTTGTAAACCAAAGATTTTGTGAACTTTACATTTAAATTTACCAAAATTAACTTCAGTTTCAAATGTGGGATATTTACCAAATTAATTGCTATTTAAAATTATATGAAATCCATTTAAAAAATTTTTAAAATATTTTATACAAAATAGCCATAAAGCCAGAATAGTCTGGATCAACAGAAATGTCATTTTAATGCGCTGCATTCATTACAGTTTTGTACAATACACTGATAATACCATGAATGGTTAATGAGAGAGAATGCATTGAACATATCATATATAGGGTGTTTTTTTTAAACTGACTGTACTCATCTGTAGAGCAATCTAACAGCGGGACTATTGCCAAATTTGGGAGAGTGACTAAGGACATCATGGGAAAGATTCCGCGAAGAAAAATAGTAGTACCCAAATTCGCCGGTAGAGGTGGATTTGGCGCTGTTGTAGCGAAGAATTTGCATAATGCACTGGTAACACCTCAAAATCCAAATTCAAAATGACATGGTCGACAGCAGTGCCACCTAATTTGGCTTAAAAGACAAGGACAAAAGTCCAAAGCTCATTCTGGACATCAGCAGAGTTCAACATGCATCTTTCGTTACCTCAGCGTGCGTTGCTTGTGAAACTTTAGTATCTTAACCAATTGAGTGCACCGGGCACTCTTCGTGAGTTTAGAACATGTAACAACCTGCGCAGAGGTCATCTATTAATTAATGCATTGAAAGACTTGATAAAGAAATTTGAAGAGATAGGATCCTTAGCAGTTCAGCTTGGTAGAGGGTGGAAACCAGTGTCTGCACAGACAGTTAGTGATGTTGTGACTGCACTCATTGAAGGTTCACAGGATAGTAGGTTGCTGGTAGTAGCAGCGCCCAGGGAGTGGCATGACAATTGGAAATGACACCTTCAATGGTATGGCAAGTTCTGCAAAAAGTTTTCAAGTTCTATCCATCCAAGATAAGCTGCCTGCAAGAATTAAAACCAAACGACCATGCTACACAGTTGACATTTGCTCTGACATTTCTTGCCAGGATGATGCTTGGCTGTGGATAATTCTTTGGGGAGATGAGGTCCATTTTTACCTAAATGAGGATGTGAACACTCAAAATTGTTGCATTTGGGCATCAGAACACCCCCAGGAGGTTGTGCAAATCCCATTGCATTCACCGAAACTCAGTGTTTGGTGTGGCTTTAGAGCATTAATTATTTTTAATGACACAATAAATATTTTTGTCATTCTGTACTCATAATTACTAGGAAGATAAACAATCAATTATATATACAGTATTATACACATAATGGAGTCTTTAAAAGAAGGAAATATTTTAAAATTTAACCTTTCAAAATACATAGCCATATTACTTCATTATTTTTGTAAAACAATTCTTTATATATGATAAATTGAGATATAATTGTAAATTCTTCCAAGCCACAGATGTAGCCATATGTACCAAATTATAAATACATTACATGCTTGTAAATCCAAATTAATAACCATATGAGATTGTTCATATTAGTGATGTTATATATAAAGGAAGGAAGTCACAAAGGGCTAAAGATAAATACTTATATTTAAACACATTTATAAATTTATTTTAAACTTTAGTATAAAAATATGTAGTAAAGTTAATTTTACAAATTTGTCATGTTTTTAAAAAATAATATATGATTTCTTTTTGTTTTCACTGGACCTTTCAGGGAAAATGAACAAAATTGCTTTAAATTAAATAAAATTTGGATAAGGGCAAGTTCAGATTAGCAAGAGTGCATTGTATAATCATTCACTTATCGTACAATAAACTTTAACATGCTTCATGTTTTCCATAACAGATTTTGAATTTAAAACATTGGAATGAAGAGTAGAATGCATTATAACAGTAACACAGTAGACACATGTAAAGGAATGTCTACAAGAAGTACTAATAGCATTTAAGTGTGGTAAATTGTTAAAGATAAATATAAATTAAACTTTAAAAAATTAAATGTCTGCAAATACTTTATAATGTTAGTGTAGTTTTTGTGTACAAAGAAATGAGATTTTGTACATTGTTATATTATCATTACACCAGGGGCATCTGCAGACATGGAAAACGGGGCCCTTGCCCTCCCTTGGTATCAAATGAAACATTCCACAATTTATAATTGTAAAAGTGACTAAAATATTTAACCTTACACCTTTGATCATAAAAACTTTGATGAAATATTGTATTCTATAACATACTTGTAAAAAAACCAAAAATTAAATAAATAAAAACTTATTGATGTAATTATTTGTCTCCAAACTTTGCTGAAAAATTTTCTGCTGACTCCCATGCATTACACAAAAAAATAAAAGTATTAATTATGCGTTGAATGCAATGTAAATCAAAAATTTTGTAAACTTCACATCTTAATAAAATTAACTTGAATCTTTTTAAAAGAACTTTAAGAATTTTTTCCTAATTTTAACATGTAAAATTATCAATTATAATATAAAAAGATTTTTAAAATTAAAAAAATATAAAATACAGTTAAATTTAACTGTTCCATACAATAAAATTACATAACTATCAAATTTCAAACTTTACCTATGAATTTTGGATAATTTGGCTTCTAATAACATTTCTCCATAGATTTTTATGCTTAAATTTAGCATTTTTTCATTACTTTGAGATTTTGATATTGTGTTTCCTGAAAAAATAAATAAATAAATGAATGAATTTTATAACATAAAAACTATAATTTCAAAATTAAAACCAAAAAATAATTTCAAATGAAAATGTTCAATAATTTTTTAGCATTTTTTAATTTAAAAAATATTTCATAATAATTTATGACAAATCATTTCAATCTCAACTGTATAGTTTAATAACATCTTTCAATACCAACTTTTATCAATAATTAATTATATCAGAATAAATAGAAAATTTAAATTACATTTTAAAAATGATATCATTACATCAGACCTGTTTATTATATAAAGAATTTCTAGAGAGTCAGTTTATCAAAAATTCTGCTGTTAATTCATAAATTCTATACTTTTAAAAATTTCAATAAGTTAATGTAATAGTTTTTTTTAATTCTTTAACTCTTTCTATCCTACAGGTACTAAGAAGGCTATTTATTCAAGTGTGGTTTTGTCAGGCCCTTATACAGTAAGGATCAGATGACAAAAGATTCGAATTGAACCATCCATAAAAATTTCCAAGACTGACAAAACTTAAGCATAATTTTCACTAGAAAGGTAGACCTTGATTAAAGAGCCTGGTGATAAGGCCTTTGTCACCTCGGCCATCCAACTGTTAATGTAATAATTTAAGAAACAAACTATTCTGTAACAAGGACAAATTTTATTTGACAAAAAATATCAAAATCTGCATGTTTCTTATGATTACATACTAAAAAGCATTTTGAAGAAAAATTTGAAAATAATAAATATAAATGTAAAATTTATATGATTAAATTATTTCTACAGATAAATAAGATTTCTCTTTTCTCACCTATAAGTTTGGTTTTAAAATTCTTCATTTCTTCTATAATATGAAATATTGTCATATGGACAGTTGTGGACCAATTTATTTGAATGATTTTCAATAGTTGAATCTTTGTTTCCTATAAGATAAATAATATATTTATGGACAAACTGTACAATTTTCTTTTAAATTCTAAACACTTTAAAGTTTTCTACAAAAGATTAATTAATGTTGTTTATATTTTCTAAATAAAGTAATAAAGATACACAAATATTTCCATAAAAATTTATCATTTCTAGAGCAAAGCATGCAAAATATCATTTCTGATTAGCTTTTGAGAACTTGAAATATAGAAAGATCAAATGAAAAATGTATTTTCAAGTAGCTCTAACAATGCTGTATGAGTGAGTGATGCTTGTTATGCCCCATTATGCATTGTGCAAAACATTTAAATCCAATTATTTGATTTATTATGAATTGAAAGAATAACAATTCCAACTTCTTTTCTACATCATCAAGTCAACTCCTTGTATGTAAACTTATCATTTTATTGCCATGTATCCATGTGACATCCAACTTGAAATGTCTGATTATATTTATGTATTATTTTTATTTACTTAGTTAATAATTGCAATTTCTATACAAAAATCTACAAATGACTAAATGAATAATATATGAATACTGTTATAAATATGTATCATATAGATTATTCTTGAAATAAAAATTTCATTAGCAAGTAGTTTAGATTTAATAACAGACTTAATTTGTTTTAACTAACATATAAATTATTTTTAAATTCAATAAAATGAGGTCGTCCACCTTGACTCAAAGTAATAATGCTACAAAAGTGACAAAATCAGCCAGTTTGACTACTATATTTCATACACAAACCAAGGATGCTTTACATGAAGATCTGATAGAGGCAAATCAAGATTTAACAGAAATAAATGAATTTGATAAGATTATGTATTTTTGCATGAATTTGACTTTCAGTCAAGAAAGTGAAGATAATTCTCCTACAAAAAATTATTCAAATCAAAGAGATCATATACTAATAATTGGTTTGCAAAATTTTGTCACATGTTGGAAAGAAATAGAGTTTCTTATATTTTGTTGGATAACACAAAACAGGATTGGTTTTCTTGGATTAAATATTCTAAGGAATAGTATTTACAATAATCGAATTGCTTATGAAAACCAATCTATACAGAAAGCTAAATTTTGTAGTTGGTACTTCCTATCTGCCATCAAATGAATACATCCATTCTAATTTGCCATTTAAAGTCAAAAGGTTCTTTATGCAATTAAGACTAAACAGTTTATATAATATAATGTTAAAATCAAATTTTTTGAAATTAATCAATGCAAAATGTAGAATATGTCAAAAGCCAATATCAATTTTTCATATTCTTTGCAAATATAGTAAATTAGTGGTTATTAGAAAAAAACTTGATTTGTCTTACTTGGAAAATTATTCTTCAAAGAATGATCTATATCAATTGATTTACCAAGGCTCTTCAACATTTGTGTTAAAATTGTATAATTTCTTTATGAAATAATAGTGTATAAAGCAGGATAACTCTCCTGCAGTTCAGGAGTAGATATTACAATTAATGTTGTTGTAATTACTAAAAATAATAACTATACTATTAACTTACTAAGTCATTTGTTCTAGTAACACCCTTTGTAAGGGGTATAACATATAATACACAAATAAAAGAATTTGATTGATAAAAAACAAAATTATTTTTAAATTAACAGAACATAATCAACACAGAATTATATAACATATTCTATAAAAAAAAATTTGTATAAAGACTATACACAAATTATTTTTAGTGAATTTCGTCATTCTAGAAATCAGTAAGACAAATGACAATTTGGCTTCTTTAAAACTTTTATATAAATGAGTAAAAGTTACAAAGTATTTACAGTGGAACCCCGGTTAACAAACTTAATCCGTTCCGCGACTCTGTTCATTAACCAAAGCAATTTTTCCCATAGAAATTAATGCAAATGCAATTAATCCGTTCTAGTCTCTGAAATTTTTGTCATTTTATTTGTAATTTTCTTTGATGAAAATGTAGGAAAACGTAGTATCTATCATTACAGCAACAAACATGTAAACATTGTTTAATAAAATAGCACTGTACATACCTTAGTTTGTTGTAGTTGGTGGCAGAAAAGTGGAGATATACGAACCTTAATGCTTAGAAGGGGAATCCCTCCAAAAAAATAACGGGTAGCACTTCATCAGAAGATTCTTTGAGTCGAAGTCTCTTTCGGTAAAAAACCCACCAGTGGCCAAGTGGTTTTTGTACCTTGAACATGAGGAGTTCGTTCGTGGGTTCGCACCTCGCTCAGATGGGCTGGCCACTTGGCATTTTCGGGTTTTCTCCACATCTGTAATGCCTAAACATGGACCAGTTTCCCTTAAAAACACCTCCCAGAAGGCATTCCCCTAGGCAGATTGCCCAAGTGTTGCGTTGTCATAACTTAACAAACAAACAAACTCTTTCCGTAAGGAACAAGAAATTGATCTAAAGTTGATTGTTACTCTACTTACTTACTCTTTTAATCGAAATTTTTCTCAAATGCGATAGCGCATTGTCGTTTATATTGCGTTGTCATTTTCTATTGCCACTATGACTTTTTTCTTTCTTGAATGTCATATTGATTAAATATATAAATCACAAAACTGAAAAAAGAAGTATAGCACAAACACTTGGAAAAGCAATGTTTAACTCGCGCATGCCTAACACCAACTAAAATTTGACACAAAATACCGTTACGTTCGTTGTCTGAATTTTGTTCATTATCCAAGACAAAACTTTTGCAAAATAAAAGTTCATTAACCGATTTGGTCATTAACCAGGATGTTCATTAATCGGGGTTCCACTGTATTTTGCAATTGTCTTTTTGAGAATTATTATTAAATAATTTGAAAAATCTGGTTTGACATTAAATTTTCCTTTCTAAATTTTGTAATCTCATTGGCTTAGTGATCTACTAGACTCAGCAGATAAGCTACATCAGCCATTTAGCAAAATAATTCTTACTACATAGTTATGTTTCCAAGACCAATGGTAAACAATATGGAGCAAAAAATGAGTAAGCAAAAGCAGGGGAGGAATTTGAATGTTGCCTAATATATATTAGATTTAATACTATCTACAATATTTTAATTCATGTACTTTATAATAAAAAGTTATTAATTATTACATTATATTAAGTGCATTTCACTAAATTCTAACAATTAACTTAAAATTGTAACTTTTTAAATCAAAATAAGGTTCTTGAGATTTACAATTGCTATACAATATTATAAGCAGAGCCGTAACTAGCTATTCCTGTGCCCTGTGCAAGAATTTGCATTTAGGCCCCTTAATTTATTTGGTTTGGGAAAATAATAAAACAAATATATTACAATAGATTTTTAATAAGATTTATTTTAGTTGAACTTTTCTGGCTTTTGTTTCGGCAAATTCATTAATTACATGATCATAATTAATATTTTTAATGATAATGTATTCTATTGAAATAATAGAAATATTGGACATTCGTTCTTGCCCGATAGTTGATCATAAATAATTTTTTATTAATTTTAACTTGCTAAAACTTCTCTTGCACAAAGCAATAGAAATGGGAAGAGTTAGAAATATTTGAAGAGCAACATTAATATTTGGGTAAGACTCAAACCAAAGTCATGAAGAGCCTGTAGAATATTAAGCGGAGATGCAGTTTCTATATTTTGTATAAGAGTCGTTACTTCAAACTTTCAATTTCACTTGTAAATTCATACATTTTTTAATCTTTGCTATATTTAATAGCGAGATCTGCAGCTGATTTTTTTAAATCAGTAACATTCATGTATTGTAAAGAAGAGACATACAGAAAGCAAAAATCAGCCTTTTTTTCAGTAGCATTTTAAAGACCTCGGAGACCCCATCGAGGCCCTACTTGGCCGCATAGTTCGCTTACCGCTTAATCCGCTGTTGAGGTATACAACACATATGCGTACCACTACAAAGCAAAAAGTTATGTCAGAATTTCTGCATGCCTTTTACAACCTCGAGACTAAGATTTTATTTGAGAGTTACCACGTCTTCTATTTACCAATTAAAAAAATTTTTGAGCAGATTTGTTTTTCTTACAAAATGTTACCTTTACAGATTTCTAGCTCTGCACACTGTAGATAAATCTAGAAATACAGTTTTGTATATCATAATAATATTAGTCGTTGCCAGAGAGCTCTATAGAGAAAAAAATCTATAAATTTCAAAACTATAAACATAAATTTAAATTTCTCAAAAAATAAACAAACAAAATTTCAAAAGTCGCTACTTTTGGCTGATTTGTCTGAGGTCTCCGCTATCTCACTACGTCCCTCTAAAAGTCGCCACGGTTGGGAACACTGGTGAGCAGACATCTAGGGTCTAAATAAGGCAAAATGTAATCGCCAATAAAAAGGAGGAAAAATTTAAGATTTAAAACTATAATTTCTTGTGAACAGCAGTTTGGGCCCCCCTTCCAAGTGGGCCCTGTGCGAATGCACCTGTTGCACCTGCCTAGTTACGGCTCTGATTATAAGATCTGATCTTTTTAATATTATGTCAAGATTGGTTTAAATAATCTAAACTAAGATCATCCATATTGAAACTGGAGCCAATCAACCATCTTGTTTCTTTGCTAATCTACAGAATAAGTTTTAACTGTCCAAAATTGACCAGTTAACTTAGCTGACAGTTTATTCTAAAGATTTATACTTGTGCAAATTTTGTATATTAAAATGTATTTAATCTTGAGATTAAAACTCATGCTAGTGCTCATGCTATAATTACTGTAAAAATATTTGTATAATCAATGAAATTTTACCATTAAAACAAATGTTGTAATTTTATATTTTAGCATTAGTATAACTTATATTGAAGACTCCCATTATTTAATACAGATTAATTTAAAATTATTACATTATCTCATCAATAAAACCGGTCTTAAATGTTTAAAGTTTTTACTTTATTATATATAAAAATGATTAGAAACAAAACAATAAACAAAAATATTTTTATATAAAACCAAATTACTTTGTCTTCATAATCAAACTTGACAGTTCTGAAATTTAACACATAGTTCTTTATTTCTGAAGATTTTAGGCACTGAAAAGGCTGAAAAATAAATAAATGTACACATTAGTAATTTCTTTAACTAGATAAATATAACTTAAAGTTTAACAGTCAATAAGAATTGCTAAATTTAATGTCAACCTATATCTGTCTTACTAATGTTTATTTTCACTCTAACATATATATCCCATTCCCTGTAATCCTACTCAAGTACAGTTTTAAACTTGATGACATCTGTTTAAAATGGTCAAAATGTTTAATACTTAATTGCTTCTTGTTCTTTCTTTCGTTGTTTGGAAATAAGCACAAAATTGTGATGCAGAACTTATCACAAAGAAACACTATTTGATGAATAAAATAGACTTTATTTTGTACAACAGAAATGCCTAAAGGTTTTACGTGTTTTTCTACTTTTTTTAGCAAGTTTTTATTTTATGTTTTACAGTTTTACTAGTATTTACCCCTTTGTTTTAAATACTTTGTTACTCCAACAGTCACTTTTAAATATCAGTTTAGTTTTATCAATTTGTACAATAAGGACTGAAGAGGGGCAAACAGCCCAAAATGCATTTTTGTTGTACAAAATAAAGACTATTTTATGCATAAAATAGTGTACCTGTGTGATAAGATCTACATAGAAATTTTGTGCTTACTCCCAAAGATCAAAATGTTTGTTCACCAAAAGTTCTTTCTGAATTCTAAGGTTCTTATTTTTTTAGGTTTTTTTTTAAGCTAAATAAAATGTACATACAAAATGTTAAAATTAAAAAAGAATTAGTATTAAATATAAATAAATTAAAATTTTAATATATTAAAAATGAAATTTTAAAGAAATGCACAAAAATTGAATTTATTTTCTTTCATGAAACTGAATTGACTCCATTTTCTATGATTGTTTTTTAAAAACAAATCACAAGCATAACTATTGATGTATCTGTATTGCGCTGTACGGTACAGTACATTAAAGTAACAGTTCTATTTTTGTGTGCATTGAACGTTAATAAAATCAATATACTGCTAACTAGATTCTGGGAATATAAAGAAATGTGTTACAATAGAACTAGGTTGTATTAGGACAGTTTTATTCTTTAATCATAAGTTGTTAACTGAATAAATCTAGTTAGCTTAAGCAAAATTGAATTTATTTCGTGTATTTTTATTTAAATTTTCATTGAAATCCTACTGTTTATTATTATAGTTGATATTTTATCAGCTAAATAAATCACAGTATATAAAGAGAAAATAAAAATTAAATAATGATCTGCAGAATTAGTTGTGCTCAAATGCTTCTATTCAAATTAAATCATGATTTAAATAACAACTCTTCCTTTCAATAAATTCATTAATATTACAATTCTAATCCTACATTTGGATAAAGATCTACAGAAAATGTAACTTTTTCAATGGAAAATGATGGTAAATATTAGTGAATTGACAATTGCAACAATATTATAGTTTATTATATCTTAAGATAATAAAGTCAAACTATCCACTGTAAAGAAGTAACTAATACACTTTTAACAATGGTAAGGTTGGAAAAGAGCTAATGTTTTCAACCTAGTTAACAAGAATCATCTTATATCTGTTCACACTTGATGATGACCCACTAACTAACTAGTCAAAAACATTGTCATTTCTCAAACTTTACCTACTGTTAAAGATGTATTGTGTTACATCTTCATTTTTGAGCACATTATTTAAATATTTTGATTAAAAATTGTTGTCATTCTTACCTTTTTAGGTTGAATAAAATGTTGTACTTTTAATCCATCGAGCTCAAATTGCATTCTTAAAATTGATTTTTCTACAATGAAGGAATCTATTCTAAATGCCAGAACTGTTCCAGCATTACTAACAGCAAAGATGTCAGTGCTATTCAGTTTTAGTTCTACATTAGAAAAATGTATGGCAGAAGAGTTTTTTTCTTTTTCTCTCAGAATAATCTTATTGTCTAAACAACTGCTTGACTTTTTAAAATATAAAGATATTTCTTGAATGTTCTTTGATAGTGATGGAGACCATTCAAGCTTTGTTCTCTCCATTTTGCATTGAATGCTAAATGCAGATGCAGAATCATTCCAAACCTTTTAAAAATAATTAAGAATATATTTATTAAATAGTATATTAATAATTAGATTTATATTAATATATATTTAGATATAAATCTAAAATAACATTATTATTATTATTATTATTATGTTGAGTTTAGTAGGCTATACTCAGTTGACACTGGTTGCTGTGTACTATGCTGGACCAGAGTCAAAGCACAGCATGACAAAACAAGACAAAAATTAAATAAGTGTGTCAGTTTGTGTGTCTGTATTCAGGAATTTCCTAACAAAATGACATGTATTCAATATGGTGGCCTTAAGTATAGTTTTAGTCCTCTCCTTTATTCTTTGTTTCTTCTTCTTTCCAGAACTTTCCTTTCTAACACTTTTTCATTGGGTGGGGTGACCGATTCTTTGAACCATGGAGAACAATGAAAGAAAAGAGGCTCTGGGGCAAGTAAGATAAGGGAAGGACATTCTTTGGCCCAGATCTCAAGGTGGACAGATGTCGAATGTGGTGCTCCAGGTTGCAAATGGCAACGACTGGAGAATTTGAGAGTTTGAGAAGAGAATTGGAGAAACCTAGTAATTAGGTGCAAGGAGAAACCTAGTGATGATGACGACGATAGATTTTTCAGAAAAAGTTCAACATGACATCCCACCCAAAATTGTGAATTCCAGCAAATCCCAAGTATTTCACTCCTTACTGTACTGTATTTTCCTTGATTCTCTACTCCCTATCATCTTTTTTTCTTTCCCTAGTTTTAAGCTAGCGCACAAGTATTAGTCATAGTTTTTGGTTATCATTTATACTTGTTGTGAACGGTACATTTTGTCATTGTCTGCAGAAATATTGTTTGACACCGTATTGTAATAAATTACTGTGGAGTTGGAATCTAAAAAAAAAAACCTGTTCATATACACGAAATAAAGTACTTTGTTTGACCATACTTCACTTAGTGTTTTTGATACGTCTTTCCTTCATTGGTCTACGTATATTTCATGTGAACATCACATTATAATGTATGTGATTTTATTGTGTTTATCAACAAGTGTGATGTCTGACCTGTTATGGTAAATTCTTTTTTCTGTGATTGTGGCTCTGTCACAATACATTTTGTGTGTGTTGTTTTCCAATACTGTCTGTGGAATGTATTTGTAGTATGGTTCGTGGATGTCTAATAATTTGTGTTTCTTTGCAAGTTCTTGGTGTATTATATTTGCTACTTGATTATGTCTATGTAAATAATCTGCCTATGCCAAGAGCTTGCAACCAGCGGTGATGTGGTGTATAGTTTCTGGTATGATGTGAAATTTTCTGCATGTATCATTTGTGAATGTTATATTTTTGAGTAAATGTGTTACCAAGTTTCATCTATTTGCAAACTACAGTTACTGCAAATTCTCTCAGGGTCTATTATTAGTCTACTGTTATACATCAAAATATAATTTTGACTATATCTTAGCTGCAGAATTAATCATTTTATATGGCAATTTATGTCCATAAACAAATAATTCTCACACATATAAGTTGTTTTAAAAATACTGATATGATATAATTCAAAATGCTTGTTGTTTTCCAACAACGACCAATATTCTTGTATGCTCTGTTCGCAACACACTTTTATAATTAATGTTTAATAAGTTTTGATCAAATGAGGATTTCAAACAACCATAGAAATAAGAAACTGTGTCAATTTAACAGATTTTTCAATGCGAACATCCAATTATGTATAATTATCCATCATTAAACACAATTTATACAGTTTGTTATATGCTACTTTATCATGTTATCATGTAGTTTCAATAGTCTAATCCAAAAAAGAAACTATTGCTTTTATTATTAATACTGATATTCTAGAAACATCAATTCCAATTGCAACATATAAGCTAGAATTTTATGGTATATTTTATGGTTCTTGCTTTATATTTCAAAGATTTAAAGCAAGAACAATTTTCATTTTATTGTGATAAGTAATTGCCCATATAGGACAGCATAAAATAGTACAGATGAAATCATTGAGTAAAATAATTTCATATAAATATGAGGAGAATTAATATTAGCTTTTGAAAGAATAGGTCTAATAGAACCCAGTGCCATTTTAGCCTTACAAATACCATAATTTTTAGCCTGTAAAAACTGTCCAGATGACAAAAATAATTATTAAAAGACCATCTCTCTCTTGGTGATAGTCTACGATCTTTCTTAAACACCATCACTTTTGTCTTTGAGACATGTTAATCCATAGTCACAACAGAATTCCTCTAGGATTGTGATTTTCTTTTGTAACATTTGTGGAGTATCAACAAAAATTAGTGTCATCAACATACATTATTAGTATATGCAACTTGACCAGAGAGAAATCTCAGGTAGGTCAGATTTAGCAAGTTGCCCTATCAAAGCATTAACATAAATAAAAAAGCAGATTACCCAATGAACTTTTACATTTAAAACTATTAATTATTTGCCAAAATATTTTAGAGTTATTGCATGTCACCAATCTGCTATTTAAGTTCCAAAAATAAGACTGTTTTTTCTTTTGGCATTATAATTTATATTTTTAATTAATTTTTATATGAAATATAACATTCACCTGTATTTAATTTTTTCACTTTCTTAAACAATTTCCATAGACAGATTTTTTTCTCATGGATTAACACTCGTTATCATACCATGCATTTGTTGTATGCCTTTTAGAAGTTACAGCTTTCACGTATTTATTAATTTTATCATGCTGCCACCACTAGAGGACTATTTTAACTTTTTTGCATTGCATGGTGGACGAGTAGCCTACAATAAAAGGTCGACTCCACTGTGGAATCGTTATTACCTCAACAGCATGTGAAAGGACCAAATGAAATAGACTCTTCCAGTATATATAGTCTACCAAGAAATATATTTTTTGTAAATTTAAATTCATCCTGGCAATTTTTTTAATACACAAGACTGTTATTTTCATAAAAATGATAGAGAAGTTGCCCTGTATTATTAAAAATAGTAGAATCCTTTGAAACTCTCGAGGTAATTTGTCGATCACCAGAAAAAGATGACAAATAATCAGTGTGTCCCATTCTAGCATTAAAATCTGCACATAAAATCAAGTTAGTTCCATATAACAAGTGGTATTCTGTTAATAACAAAGTATTCTTGAAATCAACATCATAGTTATTATCAGACAGAATATAGGACACTATTAACTGAATATTGGTTAACTTTTTGCTTTTTAATTGTAAAATCAATACAAATCATGTCTGAAATATCAGTTTAACCTTACATACTGTATTTAATCTAAATCCGACAATTAAACCTCCACTGGTCTTCCAGGTCCATCATGGCTATGAGATATCTAATGATAAATTTTGTAATCATCAGAGAACATTAATTCAACTAGCCATGAGATATCTAATGATAAATTTTGTAATCATCAGAGAACATTGATTCAACTAGCAAAGACACATACCATGTTTCTACCAGTCAAAATATATCCATTTTGTATATCAGATTCCAGAAATTAGGGAAACAGTATTTATTATGTAAACCTGCAATATTGTAGAAGAGAAGATTCATATTATCATCTTTATCCAAATACAGATCATCATATTGATCATTCTTGTCGTTTATGTTATTAAGATTTTATCATTATAAATTATATTCCTAAAAATGACTGTTCTCCATCTGTCTGGAAAATTTCACCTTTGTAATTACAAGCAAATATCTTATCTATAATTAGTCTGTTATATTGCAGTTTGACATTCTTAGCTTCTTTTAAACGTATTTCTTTTTCATACAGTCTTAGTTTGTTTCTGACAGCTCTGGTACTCGATGAATAGCCATCACTAATGAATATATTTAGGTCTTTTAAATTACTAACATTTTTATGAACTTTTAATTTATCTTCAAAATCAAACAGTTCACAAATAACCAGTCTTTTTGTATTAGGTTTAAATTTTCCAATTCTAAAAGCACACCTAATATTGATATCTGTAACCTTTAATTTATCATTGAAAAGTTTTTGAACTTCAACTGAACAATCGTCTGATTTATCATCATCCTCTATGCCTAAGATTACAATATTATTCCTTCCTTCACCTAATTTCATTAACTTTTCTTGCAGATTACTACAGATTACATTAATTTCTGTGTTTGATTTGTCACTTTTAACATAGCCTTTTTCTCTATCAGTTTCAAGGACGAATAGACTAGATTCGACATCTAAAATTGCTATATCTATATGCTCAATCCATGCTTGCTTTCTGTCTAAACAGTTCAAAAGTGTTTCTAATTTACTATTTGAAGAGGCTTGCAGTTTCAACAAAAGTCAAATTCGTTCTTGAATGTTAATCTCCTTTTCAGCACTTATATAAGACAAGACTAATTGTTCCATTGACTCACCTGAGGCATTTTCTTTGCTTCCAATTCATTTTCTTACATTCTGTGGTGATCTGTCTTGAGATAGTGGCAAAAAGTTTTCCTTTTTTGAGACAGAAATCTGACATTTTTCCAGAAGAAAACAAAAGTGAATCAGATCAAAGAGAGGAAAAAAGTTCACTCCAACAGCCACGACAGTCAGACAGCACCCCTCAACAAAATATTCACAAGACACTTGTAACCCAAATACAAATCAAAATGTAGTCAATACACTGTCCTATTTCACATGTTCCTATTTGGATTATGCTTACTGTGATAGTAAAAACATGCTTCTTCCTCCATCATTTGGGGTAAATGCAACAAGCAGCAGCCAAACTTTTTGTATGATAAATTTTGCATCCATCTCTAGAAAAACACAAATTTGAAAATACAGATTCTGCAAATATGGAAGCCTGACTGTACTGTACAATGATACTTTTTAGCACATCTAGAATTCTCCATATTTACATTTAATAAACTAATATTTTCTAAATAAAAAGTTTCTTACATTTCAACAAATTACAAAATGGTAAAAATACACTGACTACTCATTAGTTGTCAAAAACTAAGCAATTTACTAAATTATTATAATTGATCTTTGTCACATGTTTAATTATATCATTTTTTATTATATTGTAAAATCTTTACTATCATCATTAATTAACTGAGTAACTCAAGACATCAGCACATCACAAGTTGTATGGTCTGTCATAATTACAGTCATTTTGTTGATCAGCCTATCCATAGTCAAGTAACACAAATAAATGTTGAAAAATGCTGCCCCAATTCATACTGCTCATAATAAATCATGAGGATCTAGTCTAGGTTTGACTTCAAACTCTCCAAACCTTACAACATTATCAGTTTAATATTAATTGGTAAGAAATCAAACTAGAATAATTATTAATCATAATTAGACTCTGATTATATTTATCTTGCTAAAAATTTGTTTTGATTTTAAAATTAATGGATCTATAGCTAAATTTTAACTATTCATTTATAAAATTATTTCCATACAAAACTGTTTGTTAATCACTTCTAAAAAAGCACATTAAATAACATACTTTTAAAATTAATAATCCTAATGTGAAAGGACTATTCCAAACGTGATCACTGAATATTTCTTCATTTAATATTTCCCTTGCTTCACCAATTCTACACCAAGATGCTTCCAGTAATAATTCAGAACTACATAAAAATAATTAAGTAAATTCATCTATCTTCATTAGAAAATGAATAAAAAATTTAAATATATATATTTAACACATTAACACCTTATCTTTACTGAGANTGATAAACTTGAAAAACTTACTTGTGTCAGTGAAGTTCCAATACCAAGTTTTAAAGTTATTATCACTATAACAATATTTTTCTCTACTGTTTTTACAGTAACGGAGTGCTGAACGAAGTTAAATTAAAACACCTTATTAAATTTAAAAAAGTACTATTAAGCAGCAATAAATTTAAACAGTTATTCTTTTTTGTAGATCATAAAATCAATTAGTAGCAAAGTTGTATCAAGAAATGAAGATTCATAAGATTTTTTCAGTGTATCTTACAATTATAGGCCTACTTTAAAATTAAGTTTTAGATTAAAATACAAGTTGTTACATTTTAATTATAAAACATTATTATGCTGCATTCTCTTAAGCGAGAGGCCTGGGGCGGCTCTGGATATAGAAGAAGAATATGCCTCTATCTATTGTTGTAGAGACGTATTTCTTTGTTAATATATTGGCTATATATAGTATACACTTTTGCGTCATTTTGTACAGTACATCTTGTGATTTTACTCTCTCTCTCTCTATTTCTGTGGGCACTAAGAAGCCTTTTTCAGCTGGTTTCATTTGATTTCATATTGGCTTCGGCCAGGTCACATAGGGTAGTTAGTGATGAGCATATCAGGCCATTCTCCGAAAAATTCCTGGGGTTTTTTTGATCGCCAAAATTCGTTCGTTCATCAATTTTTGTAAAGTTTGTAAGAAATGAAATAATCATTGTAAAGTCTAATTGCTGTCTTGACTGATTTTTGAATCATCCTACAGTTTTAATAGATTTTTAATTTTCAAAACTTACTTCCTCAAGTAAAACAATGGTTTAACATAACATGTTTCCGAATTAGACAATTTAATAGTTAAAATTCAACAATTAATTAAACTAACAATGTTATATGTAGGAGCTGATTTATTTATTGGCTGCGCAGGGTCTAGCTGAATCACCTTTCATGGTTTTTCTCGAGTAAAACCGGGCATTCCCTCTAAAGATTTCTGTATTTGCTATTGGTTATATGCAATTTAAACGTCTTTTAGTTTGACATCTTCACTTTTCGATACTTTCCATCTATTTTGATGGAATTCTATATAAAGATATTCCGGCTGTTTTCACTTAAATATATTGAAAAATTGTATTTTATCCTTTCAAAGTCGATATCCCTATTTTTTGTAAGTGTTATTTGGCTTTAAAACTTTCTTTCTATGATCAGATTATACGTTTCGTGAAGATTTTGAATTAAAAGTAATCTTTTAGATATAAAATAACAACCTCTTTATATAGAATGTTTTAATACAAAATTAATTTGTATATAGATTTATCTGTAATTTTTAAAGCATTTTTCTTTAGCGTAAAACACACCGATGAGAATATAAAAATGACCGGTGTTTAGAGGTGGTAGTTATTGGGGGTTTGACTGTATAAAATTATGGAAAACTCTACGTGGACAGGGTATAAAACCACAGAACAATGGACGTAGATGGCCCAAAGTATAAAACACCTTGAAAAAAATGAGTGTAAATGGGTATATTGCATAAAATAAGATATGCCAATTAAATTTGTATGAGCTGTGTTTTGACTGGATAACGAAATTCATTTAATACTTTTCTCTTTACACATATTCGTTTAAATTATTAGTTTATTTGCATTTTAATCAAATTAATCATAATTAACTACAAAAATGCAGGAACAAATATACCTAAACATATTTTCATTGTAGATCTTTATTGCTATATACCATATTTACTTGTGTATAAGACAACCTCGCATATAGGAAGAGGTGTGGCTTTAAAGATCAAAATAAAGGAAATTAGATTTTTTTTTTTTTTGTTTGTAAATAAAGACACAGTTGTTCCAAAAATTATTTTGAAAACCACCATTTCATTACGTGTTATAGAAATTAGATTTGTTAATACAAACCTAATTTTATTTTGCTTAATCACAAATAAAATATCAAATGCATGTAAATGCACACATTGTCCCGCAGAAATTACTGGCATTTTAAACTTTAAGGAAAACTCTTGTAAAATCGACAACATAATTTATTCATGTGAAGCTAGACAATCAGGAACCTTTTTTGCCAATTCTTAACATTCAAATCCATTCTCCATCAATTACACTCATGAGTTTCTCTGAAATTTGATTTCCGAATAATCATCCGTTTTCATGTGGGAATGGATTAAAACTCATAATGGGCTTCCGTGTGATTTTGGAATTTCAATTTGGAATTTAATTCAAAAACTTTGCTTTTCCTACTGCTATTCATCTTTATTCCTGACAATACACAAGAACGATTGAAACGACCCAGATAAAATACTTTTTTTTTTAAACACCAGAGAATGAGCACCCGGTAAAAAATGCAAATACATGGTTACAAAAATTATTGCAAAAATGCAAAAAATCCTTCACTCACACGTATAGAACAACCTAGGTTTTTGAAGCAGTGAAAAATGAATAAAAAACCTCATCTTATATGTGAGTAAATACGGTATATATACATACATACTTTCGTATGTTTTTAATACAAAATCCTAGTACTAAAAGAACTTTTAAAAGTAATTCATTTAGTTTTAAGCAGTGAATAGTCTATAAAGGAAAGCTCCATTACTGTTTAACTGTGTGTTCCTGTAGCATAAGAAAAACATATTGAAAAAAATTCTAAATTATCTTTGTGTTTGTCTTCAAAATTACACATATTATTGAATATCTGTTTAGAAAACAATTTTTAATGTTTTTATCTTGCTTTTTAAAGGCCAAAAGCTAACAATTGAATGTAATAGGAGAGCATGACAAGGAAAACTCTCTCTCTTTAGTGACAAGATAGATTACACAAAATCAAAGATAAGAATCTGAATGTGTAATTGTAGAAAAATTTTTTGAATTACACAATAAGATTCTTATATTTGATATCAACTATTCTAACTAATTCAATTTTCTCATAATTCATTCACAAACCAATTAACAACTGTTGGAGTTATAAATTTTGATTAAAATTTTATTCTGATTTTCTGATCTAACTTCATAAAACAAAGTAATTACATTGTCAACAATACATTTGTTGACAAAGTAATTACAGAAGGATACTTTGTCAACAAATAAAAGAAAACGCAGTATGTGAATTCATAAATCTTGGTTATGCAATGCATAGTACTAAAAAAAGGGATCTAAAAGTTAAAAAAAAACTTATTTTAATGACTTCTCAAGATAGTATAAATTTTTTAGTAAATTTAAGAAATTTTAATTCTAATAGAATGTTTATATTTACTTTAATTAACACAGTTTTGAATTAAATTTATTTATTGCATAATTTAAGTCATTATATTCAATGAACAGGTTTAACCTTAAACACAGTATATTGTATAATTTAATGTATCCAAATCCAGTTTATTTAACAATTTAACAAAAAGATTCTGTTATCTGAGTTTTTGATTATTCAAGGTATTCTCATACAATCCTCATTACCTTGAATAATTGAAACTATTGTACAATATTATTGTTTTTTTTTAACTTTTTCTATCAATTTTAAATTTAATATGTAAGTGAGCTCTGTTTTAGAAGGAAAAAAGAAAAATACTATTTTTCCATGTATTTTCCTCATACCATTTTTAAAACAGTTTGTATAATTAAAACACATTGTGAGGCCCACCATTTCCTCCCAAAATTGTTGTTATTGTATATATATATTTATTTATTTATTTATTTATTTGTGAATTGTTATTTACATTATCTGTATAATTTTAGTTTTAATCACTTTATTTTAATCTCTTTGCTAATAATGTATTCGTTTTAATTAATCACTTAAATTTTATTGTATTTTAAACTCTGTGTATTTTATATCCTTTTTTTTTTGCTCTGTCTGGCTGTGTAAAGAACAACTGTTAGCTATCAGACAAGACGCCCTTTGGACCCACATCTCATAAAGATGTGTATGCAAATATGACACAGAGATTGTTTATCTATCAACCAACATTGTAAAGGAATTTCGCCTATTTTTCCGATTTTAGGGAACTCTCCCTTTTCCAAATTTTCAGTAATATCCATTTAAAATAATTTAGAGAAACAAATTAGAATTAAAAATATTTATCAATTAACTGTTATAAATCTCACAACATGCGAAGGAAAAGATGAGGAGGGATGCCCGTCATTTCCCCTTTATTCGATGGTGTTATATGACCAATGGTATGCTATCCATGTCACATGGACGCACATCATTCTTCATTGACAGAGGAGGAGAACCATTAGATGACCAATCATACATTTTACAAATTATTTCACCTTCCTCTGGAACAAAAGCACGATTGATCAAATACAAAGAATAAAATAGAAAGAAGTGACGAAAATTAACAGAGTGCGACAGGAATAAGAGACTGACTGACTGGCCAGACAGGGGATTGACTGTAGAAGAGACAACTGACCTAGTGAATGACCAAGTAAAGGGGAAAGAAGACAAAACAGAAGAAGAGAACAGGGAGAGAAAGTGAAGAGAGAAGAGAAGACAACTTTTTTCCCGGTATGTTGTGAGTCACACAGTTCAGATCCCCCGTTAGGTATCCTCTTGTTTTATGGACAGAAATAGGCCAATTTCCTAAATCAGATTTTATAATTTTGTTCAGAACTTTGTTTTTGGATAACAAACTCTTGTTATTTGTACTTGACTCTGCATTCATCCTCCTGAGAGGCTCATTCCTGGACTTCGGAGTGACTCTTACCCTCACACCTTGCTTTTTTGTCTAAATCGGTGGTGTGTCCGACAAAACACATCTGGTGGCAAGACCCTACCTCAAACTTGCATAATCTAATTTTTGATGGCCCCAACCCCCACAACATGTAGGTGTTTTAATATACAAACTCCACAGACTACACCTTTCTGTCTCTCCTGTATATTTTATTTTATGCATATAATTATATTTTTGTTTGTTTATTTATTTTTTCAGTTTATATATTGTATTTTCATAACTTATAACAGGGATGGGCAACCCACAGCCCACATTAATACTTTTTGTGGCTCTTGTCGCATAAAATATGAATAAATATATCAATTTTCCAGCTTAAGATAAAGTACACAGAAAAAATTCAAACATTATTTTCTACAACTTATGTATGTGAATACTGTAGTTTTTCTCACAATGAATTTAGTAAAAATTAAAATAAGAAACCAGCTAACAGACTCACATCAAAACTAATTTAAAATTAGCAGTGACTAATATTTAACCAAAAATTTCAATATATTACATTTACATCAGTTCCGGAAGCTAAATTAAGTATACTTATGCTATATTATAATTAAACATAAATAAATAATTGTGATTTACCAGCATTTTTTTCTCTTTGTATGCAGCCCATGTCAGTTCAAAAGTTTTGAAATGTGGCCCTTGCATAAAAAAGGTTGCCCATCCCTGACTTATAGTGTATGGTACTAACATTTAAATGCATATTCTGGAATGTTTTAAATTTTTCCATTCTATTCAAATGCAACCATCATTCATTTTATAAGTTTATCCTGAAGAATGTTGGTTAAATATAGCTGAAAACATTAGATATTAAAGTGATTAATGCATTTTAAGGTATTTTTGGAGTGGCAGTATTATGTTTTGGAAGACATTCTCATGGGCATCTCTATGCATTTTGGATAATGCATATATACTTTCATAAGCAATTTACATTATGACATTATGAATAACTGAATAATTTATAATGGAATCAAATTTTGTAAGCAAAACCAATGAAAAGCCTTAAATAATAATGCTTTATATTACTAATAAATTATATTTTAAAATAAATAAAATTAAATATTTTCTTACTTTAAGATTCCAATACCAACATCTGAGGAGATATTTCTGTCATCATCTAATTAAAAATTACTATACTTAATATCACTACAAAAAATATTAAAAATAAATCTATCTAATCAAAAATATCATATAAAAATTATTATTATTTCTTTTGGGTTTTATTCAATTTCAAGTTATTGATATTCAACTAATAGAAATACAGTAAAACCTCTATTATCCGGACTAATTGGGGATGAAGGTAGTCCGGATAAGGAAAAATCCGGATAATCGAAACAAATACTTTAATTTGTCTATTAATGATAATACAACACGTTTTCTTTTCAATGACATATCGGTAATATTAAAAGTAAATACTGTATTTAAATCGTGATCAAATTTTCANTGAATCAAAAAATTCTTGCTATCTTTTTGTTCATTTCTTTTAATGCTAGCATTCTGTGAATGTCTTACTGTGTAACTTTAAGAACTACATGTAGTTACTAACCATGATTTAATAATTCTGTTAATTAAATTCTTATTTTTTTTGATGTTACTATATATTTCTATCATTAAACTGAAAAATTTGAATTTCTAAACATTAATAATATTCTAATATATATAATAAAGATGCATTTTTGAAAAATCATCTTAAAAATCTGCATAGTATTGAGGTATTTTAAAAGCAATGTAATTAGTACATCTACATTATCCACAGTTGTATTACCTAAATAATAAAATAATAAAAAGTTGTGTGTTGAAGTATAAAAGTTTCATTATTATGAAGTATAAATATTTCAGTATTAACATACTTCTCATTAAAATTATTATTACATTATAATCTAGATATTTTTAAAAAATAGCCTGTTTCATAAATATAATAATTAATAATAAAATAAATACTATGAAATTTGAACTAAAGGTAGGCAGTTAAGCCACCATCTTGTACTGAATCTATAATTACATTAATTATTAAATTTTAATAATTTAGTCAACTCTGGAAGGGTTCTACTATAAATTTATACATTTTAAAATAAATTTTGGATGAAAATTCACTTAAATTAATTTTTGTTTTCATTGAGTTTTTTAAATATAATTTTTGTAAAAAAGTTTATATATATACAGTTGAATCTTGATAATCTGGACACTTAACAACCTGATACCAACACATTTGATAATTGATGAAAAAAGGCAGCCCACCACTAGTCAAATGGATAAAATAACTGAATGCTAGTTGTCAATCATTGATTCACACCCAACCAGCAAGTGGAGTGAACCATATAGAGGTTTCCAGATTTTATTAGCATGTCTAACATGTACTGTAAATAGGAGCCAGTGTCTCATGAAAGCGCTTTCAGGAGGCATTCCCTTGGCAAATCACCCTTGTTTTCAAGTATGTTCTTAATGGGAAAGAAAATTGAAGTTATATACGTAATTTCTTCATCCATATTGATTCTTAGTAATCCAAATGTTTTGATAATCTAACACTATTCCAGTCACAAGCTTGTCAAATTAGCAAGAGTATACTGTATATATATATAAAAAAGAAAAATTTTTATATAAAAACTTTTCTTTTTTTTTTAAATTAAAAATTTTGAGATTATATTAGACAATCTAATAAATAAATCAAATATAATTAAAACCATTATTACAACTGTATTACCATAACTCTATTATTAAAAAAGTCACAATTTTAAACAAACATTACATTATATGTTTTTTTTTTATCATCGTCAGATACTAAAATAGAATGTTAATTTAAGGAGTTTAAACTTAACATTCTCTTTGGCTTAGATTTCATAATTCTAATTAGAATTATGAAGTATTCTTACAGAGAACATAATGTTTAAAGTAAGTTTCATGTTGAAAATTATGACTTCTTGGTGTTATATCTGTGATTATGGAGTATATAATAGAAGTTAAATGAAATAGACAAACAATAATAAACTTAAAAAAAGTTAAAATATAAAACTTATGTTCAAAGAAACATACCTAAAGAACATAAATCATATTCTACAGTTACACTGCCACGATTCACACCGCAGCCAATTGGATAACACGAAGGTAACTTTACTGATAAATTAATATTTTCCACTTCCATTTTATAAATATATTTATAACCTCTTAATGTATCATAAGAAAATCTGGATCTGAAAATACAGAAATATAACAGTTACAAAAATAAATACTCTCTTAAAAAAATGCAATGTTTGTAATTTTTTTCATTGTATCTCTCAATCCTATGCTGTTATAAATACAAGTTTTGTATTTTTATAAAAGAAAATGCAAAATTATTTTCAACATTTCTTTTAAATCAGATCAGAATAGTTAAAAAATTTTCCTTTATTAATATTGATCAGTTAAGTATATAATAAAATTTTACCCTTACATGATATATATACTGTACTGTACATACATACATACATACAACCAAGTCCAAATCATTATAATAACCAAATAATAAAGCCAGACTAATTTTCAGGCTAGAACATGATTAATTAATAATAAAATAAATACTATGAAATTTGAACTAAAGGTAGGCAGTTAAGCCACCATCTTGTACTGAATCTATAATTACATTAATTATTAAATTTTAATAATTTAGTCAACTCTGGAAGAAAACACGATCATGCTAAAGTGGAACTCAACCCTACAAATTCTGTTTATCATGCAGATGTATTGTCAATTATGCTACCCAGACTTACATCCAATCTTCAATTCCAGACTAATTAATTTAAAAGATACTAGCTTGTGACACCTGGCTTCACCCTAGTTTATAAAGTACCCCTAGCAGTAATTGTTACACTTGGTGTTATTAATCATAAATTTCAAAAATTTATGTGGTAAAACCCATTTTAAGAACATTATTAGAATGCCTAGAAACTATGTGGGAAGTAAGTCCTCATAAACAGTGAGTTTATAGAAAAATTATTACAATTAATTTGGTTTATTTGGTTACGACATTATGAGACATGGGCGATCTGCTGAGGGGAATGCCTCTCAAAAGGAGTTTTAAGGGAAATTGTTCTCTATTTAAATGTTACTAACTTGAAGAAAACTCCATGTGGCCAGTCCATTAGTGATGCACAAACCCACGACCAACTACCAGTGTAACAGTTTTGACTCTAAGCAGGTGAGTGAAAATATGCTACTCATCAAAGTAATAATATAGCACATTTACTTTGCACTATATCATTGTCACAGTAATTAAATGAATATTTGATTTCTTTTTTAAAATTATATTCTTTTTCTGTATGAATTATATTTAGTTTATTATTTTTTAAATTTTTTTCTAATAGATAACACTACATGCAAATCCAATCGATGTAGACAGAAATTAATTGATACATAGAAATTCAATCAATATTTTAGGGTGGTATGTATGACATTTTCTAAGTTAGTAGCATGTTAATGGAACTGCAGAGTTTCTTATAAATTGGCCAAACAGTCTAGAAGTGCATAGTGAACAAACAAACATTCTCATTTATCAATATAGGTGACCACACAGGTCACTCAGAAGTGACCTATATGGCTGTATATCTCTACACTAGACCAAACATTATGTGTTTCAGTCCCACTCCATATTGCTCTTTTATTCCAGAAAATTTAAATTTTAATAATAATGTTAAAAATTAACATTATTAAATTTAGTACAAGATTTAAGATTAACCTTTAGTTTAACTTACTTTGTATTTGTTATTTTAATTAGTTGCATTCTACTCTGAAAATTAATGAAGCATTATTGTTTGATTATTACAAGTATAATAAAATCTGTTGATAAATGATATTTATTGTATTAATATTTTTCTGTAATGCTAGTCATATGCTATTCTGATAACGCTATTCAAATGTTTAGAAAACTTAACATTTTAGATGTCAGAATGACTGAGACAGTTAAGGTGTCAGCCTGCCAAACCAGAAGACCTGGAATCAAATCCAAGTATACAATCATGGGAATTTACAGAGAGCAGTGTCAAACCCTGTTCATCACCAGCCAGTTGCTCCATTGTGGATTTGGCCAGGTCTGCAAGGGGTAGCTGGATGATCAGGGAAATGATTAAAGTGCCTATTTCAATGCTCAGAAAGCAAAAGATGTAAAACAAAACTTAACATCTTGGTTTTCTATGACCTATATGTCTATAGATAAATGTATGGACATAAACTTTTTAACTTTATATTTCCTGTTTTGATACATACAAACTATAATTTAAATGCAAAAATTATAAATTAAATATTTATTAATTGTTCAAGCATTGTTTAATAAAAAGCACTATTAGAAAATGGATTTATTACTTAACTAAAGCTATTCCAGGAATCAATTAAGTCAAAAAATGAAAATTCACTATAGTTTGAAATTGTTTATTTTGAAATAAAATCTCATCATTCAATTATATTTTTCTATAATAAGTAGTTCTTATTCAAAGAATACATTAAACATTAAAAATTAGATGTGTTAAAATAGTATTTACCTTTTTACTGATATTACATTTTCAGACTTTTTACTAACTGATTGTGATATAGGAATTAATCCTAACCAATAATTAAATTCTTCATGCTGATAATGTAGATTAAAACAAGATAAACTTGTATTAAAATTGACTATATTGCTGTTTATCTACATAAAAAAATAAAGCATTTTAGGTAAATAAAATGTAAATAGTATATATAATTTTAAAGAAAATTTTTTAATTTACGTATTCCTAAAATTATTAATAATTAATACTATATTAAACAATGGTTTATCCTATTCATCAACAATATTAATTAAATATAAACAATATATTAAATTATGAAGTCATTATGCAACTGTTATAAAGTATAAAACAAATATATTAACAACAAAATTTCACTTGCATTTTTAATTATATGATTTTTAATAAATTATAAGAATTTAGCATAGTATAACAGATTTCTAAATATCATTTATCTCTATTACTATTTTCTTAGATAGCCAATTTGGTAGCTAATTGGCATAAGAAATTTGTGATCATCATCAACTAATATCAAAAAACAAAATTTAGGACAGAAATCCAGTAAACAAATTCTGTTAAGTAAGAATGTAATTTTATCATAATCTGAAGCCTTAGTTAATAAGTGCAATTTATGATTATCATCATTTAAAAAATAAAATAAATTATTTATTTAAATCTATTAAATAATATAATTATTGAATACTAGGTATTTCAAAACTTTAAAATATTGAAGAAATCAAGTCATCTTTGTTCTTCCATCTTGACCAATCACAAGCAAAAAACAATTTTTCTTTGTAGAGATAACCTATACCTCTGCAAAATTATGTAAAACAGTTTTAAAAATTCAGTTGTGATAAGCCAAAACATTTATACAATATACCATCTACCATTTTAATTTTAAAAAATATATGTATTTATATTTAAATGTTTCAACTTATCACAAATGAATTTTTAAAACTGTTTTACATAATTTTGCAGAGGCACAGCCTCAATAAAAAGGTTGTCTCTATGAGAAAAAACTGTTTTGCAGCCAAATCAGAAAATGAAATGGAATTTTGTACTATTGCACTATTTTCACATAAACCTAAATAAAAAATATTAATGACCCAAAAATTAATAAATACATCTAATTTCATTTCTAGAATCTATATATGCTTAGAGTATTGATTACTATTTATAAATAAATATTTAGTTAAACATTATGCAGTACTTTTGCTTGTTAATCAACTCGAACTATCAGTAATGTTTAAAATGAGCTACAATTTGTAGGATATATATCTGTTTGCACCGACATTTGTAAAATTTGAACACAATAAAGAACTTTCAAGGTAAATTTACCATTTTATCTCTTCACCAATGATTTTTTATCTATCCCTATCCCATGTATAATAATAGCCCATTAGCAGAACTGTAGATCTGAAGCTTCTTTTGTGTACATAAGACATCATACCAGTGTAAACTGAAGCACTGACTAATGAACTAACTTCTGAACCAGAGAGCCAGGATTCAATTCCCTGAAGTAAGTAACAAAATAGTAATTGTTGCTCTGGGGTCCATTCAGTCTTCATTGTAATAAGTATATCTTTTCAGCAGTAAAAACAACTGGAAGGAGATGCTACAGACTGAACTGCAACAGCTGGTAAGATTTCCAGTTTCAATACCTAATGCTAATATAGGCCAATATTGATACTTTAAAACTACTACTAATATCGATATCAATACTTTTGTGGTATTGGGACATCCCTACCAATGTATGACCAATGCTGAAGTGACCACCAGGACCATTGCTAGATGACTACATGGGCAGAATCTACAGTCATGATACCCATTATGCTGGCTACCTCTAAAACCATAGATATTGCCAAGAGAACTTGCATTAATATTGGACTCAATCAACATGAAACTGTTCTAATTGGGGATGAATTGTCTTCAGTGATAAGTCCTGTTTTGAACTGAATCATGATAACTAGTGTAGACAAGTGAAAACATTCCAGCCGTAACCAAAATCCTACTTTTACTGTCAAACACATGGCATGGCAACAGGGTCTATTGAACAAAATGGTCTGGGATGCCATTTTGTTCACTAGACTAGATTCCCTTAGTAGTTATCTATGTTATCCTCACAGTACAGCAATATATTGATGACATTCTGAGAGCTGTTGTGATACCATTCCTTTCACAACACACAGGCTTACTTTCCAACAAGACAATGCTTGACCACACATAGCATGCTTCTCACATAAATGTCTTCATGATTACATCCTTTCTTGGCCAGCTAGGTTGCCAGATCTCTCCTCAACTGAGTACATTTCGCCCTGATGAAACATCACCTGTGATCATCTGGGAATGTTGATGACTTAGCCTGCCAAATGAACACTATTTGGCAAGAAATCCTTCCATACACCATATGTCACTGTTATGAATCAACATCATTCATCATTCCAGGTAACAGCTTGTATTCAGGCAAGAGGTGGGCAAGAAATATAAGGTTTCTAAATTTTGATCTGAAAAATTTCATAACTTAATCCTTGAACAAATTATACCATCATCTACAATCACAAAAATCATGTAAAAAACACTTTTAAACAACCAAAGTCTTAATTTTATATTGCATAAACATTTTTTGAAAATTTTTAAGTTTTGTCTACAAGACACATTCAAAAACTTCATTAATATTTTCAAGCATGAGCTGTAAGTTTAACAACACATTTGAAAATTTAACTTAAAACCTTCAAAAAAGATGCAGTGTCAAATTAATACTTCTTCAATCAATTAAAAGTGTCTTTTTAATTTGATATCAGAAAATATCATAAGCAGTTGAAAAATGTTTGCCATCATTTATATCTTTCTACAATTCATTGTTTTAAAAAATATTATGCACTATGAAAAAATGTAAAAACTACTGCATTATGATGCTTTTGTATTAACCTATGATTATTAATAAAGTATTGAATTCAATTTATATAAATAACTTTGTTTTTTAAAATATTTTATTGTTATTCATAAAAAGTAAAAAATTTACTTACTTCAGTAGAAAATAATATTTTATTTAACAGTACAAATTGTGTCTGTATACTTGATACAGTCAAATCTTGAATAGAAAATAATGCTGACGCAGTCAGTTCATTAAATTCTCTCTCTCTCTGAACATTACTTTCAACAGATTTTAAATCGACGGACAATATCCTTTTTCAAATAAAATATAAAATTAGTGAAATTTATCTCAAAAATTTAATTTTAATTTAATTACTGTACTAAAAAGTTAATTAAATAAATGTGATATTGCATTATTTAAACCATTCTTGAAAAAAATATAGACTTTTTGGCACCTGAATTACGACGACTGCTATTGATACATGTAACTTTAGATTCTACTTGGAAAATTTTGATAATTTTCTTTTGAAACATCTAAATGAACTTTAAATAATATTTTAAATGTATTTTAAATCCTAAGTAGTTCAATGTCTCAAGAAAGTTTTTAAATAATACTCATTCATTATAAAGAAAACTGCGTTTAAAAATTAGTACATACTTTTTCAGTTATCCTATATTAATCAAAATTCACACGTAGTTTTGATCCAAAATATAAGATATCATATTCTCAAATTAAATAAATAATCTCTATACTTATTCTATTAACAGAATGACTGCAATGCATTGTTTGCTTCATTCAAAGAATAGTTTCCATTCATTATTTTCATATCTCATAGCATAAATACATGTTACAATTCTCTCTCTCTGGTTCAAAAATTATCATGTAATACAAGTAAAATATATTTTAAATTGAAAAATAAATTAACAAACTATATTTAAAAGAAATTGAATTTAAAAGCAATATTCACTAATACTGAATAATATTTCTGATTTTCTTCTACTCTAATCAAGATCAGAAGAAGAAAATCATCATAAAGAAATAAAATTATCCAAGATAAAAAAAAATGTTAATTTTATTAATAAAAGTCTCTCTTATTTTGCTCTAGAGTATTAGCACAGAGATGCATTTATTGTTTGAAACACAAAAGCAAAGGGTCAGCTTCAATTATGTCCATTGTGGACACATCAGCTCAAAATAAAGCAATTCAGTAATGAGGCCACTGAAAGTGGCAGATACAAATTACCAAGATCCAAGCAAACCTGAGGATCTATTAAAAATAATAATTCAAGAACTTTTTACAAATTTCATAATTTTGATAGTTTTAAATAAAATAAATATGAAAAATACTTTATGATGTGTAGTATGCATAATGTGTACAATACTGAACACAAGCCAAACAGAATGTCAAATAAGGTCAAGTTGATCTCTTGGCAACTACCAACAAGAAAAAGAAACTAAATTAAACGAATTAATTACTGCATCTAGTCTTTTAAATATTATTTTACTAATATTAGTCTATTGTGACTATAATCTATTAATAAAACTTATTATACTAATTTAATTTGTGGATGAAATCAGAGATCGAATCAGTCTTTGTCTAAAAGAATAAACTTTTATTTGCACTGTATACAAAATTTTCTTGTATTTCAGATGTTTCCGTCCCTATCAGCAGGTGTTTTATCAATTATATTTCTAAAATGCTATAAAATACAGAAAGTACAGCAAAATTCATCACAAGAGTCAAAGAAATACAAAAAAGAAAAAAGGAGGAAAGAAGAAATAAACAAGTAAGAAATTGAAAAATAAATAATTTATAATTAATTAAAAAAGCAAATATTTTTAACCACACTAAAAGTGAAACAATTACAAAAAGAAATAGCAATATCATTTTGGAGTTTTATCCTTGAGGAATGAAGAAAAATCTTGGAAGACTTATGTGTAAGTTATAAATAAGTCGTCTAAAGTAGGGTTTCTCATTTCCCGGTCCTTTGCTTGTCCCAGGATTTTGAGAAAAATGTGACCTGTTCTCCAGGATATAATTAGTTATTTTTAAGATATAAAATAAATCTTGAAATCTAATTATATAATTATTTTTCATTTTTTAAGTAATTTAATATGTCCTGCAACCTCCAAAATAATAATATTAATGCTGTGTAAAATATGTATTAAAAATTACCTTTGAATTACATTTAAATTTTCACAAATAGAAAAAATTTATTAAAGTTTGTTGGAAACTGCTTACAAAAAACAGCCATTGAATTGAGTTGAAAATTTAAAGAAAAAAACTGAACTTAGATCAAACTTCTAACTTAGAACTCGACTGGCTGAGAACTCGAACAGATCAATTTTGGATCACCAAATTCACATATAATAAAAACATCAGGGACATCATGAAGCAGGTTTCAGACAAAAAACACTCCAGAATTGTTTACAAAAGAGCTCCAAACTTATATAATATTCTCTGAAACAACAAGAACAAGCTTAAGAAAGAAGAAACAGCAGCATGTATAAAATTCCATTTGAAAACCAACAACTAGGAATTAAGAAGGACTATATTGGAGTTACAAGATGGAATTTGGCTGTTAGACTTAAAGAACACAGATATGACATTAGTAAAGGACACTGTAACATGGCTTTGTCTAGTATGGCACAAGCAGAGGCTTCCGTGGTTAAATGGAACAAAGTATCTATTCTCAAGACTGTGTGGTCTCCATCGTTGGCTTTGAAACATGAAAATATAGAAATCTATAAAAGTAAATTAAGGGATGGCTGCATCAATGCAAGAGATGCAGATGGTTTAGCTTCAGCATGGAAGTTCTTTATAAAAGAAAAATTTAAACATACAGATTCTTAGTCCCTATCTGCCCTTTATAATGTGATGCCTTTTTGGTGTATTTTTTATACATTTAATCTTTTATGTATTTATTTTATTTTGTTTATTTTATTTCACATTATTAATGTTATTTATATTGTTTTGGCTTCAAAGTATTTAATACATTTATTTTGTTTATTGATTTACTAATTTATTTTTCGTTTTAATTTTGAATTTATAATGATCGAATGTTCCATTTGCTACAAGTTTGAAATATGTTCGATTAACAGTTCACCTGATGATGGCCTATCCATTAGGCTGAAAACGTTCGTGATTAAATAAAGTATTCTCAGCAATATAAGGTGTTAATGTTTTATTAAGTGTATGTAGTTTGTTATATTAAATATAAATGAAATTTTAGTTATGATTGATATAGAACAACAAAAAATTGTGTAAATTTATTTTTACTGTGAGACTCAGCCTTGTTTACTCACTTAACTACAGCCTGACCTAAATCTTTAACAATACCATTTTATTGTTTAAATATCATATTTCACACCTGGGAGTAAATCACTCAGCAAGTTTGCTGTCGCTAAAGGACACTTTCACGTAACCTTCCGACCTATTGTTGCAAGTTTGTCAAGTGAATATAGCAACAGACTGATTTTTGGAGCAGTTGCCACCCATTCCTCTGATGGTTACAGTTGTCACCCGGTCCTCTAACAGAAGTCGTCAGCTCTAACCCATCACATTCGCACTGTGCCTCTTATTTGGATTTACTTCATCATCAAATGGACTTATTAAGTGCTTAATATTTGGATTGACTTCATCGCCAGACTTATTAAGTGCCTAAGATTTGGATTAATGTCGTCACCAAATCAGAACATTTGATTGAACCAAGACCTATTAACAAATCAACCAAACTCCAGATATTTATTGCCACACAAACAATTGTAAACTCTCCCTCTCGAGAATGCTCATTTAAACTCTACTATCAAAACTATTGACATATTGTAAAATATGTATTGCCTATCATTACCAATTAAACAGATGTTATGTTAATCTAGTCTCTGCAGGAATCACTTCCAGTGCGCTGTCTTTCACTCCATCCCGAATCAGATCACTCAGTAATGTGGCCACTCGTGTGACCTAGTTTGAAATTGTCACGGCTTCTGGGTCAAGCAAGATCTGGTGATGTCTATTCTGACAAGGTATTGAGGAGGTGCCGACCCTCTGGTCACATTACCAATAACATTTTGAATAATAAAAATCAATTTTAAGAATATTTGCATTTAATGGTGAAACACTTTTGTGTACAATAAAAAAATAAGTGAAATTAAATATGCAATTTTCACTAATTTTTAATAATGATAAAAATGAGGAAAAAACAGACAAAAATTAGTTAATAATTCTGAAAAATTGCAAATAAACAATGTTATGACAGTCATAAGAAAAACACAAATATTTGATTTAATTAGAAATTTAAAAACTCAATTTAAAATATTTTGAAGAAAAATTGAAGGAAAATAAGTGAACTTTTTAGTTAAGTCCATCATAGAAAAAAATAAAACTGATTAGGAAATAAATATTTCTAATCTATATTTAAGCAGAGAATTATCTGTTTTGATATGAAAAGTTTTAAAATTATTCTTCACTTACCAGTGGAATTTTAGAAAAATTAATTTCTTTAGAATGAGATGAAACTTCTGAAAAATTTTCATGTGTTTTAATTTCATCTTCATTTGTTTGTACTCTTGGAAATAGTAATGCATGTATTACATTAATTGAAAGATCTGAAATTAAACGGATACATTTTGATCATCTCTGATGTAATTTCTGTTATAAATTAAATTATATTTTTTAGTTAAAAATGCACATTCTATAGATTATTTGGAGTTTTAATAATTATAACTTAAAAAATAAAGGTTTATGTAAAATGTTATTTATATCTATACTTTTGAATGTATGTCTGCTTATCTATTATACAATTAACAGATAACTATCTAAAAGTTTCCAAAGGGATCTGCAGGGAAATAACTTTTTATAAGAAATACTAATAGTGTGGTTGAAAGTCATAAAAGTAGCTTCTTCTTTGGTAAACAAAATTAGAAATAATGCTTATTATACAATCTAGAAAACTCCAACAAGTCTATCAAAAATAACTAGCACAGAGACTTGACATTACCTGGGCAAAAAAATAGTAAAAACAAACTTTACAGTTAAAAACATATTAAAAGTTTACTTTTAACTTGGGAGAGCCAGGTCTCTGCAAGTTTAAAAACAAATACATTTAAATAACTTTTAATTATACTGAAAATATTATATATTGAATATATATATAAATCATGATGGCCTTACTGATTTGCTAATTCACTGACTAACATGAAATGTCCAAGTGGAAGTAAATTTTTTGTAGAGAAAGAAAATTGTACAGCAGAAAAGAGACATTAAATATTACCTATTATACATGAACTTGAACATTCTGGGATTCTGCGAGCTATTCAAAGACAGCTTGTGACAGCATTCAATTTCTAGACTGAAATTTGTTTGAATGTTTCTTTTCAGTATTTCTATACTTATTCTTAAAAATTGTAACCTCTTTTTGTTTAAATTTTTGAGTTATCTTTGTTACAATAACCTGTAAGCGAAAAAAACCACCATCTTTGTTATTTTTTTATCATGACAATATATTAATCAGAAAATTCTGAAATCTTGAGAAAATGAAAAGTTTTTATGTTTTAGCAAACAAAATATCTCAGAAGACATTCTACAAAATGTTAAAGTTTTCATATCAATGTCTTATAAGACAAAAATGTGTTAACCTGCATGTATTATAGAATATTACAATGAATAAACTGTAAATTTAAGTGTAATCTGTTTATTTTTAAACATTTTTTATTATTATTAATTAACTCTGCATTTGCAAATTTAATGACTCTGAATTAGGGGTACTGAGAGGTATTGATCTTGCAGGTACTGAGGTAAAAATTTTGACATATGCAATGATTTGTTTGTTGTGTCTGACTCTCCTATAGGTTTAAAGAGAATGATTGATTTTTTTCAAGAATGCAATCCAGGAGTTACAACTTTCTATTAATGATGATAATTTAAAATAATGGTATTTTGAAATAAAGAACATTCTAAAAATGAGAACTGGTTTATTCATAAAATACAAAAAAAACTTATAGAATACAAGTTGTTAATGAGTATAAGTATTTAAGTGTATTTTTTCAGTCTAATGATCGTTTCTCAAAGCATTTAAAGTATATTCATAGTAAAGTTAGTATTGGTATAGACAAAATAATTAAGGCATGTGTGTCTGGTAGACTGTTACACTGGAAGAATAAGTTAAAATTATTTGAGGCATTTATACAGTCTGTGATATTATATGGTTCATAGATACAGAGTATGGAGCTTTGATTGGAAAGATAAAGGTAACTTACAAATAAATTTTATTAAGCATTTGTACTTGTTAAAAAGATGGATTCCATCATGTATTTTATATCTAGAATTTCAGTGTCCCTCTCTATTTTAATACAATAAAAAACTATATGCAAACAGCCAGTGAGTAAGTAAACTTACTGCTTTGAAAAAATCATATTTGATTTCTCAAAGAATAGTGTGGGGGAAACAAATTGTGTCACTGTTGTAAAAATTTGGCTATGGAAGATATCTGATTGTGCTGCATGAAATAAAGGCTTCCAATATTTTAATCAGACTAACAAATAATTATTTAAATGAGTCTAACAAGAGAACCTGTAAATATAAACATAATAAGTGGTACTTTGATATTTTTAATGAGTGGGGTTCAGTCCATTTACATATAGAAAGACCATTTGGTGTTACGCAGGTTGTTAAATATGCAATGTAATATATTGAAAATAATGACAACTCTGTGTTTGGAATATTGTAAATTTTGTTACTTTTTTGTTAACTTTGATGTTTTTCATTTAGCGGCTGAATGTAAAATGCTGACATTCATGAGATATAAATGCTTTGGTAGAGATTATTTATCAACCCAATCTTATAAGCAGTTGTTCTGTGATTATAATAAATACTAAGGTATTTACAATTTTATTATTAAATTAAACAGCTAATGGTTATTAACTGTTTATGATTTTCTTTTTTCAGAATTATAGCCACCAGGAGGCATGGATATAGTATATTAATATCTGTTTTAGAGTTTGAGAGTTGGCAGTGTTATTGGTCAGCATTTTGGGAATATTACAATTAACAATTTGTTTAATTTTTTCAGGTAGAGTGGTTTTTTTTTACTCCTTATATAAATTTTTTAGAATTTTAGTTTATGCCATCCATTTGCTGCCATTTTTTTGTAATTTTTGTATAATTTTTGAATACGTTTATTATTGTTGTTGTTGTTATTATTATTTATTATTGTGATTATTATTGTATTTTTTTGAATAGGCTTATTATTTTGTGCCAAACAATCACCATTATTTTATTTTATGTTGTAATTGTTATTGGTTGATTGTCATATCATATTAAATGCCCATAAGTACAGGTTTTCCTTGTACTAAATAAATAAATAAATAAACTCTGCATTTGTTTAAATTACAATATTTTTGGTCTTACTATTAATTACTTTTTATTAAAATTTTTATATTTATGATTACTTAACCTATATATGTAAATTATGATTATAAATTGTGAAAATATGTAGCACATTACAAATTGATGCAGGATTAGGTTGCCAAAGACAGTAAAAAATGAATATAATTTCAGCTAACAGCATTTATTTGTGTTATGATCGATTTCACATTCTAAAATTTATAAAATTTGTTTATCTCATTCATGTTCAGCTTTCTACTGGATTCATTTCATGTTAATATTGTCAAAATTATGAAATTTTCAAACACTTAGAACATGAAAATAACTTGAAAAAATAACACATTAAATGGGTCAGCAAACTAATAAAAAAAAAAATGTAAGCTAGGAAATTTTAAAATCTTTTTAGAGTAAATGCACAAAGTTTTTATTATCTTTAATATTTTATAAGTGTAATAATACTAAATATAACACTTGACATTTTATAAGCATGTTAATGTAGTTTGTGTTAATGTTTTTCTTTTTTTTAAATAAATTTTAGAATCAGTTTATGTTAAATTATATACAAATAAATTACTTCAAACATTTAAAATAAAAATGCAAACTACTTACTTTCATAAAAAATTATTTCTGGTTGATTTACATAGACTGAAGTTTTCTAAAAATTAGTAGAAATTATATTAGCATTTATTAAAAATTTTGTATAGTAGGCCCTTGGTTTATGACAATTTGATATTTACTGATTTAAAAATTTTCTAATAATCTTTGTTTCCCCAAAATTTTTCTGTAATTTTGTACTCCTGATACCAATAAAATTTCATGCATGATATTATTTGGTAAAATTATATTTTGTTACACATTAAATATTCTCATTTATTTTAAAAAAATAACAACCATTGTATGTTGTAATAGATCTTTACTTAATGATAAATTTATTTTAAAATTTAATCTGTAAAGTTAAATACTATAATTTAATTTAATATATTTTTTTATAATTACCTGTTTTATATTAAAAATTTTATTACATTTTACTATTCATATTAACATTGTGTTTTTAAACTTTTATAAATTTAAAGTTGTTTCAACTGATCTGAAGCTGGAGCCTAATGATGTAACTGAATTGTCAGATCCATTCTTAGCTTAGAAACAACAAATAGACCTGACTACACAACTAGTTCAAAATTAACACCAAAAAAACCAAAAATTCTATGCTTTATATTATGCAAATACTCAAAACCTACAGAAAATTCTGATTGAAACTGATGACAACCTGTAACAGTTAGATAACATTAATATTGGAAAAAAAAAATGAAAAAAAAAAATGTGTTCTAAAAAGATTGTTGATTTACTTCAGCCTTATATTTTCTGTAGGAAGAAAAGTATCAAACAAGACAAAAAAAAAAATTTTCTTATTTAAAAAAGTTAAAGAACTTCCAATTAATTCATAACTGATAAATGATGATCCAGTCAAATCTGATCATTTGTGGCCAGGGCTTTCTCTCATAAATAGTGCTTGCTTATATTTTATTACAGAATAAATTTATATAATTTTTACATATTTAGAACACACCCCACTGATAAACATTATAATTTATCTTTCATCTATACTGTTGTGATATATGCTGGGATCTCCAAAAACCTAATCCACCATAAAACAAGAGCCTACTATATTTAAAATTTTCACTAATTTAATAGTAATGTAAACAATAATGATAATAATAATAAAACTATTTTATAATCTTTATTAAGTTAAATCTATTAAAAAATATTAAGAGTAATTACCCTCAACTTTTTATAATTATCAAAGTAGGTATTTAATTACTAAAATTATATTAAAAATATATAAAATTTGATAAAACTTTGATAAAATTCTTAGTTATCTCTTGTACGTTCCAAACTCTTCATCCAAGGTGAAATGTTAATTAACAATAAACTGATATTAAAAAGACTTTAAAACCATTACTGTTTGTTATGAGAAAAATAAAGAAAATAACAAACAATAATGGTTTTAAAGTCTTTTTAATATCAGTTTATTGTTTTTAACATTTCACCTTGGATGAAGAGTTTGGAAAATTTACATTGGATAATGATTGCTTGGTGGAACCAAACATGTTAAGAAGTTGTACAAATACAATACTGAATATGGAAAAATCACCACTGCCCTCTCCATTTATGCTTCAGGAGCCAAAATAGTCCCATCACTTCAACAAACTTCCATATTAAAAATAAGTGGAAAACATATAGAGCTTGAAGCCCTCTAAATTCTCAAGGCATATAAAGGAGACAACTGCATTAACAACAAAGACAAAAGGGCAATATCTAAAGCATGGCAAGCCTGCTTTAATAATATATTGTAAGATGGTTAGCTAAACTTACTTCACATCATGCAATTAGTTTAAATTTGTATTCCATCTGAAATTAAATTTTCTGTTCCAAAATCTATCAAACATTCCATTTCATTCTAATGTTCCTAAGGAAGGTCTTTGAGATAGGCCAAAAATATTCAAAAAATGATATTTAGTTCCTGTTGGGTTGACTTTGAAGTCTACAGATCTTATATTTTGAGATAATGACAGTGACAAAAAGAATATTACATAAAATTCAAATTATTAATTTTTGAGAGTTCAAGCTATTCAATCAATAATTATTATACTTTGAATGATTACTAAAAGTTTTTATTCAGAAGCCATAATACATTTGTTGAAGCATTTATAATATTTTAAATTTCCTTGATTCAGAGCATTTTACATAGAAAAAGATATTGCAAATGTGAAAAACTTTAATCAGTATAAGAGTCAAGATCTCCAAACCCCAGGTTTGACAATGTTGATTTAAATAGTTTCTTTCAAATGGGATAACTCACAAGTATGAACAAAAATACCATTTATTTAACACTTAACATACTAAAAACAAACGTATATAAATAATGTCCATGTAATTAAAACTCAAATATTCAGTGAGGTTCTGTAAGGAATACTCCAACTCTGATGGATTTCACTAATAACAAAGACCACTCTTTTTCTACTCTATACTTTATAACCTGGGTTTCTAACCTAAAATCACTAATTACAAAATTCTATTCTACTTCTAAAACATTTTTCATTCAACTAAAGTAATTCCTTCAATCAAATGCAACTCTACTTGAACCCTCTTTTGAAAACATTTCAAAAATACATCTTCAAATCAAACATGTCTTCATTCTCCATTCCAAGTTTTCATTTTAAACTTATGACGACTTAACAATTATATTCTTTTAACATAGGATTGTATTACCAACATTTGACCCTGACAATTGCACAGAAGAAACAAGCAAAAAAATTCCACACTGGATAAAGCCAAATTCCATCAAAGAAATAGAAGTCATACAGCTGTCAGCTATAAGACATGAAATACTTTGCATATGACAATGGATAACAACAATAGCAATAGTTATATAAATTGAAAATACATCTGCATATCAGTGTTATGAAGATAATTTGTTTTATTCTATATATAGTTAGTTTCTATTTTATAATTAAATGATAATTCCAAAAATTAATGTACTTATTAACAAGATGGTATTATCAACTGTGACAAGTGATTTCACTAAATATTAATGTGAATATATAAATAATATAGAAACTTTAACACATGACTTATTTTTACATACCATTGATTTTTACCCATAAAATTATTTTACTAAAATTACAAATAACTAGTGTGGAGTTTTATTCTATAATTTAATATTTCATAATCATATGAATTATAAAATTATATATATTTATTTAAAATCTTAGTTATCTTTTGTAAATATAAATCAGTCTAACCTGAATTAATGGGTGATTTCCATTCAAATCTAAATGAATGCTTTGCTCTAANTGAATTATAAGGTACCTGTAAATAATATGTATATATATATAAATATTGAAAAAAGAATATATATATATATATATATATTTCAATTTCTAAAGAATTTACATTAATATTCTGTCTAATTTTCTCAACTTTTGTACAATATAATCAAACAGTTAGTTATGAGAAATGATTCTGCAATGGTGTGAGATGGAAAAATTTGTTACTGACTCACTATGCATCATGAGAAACATTTTAATCTTTAACATCTATTTATTAAGAACTCAAAGATGATTTATTTTTTCTTATTTGGATGAGGGCAACTTGGGATCATATTGCACCTAGTAATAAGGACTGAAACTCAAAATAAATAAATTGGTGTTATATGATAAGTCAAATCAAGTGCTATTCATACCTGCATTACCAAGACTCTACATTGTCAAGTGTTACCTTCTCATAAATAAACTTATTTGATTATTGAGTACAATCTAATTATTTCAAGAAAAGGACTTCACACAGATAAAAAAAAGAAATAACTTTTTACAAAAATTAAATTATTAAGTAAAAATACAATTCAGAATACTAAAACTGATAAATCAATTCATTGTTAATATTCACAAAATAACATAACATAATGTACTATAAGTATAAAAAAAATTCACTAATTTATTTTTGCCAGTAGTAGTAACGTCTTGAAGTTTCTTGAATTATTTCATAAATTATCATTACAATACAATGACTTCAAAATTATTCTCAAAGCAGATTTCAAATTCCAGTTTTAAACTAGTATTAAAATTTTAAATTGTATTTTGATTATTAATATAAACAATTTTTGGATATAAAGTTTTAAAAATTAGAAAAAATCCTATTGATTGCAATCTACATATTGACAATTCTAAATTGTCAAAATGCAATTTATCACAATTTGAGAATTTGAAAATTGCAATCAATCAAAATATTTTGTGTGGAGATAGTCATCTCAGTCTATACATACTTTGCTTATTGTATTCAAAATAAATAAATAAACCAATTATAGGTTAAAACTTGGTTTATTCTTAAATTAATTCAGTTAAACTAATATTAAGTTTAATATAACTGATTTTAGTTTAACTGGTTAGAATTAACTAAAAATTGACAACTTATTTTTATGTAAATGAATTAAATTAGAACATGAAATTTTTATAAATGGAGAATCAAATCATCTTATTGTCTATTTTTTCTTTAATTTATCTTTTTAGTTCAAATAAAATATTGTACAATTTAAACACATTGTATTCTTAGTAATAAGCTATTTATACTGTATTCACAAACTAAATACTTAACTGCACTAACTTTGAAAAATTAAATCCAATAATCAAATGTAAAGATTTAGTTCAATATGAAATGTTTTTCCTTTTTGTATACTTTCATTAACTTGATGAGAAGAGACCAAAAAAGATTTGTTTAAGTTCAAGTAAAATAGACAGAAAAATATAGAAGTATTAACCTATTTATACAGAGTGACCCAAAAATAAGTTAACTGTGTTGTTTGCAAGCAATTTACCAATTCGTGGAATGTTAAATTTGTATATTAAGCAAGGAATTAATTTTAAATAATTTTTATGGTTTCTAAGCAATAAAATATTTGAACAAAACCACAATTTAATCTTTATATTGGTTAACTTACTTTTGGAATACCCTATACATTCTATACTATATACTTTTTATATTATTAATTATTATAAAATGACAAGAAGCTTAATTTTGAGGATAGAGATGAATTTTATAAATAATTGCAAATCTTAATAACGAATAAAATATTCATGAACTACGATCCCACTCGAAATATGACATGTGACCTTTCTCTATATTCTCACCCCTTAATCTTTAACCATCAAAATTTAATAAATCATTTCCCTAATACACAAACCTTCCAAAACATTTCAGAAATTTGATAAAAGTCACAGAAGTTATTAAGCTTCAACGTAAACAACAAAATCGTGCTCCCCACATGCACACTAACATGTGTTTGTGTGGGGGTGCACGAATCTATACATACAGAAAAAACGCTTATTTTTTCATTTCTCGACTTTTCAAGGTCCCGAGTCCAGAAATGTAAAAATCTTGAAGCTGGGGATTATTTTTCAGCGATCGTCATACTTTCCCTCTGTTACATATAATAGCCGAAAAAATAAAAATGTTACTGGACAGCAGTGAAGCCAAGTGCAAAAGGCACTTTATTCTTGGTCGAATTGAATCGTCTGCCTTTCAGTGCTTTCTTTAACTCACCAGATATGAATATCGCACNCACAGTTAATGTATAGAAGTGTCAAAAGTTTGTTTTATCAGTCTTTTTGTTTAATGGCAAAAAGCATTGCATTCTGAAAAGCAGAGAAAAGTTTAGCTTTCTTCTAATTTTCCCACAAGCTAAAAAAGAACAGAAATTGCTTGCATGTAATGTATGAAATTTTGTGCACTGAATCAATTTAATATTGTTTCTTCCTCTTCTCTTTTCTATTCATATGAAATATGAACTGTCCTTTAAATTATTTTTGAACAAAAATAATTTGACAATAATTGAATTATAACTTACATATTATTATCTGTTGCAAATAATACACTTAGTTCATGAACAGTGACATGTAACATACATACTCTTCCTACTGATCCAATTTGCATAACATTTGTATTTTTAACATGTAAAGAAATTTTCTGAAAAGCAACAAATCATTTTGATCAAAGTGCTTAAAACAAAATATTTTTATACATATAAATGATAAAATCACATTAATTAATATGAAAATATTTATCTATTCATTATAACTGATTTATTAACTGTTAAAAGAATTAAAACTACAATGACATTTTACTATGGAAAGAATTCTTTGCATTCTAAAAATACAATAATCTTAGTTCTGTTAAGTTAGAAAACAACTTATAAAAAGCAGTAGAAAGTGTAATTTATTCAACTTTTTACAAACAAACACTCTTACTTAATTCACCCGACAAATCCCAGAAAATGGTAGCCATGACTTTCCCAGCAGACAATGTTATTGAACTTTTTTTGGTTTATGAGGAAAGGTGTTCCATTCCATCTATTTAACTTGTATGTAAAAATTTACCTAGCTCTTTCGTCATGCATTCAATTTTCAGCAAATGTAACCTTTGTTTTTTTTATATTAACCTTCATATGTAGATAAGACAGTGCAACTAATTTGAAAACCCTGATCGGGAAAAGCAGACAATTAATAATTCTTCATGCTGGAAATAAAGATGGTTTTATTCCCAATGCCCAACTTGTTTTCATTTCCAAAGGCAATGACCAAAACTACCACAAAGAAATGGATGTGGATATTTTTCTGAAATGATTTAAGAATCAACTTATTTCCAGCAATCCAAAAATCATGCATTTTTATAGACAATGCTCCATATCAGAGTCATCAACTGTACAGAGCTGAGCTTTATGAAATAATTAAGAACTCCAGAGTATGCTACAAGACTGATAAAAAGGCTGTATCCAAAGGCCATATGGTTATTTGCTTGACTCCCTATCATTTAATCCCATCACATTAATTTAGGCTCAGTTAAAAGCATGCATCACTCAAAATATCATCATCTTCAAATTGGCTGATGTAAAAATATTAATGGATAATGATTTTGCATCAATAACTAAAGAAAATTGAATAGCAGCAATTCATCATATAAAAAAATTATGGAAAAATATTGGGAATCCATTGGCCAACTGGACAACATTGTAGAACAACTTGTAATTAATATGAATGATGATGATTCCATTCCACATTCAGACTGATACGTAAAAAGTTAAGATCCTGTTCAGGACCAAAAAAAACTGACAGAGAGTAACCAAGCCAATCTTATAATAAAACAGTTATTATATATTGCCATATAAATAAAAATATAACACATAATAATAGTTGTTAAATGCATGATTCTTTACAGTTAATGCATACTATAAAAATTTAACACAATTGGAAAGTTATGCTGCCATCTAGCGAGAGAAAATAAAATTCACATATTGCCTGACATAGTAAGCAGAAGTGCTGACATCATTTGGGAATTGCTGATTGTTTTAACTAAAGCAACATCGTGAATGATGTTATTCTGAAGTTGATTCTTTCCGTAGACAGTCTATAGGCACTGCATTTTGACAAATGTATCTGGCAATTTCATATCACTTCCAATCAGAGCACTGGCATACTTTTTCTACTTTTCCATGATGTTATGATGGGAACTGGGGTGTTCAACAAGAGCTAGCCATTACCTTTCAAACTATTTATTTAATTGCAAAATGATAACATATGTTACCACTCATTAATCTCTGGATTTATTTAGTTTTAAAACATTCTCTTTCAATAGTTTTCAAATATTGATATTTTTACATTACCCTATCAGATTAACTCCTTATTAATTACAATAGTAAATAATTATTTCTTATAGATATAAACAAATTAAAGCCCAAATCTTAATGTCAACATATGCTAAATATCAGTAGATATTTTTAGAATATATTTACCAGTATGTTATTTTTCTAATTAATTAATTTAACAATAGAAACTGGCCAGGTAGTTATACTCCCTACTTTTAAGCAAAATTCTTATGTTAATTAAAACTAGCCAGTTAAAAACCATTGAGGTCAATAATAGTTAGTTGTCTCAAATTATCATGACAGAAATTAACCAGCTTAATTAAATAGTGTTTGTAAATTTACATATCCGGTAAAAGTAAACTGGGCTGGAAGTAGGATAATGTAACTGATAGTATATTTGCCAAGCTTGTAGGAGTTAAAGATTTGAGTTTCACTTCAGATTAATCTTTCATTCCAGAATTTTATAATTTAATTTAATCCAAAAATTAATTCCTAATTATTATTTTTGCACAAACTAGAATCACCACCATCTTTTAAATCAAATTCTAATGCTAATTAAAAAAAACAAATATATTTTTACATGGCTTCAATTTTTTACAGCACACTGGCAAATTTCTGTATTTTGTGATTTCCAAATAGAATTTCCATACTTACAAAATATCATTTTTTTATTGTAAAGAATTCTACTCGATCTAAACTATTATAATAATAAAATTAATTTTCAAATACCACAAATATCTTTATTTTAAAAAATTAACAAAAGAATTTTATGTTTAGTTATAAAACTTTTTATGTTTGTAAACAGATTTTTAAAGATTTATCTGAATCTGATATAATCAAAATACTAAAAAGTATTTTGATTATTCTAATTCTAAACTCAGTTTTTTAATTCTAATTTTCTTTAAAACATATAACACATGGATATAATTAATTTATTATTTTTAATAGCTGTATTTTATTAATACTTCTTTTATATTTACCTTTAAAATAGATGGAAATTTTATTTTTTTAGCTTCATTACTTTGATTTGTTTTTTTGGTCCTTTTGCTTCTAATCCATTCAAGGATGTTTCCTTGAAGACGAAAATCACTTATGCACAATACTAAAAAGGTTCTGAGAAATAAAACACTTTCTTAATGAAAATAATTGTTGAAAATAAAATTAAATATCCCATGTCTAAAGAAAATAAGTAAGTAATTAAATTTAATTGTCAAATTATCTGTAAACATGGGAGTTTTGTCTTTGAACACAAATATCCATAATTATTCATTACAGTAATTATTATAATTTAAATTTTATATACAATACAGAAAAATTTTTACTTTTGTAATCTTAAATCAATTTGATTTTTTCTTAAACTTCCGTGAAAGGATAACCTAAATTTAAGGTCAAAAATGCTTCTAATTAAATATGTTTTGATAACCAAAACTTTAGCAGTTTGTTTTATCATCATCAATTCCATCTCTTAATTTATACCCAAACAAGACTTTTTTGAAATTAAATTTTATTTTCTTACTTCATTATCAAAATAAAACCATTTTAGATGATAAGACAAAGTAATACAACATATTTAGTGTATATCTTCATATAAAGTTTATATGGTGTTTAATTTGAATTTAATTATGTTTTCGTGTTCATGGATTGTCTTCACAGATACGTTTACAAAATAAAAATTTTGATGGCCAAATGACCAAGGCAAGTTACATCATCAGCCTACAATTCTGAGGGATCTGAGATTGAATCTAAGCAGTCAAATAATCCCAGAAACTTTTAACAGATGGTAACAGCCCTCAGATTTTTGATCCCTGTTCTTCATCCTCATTGTGAGCCGATACAAATCCACAGTGTGTATGGAAAAATGGCTCTCAGTGTTCACAGGGAAGAATTAAAAAATAAATAAAAATTTTAGAAAGTTAACATAGTTAGTTATTCAAATGAGAAATTAATTAAATTTCTTATAATAGAATAAAAAAAGAATTTAGAAAATAATTACTTTCTTTCCAAGAACCAAAGTACAGTTTTAAAAAGTAAGTTCACATTTATAATGAAATAGTTCAACAAATAATAAAAATATATCAATTCACAATTGACTTTTTCTTATAAAATATCGATGGTATCTGAGTTTTAGTCCTTCCATAGTTAAAGTTATGGGAAGAATTAAAAATTCTTAGAATAAAAGAGGCGACAAAGTCATTACAATTTTTTTCAAGGTTACAATTTTTTTCCATTTAGATTTTGAGTTAATATTAATATAATATATTCTAAATACCTGTAATTTGAATGCAAAAGTCCACTGGAAAGCCATATATTTTCAATTTCCTATAAATAAATAAATTTTAAATAAATTGTATATATACACAAATATTTTCATATTTAATTATTTACATATAAAACTGAACATTACTTACTAAAGTAATATCTTTTTCTAACTGAAGAAAAACTTCTTTTAAACATAAAAATCCTACTCTTCCAATCTTGAACTTTATATTATATTTTTTATTTAGTTTCCATGAAAAATATACAGTTAATAACCTAAACACAATTAAAATTTTTAAATAAAATTTAAATATAATTATATTATTTTATAAAATTTAGAAATAAATATATTAAAAAATGAAATTTTATTATAACTTCAATCAAAACATATTTTTCTCCTAATTACTTATAAAACTATAAAAATGCATGTAACTGTTAAAAATACAGGTAATAATGCCTGTCTTACGTCACCTTTCCTTACGGCAATTCCCTGTTGTTTCAGCAACTGGGGATTAGTTTGCCTGATAATGTACGTTCAACATGGGCAAAAACATTTGCACATATTAAAAAAAAATTGCTGGATTACAAGTTTTTAGAATTTTTAATTCAAATATAACTAGTTTTGAGTGGGAGTATTTTAAATATTACAGTATAAAACTCCAAAAATGTTATTGTTTAGTTATTTTTATTTAATTGTATGAGTTGATAGTTTCTCCAGTTAAATAGTAGTTTTATCAAAAATTTTTTTAAAAAATCTTCAAAAATTTAAAGTTGTTTCAAATTATAGATCTATTGTCTGAATTCGGCTTTTCCCTCTTCTTTCCATCCAGTGAGTGCTGAGTTAGCTGCACTGCTAGTGGCAAGTTATCTGGTGACACATTGGGCATCTATTGTATGTTTGGAAATGGAGCAAGCTACCCACTACTATTTATTCACCAAGCATGCCTTACAGCTGTACTCTAAGAAAGCCTTTTTTTGGATTCATTGTAGGTTCAGTCAAGCTCAGAATGGGGATCAGCCAGGTGATTGTTCCCCACCACCTGGCTGATCCCCATTGCGAAACAGAGCCCAACATACAAAGGGATGGAATACTTTTGAAAAATTCCAAAACTCAAACTCAAATCTCTCAGAGCAGCAGGCTGAAATTCTTGCTAATTCAGAAATATAGAAAATGGTATCAGATAATCAAACACTTACTAACCAGTAAAAAATTTATCAAATACTTTTGGTTTTAATTTTGTCCCAACACAAACTCAATCTTGATTTCTTTACTCAAATTGTTAGCACAACGTCATTCTGTTAGCACTATCAGAATTTTAGAAAAGTATGACACTTTAAATTGTTTTTATATAGATTGGTGTGTAAGAACCTGACAATGGCTTTTTAAAAGCACTTCTTACTTGTACAATAAACTTTGTGCAGGTTATTTAAGATCTGATTATCTGATACTGATACATGTAAGAAAACATAAACAAAACATCTTCAAAGTATGAAAGAAATGAACGAATGATTGAAGTTTACCTTGGTAGTCCCAATGCACTTCAGTTAGCTTAGGTTGGTTAGGTTAGGTTAACTACATTTTCAGTAGACAGAAGAAAGGAATACCTAAAAAGAAAAAAAGGAAACGTCTACTAAAAATGTAGTTAACCTAACCCAGTGTTTCTCAACCTGTAACGAACCGTCGCCCCCTTCAATAAAACCGTTACTTAGTATCACCCCCTTCACTTCAAAATTCTGATGCCGAGGGCCAAGGCTAATGCCAAATTCATACTGCATTGAATAGACTAGTGAGTAGTATAGTGTTATTTGTTTAATTATTGTACGATATAACAAATAAAATATCTAATTATTCTTAATATAATGTTTTACTATATGGCCCAGAAATTTGTTTTTTGCCCCCCAAAATATAAATTGTTACTAATCGCCCACTCAACATGGAAAATTGTCCACATGAGGGCGATATCGCCCCCGTTGAGAAACACTGACCTAACCTAACCAAAGTGCAGCTATTGGGACTACCAAGGTAAACTTCAACCAAATGAATTTATAAATCAATTGTTTAATTTATCTATAGTGTGTTTAAATCATCAAATGCATAAACAAAAGATTTGAATAATAAATTTAGATTATTCAAATCTAAAAATGAAGAGATTTACATCTTTACTCTTAACAAATTTAACAGAATAAATAAATGACACGTTAAATACGTTTTAATATTAAGAAACCTTCATGAAAATAATTTATGATTCAGAATTTCCTCAATTAATAATAATAATAAAAACTAATCCTTATATATACGAAAAATGATGGATTTAACATCTTATATAGTATATTCCAGAGGACAAAAACAATCAAATAATGACATTATAATTAATTTTAATTGCATATTTTTTAAAGATGAGTCATATAGATTACATGGAATGTGAATCACTAACCCAATTACATATCTATACAAGTTTACGCTAATTTTAACAATGAAAATTATTGAAACGAAAATTTAACGTGTTTTGAGCATTATAATTTCGTTCTTTTCTAATTTTGATTGATTTGCCCAAAAATATCTATCATAATACTCACCTAATAATAATTAATGTAATAAAATAACTCAAAAAGATTCCTAAAAGAAATTGTATGCATGTAGTTAATATTTTCCCATCCATTTAATATTTATTTTATGTATTTAAGATATTCTTCATTGGTGAGAATTATTCTAATGCACTCTACACGAACAGCTGTGGGCGGCACCAATCAAAACATTGTCAATTTCGCATCTTACGTCATTTTTTCCCTGTCAGTGTATATATATAAATCGCCAAAAAAACGCCAAGTCGTTTATATTTTCTACATTTTATTAATTTTAAAATTTTCTTAGTTTATTTATATATATAAATAAAATTTAACAAATTTATTTAATAAATAAAATTGATAAAATAAATTTAACATTATTGTGTTAAAGTAATTTGATACTTTTTTCTTTCTTTTTTAGCTCTTTCCGCCCTATGGGAACTAAGAGGGCCTCTTCTAATCTAATCTAATCTAATCTTGACTTCTTCTTCTTCTTCTGTGTTAATATGAAGATTTTAGCTCTTTCTAGGCTCTTTCTCCGATTTCCCCACTCTCAGGTTCTCTTACTTAAATCGTCCAGTTCGTGCGATGTATGCTTCTAACGCCATCACTAGATGGCGGGGTGTGATCTGTGTCGTCGGCGCATATACAAAGTACTCTTATCTGTCAGTCTGACACCCAGGGCAGTTCCCAGGTCACTGCGAGCATTAGCATATTCCGGACATTCTAGCCAGAAGTGCGCTGCCGTTTCCCTCTTCTTGCAGTGAGGCGTATCGTGCAGCCGTCTGGAGTGTAAAAAATCATTCAAAGGGGCCGTCTCCATACGCAAGCGCGCAAGAATAGTCTCCATGTATCTGTTCGACGCGTAGTTATAGTGCCAGTTGACAAACGGACAAAGATAATCCCTGCTCTTCCTCCTCAAGTCAGCTGTCCAACACTCCGTAAGCCGGAGTACTACCTTCTCCCTGTCTGCCCTTGCCACGTCCCGTGGCATCAACGACCGCCAGATCGATCCGTCTGGTTCCCCGACCCGAGCCACCCTGTAAGAGGGCCTCTTTTTTGCAAGCCCATTTTAAGTACGGCCGGGTGGTGGGTACGGAGCCCGATATATCCGGACGATATATATGTGCTTCGGCTGGCGTGCGGTTGACCAATCAGTTTTCCGCTGTTTCCTAGCTTTTTACCGGGTCCACCGCCCATTCAAATTCACCGGAACGTGGAACGTCGCCCATTGTTCCAGATTCTGACCAATCTCGATGAGCCATGATTCTTCCACGACACCGCTGTTTTTATATATTTCTGACTGAAAAACATCGTGACGATTTTATGCTATTTTATAAGTACAATATATAGAGTAGATTTAATTTTCATTTGAAGTACTTTTTTTTAACTGTTTCCATCCTGCGTGGGCAGTAAGATGGCCTTTTTATCTAGACCATTACGGCTTCGGTCAAGCACACAATGGGGCGGCCGNGTGGGATGGTTGTTAAGCAGAGAGAAATGGGACATTCAAAAACAAGCTAAATCTTCGTAAAGATGAGTCACTCCCAGTATTTTCCAACACGATAGCGTGACGATTTTATGCTATTTTATAAGTACAATATATAGAGTAGATTTAATTTTCATTTGAAGTACTTTTTTTTAACTGTTTCCATCCTGCGTGGGCAGTAAGATGGCCTTTTTATCTAGACCATTACGGCTTCGGTCAAGCACACAATGGGGCGGCCGTATGGTGAAGCAAGAACCGTGTAAACTCTTTTCCGTTTCAGGATAATAACGCGAGACAACGCATCGCGATCGAATTCAACCTGTAGCGTCACTCAAAGGTTCTTGTTTATGACACGTCAATCACTATTTGAAGGCCGGAATCATACGTGCATGCCAGGCCGTAACTTCTGTTATCTTGCAGCGTGTAGAATGATTAGATGGCCCGTCTGAATCTCCAACAGGGCGTCAATCACGTAGACCATATCATTTGATCAACTACTTTGACTGTAGTGCACGACTGTTATCTATACTGTACTAATATTATAAAGAGGTAATGTTTGTAAGTAAGTATGTAAGTAAGTAAGTTTGGATGTAGCGGGTAATCTCCGAAACTACTCATCCGATTTCAAAAATTCTTTCACCAATATTTAGAATGGAACTTCGGGGTGGACATAGGCTGTATATTATTCCGTTAAACATTCATATAAATTAAAAGATATAATCTAGGTTAAGGCTTTTATGTCCAACAGATGGCGCTACGAGTACGACGCCCTAAGTTTGCTTTTCTGCGAGGCATTATGCTTTTCTGTGGAAATGAACTGAAGCGGATCATCATCTATCTATTTATATAAATAAAAATGTAATGTTCGTTTGTTCCTACCGATTTCTTTGAAATTTTGACACAACGCTGCATTCGAATACGCACGTGTTTTTATATGATATACGTGTCGAAATTCAACTTCACTGAAGGGAGATGGTTAGGATTAAGGCTTACGGTAAAGAACTCTGCTTCTATTTATACTATTTTAGATGCGGTTTTTCGCGTTTTTGATTGCGTTTTAATAGAGTAAGTCAACAGAATGTACAGTACACTAAGAAGAAATTTTTCGAAAAATTCCCCCCCCCCACGGGGGAAGTGTTATAAATTTATAATAGATACATTTTGAGCCACAACAACGCGTGGCGGGGTCTGCTAGTTTTATGATAAATTTTAATAATATTCTATTAAATCTATTTTATTATATTATTATGTAGTAGTTATACAGAAGCAAACCTCCGGAAGCCTATTCCATTTTTGTTTGGAAAGTAGTTACACTATATATCTGTTTACCAATAATTTTACTATATACTTGTTTTAAAAAGAGCATAAATAACATAAGATTCCATAAAAATCCATTCGTGGTTTATACGAATTAGAGTGTCCGTGAAAATATCTTTTTAGCCATAAATAACGCCAACTACAGTATTGACATTAATGGTTAATTCATATAATTGTTTACTGGTATCAGAACTATTGGTCTGTATTATGTTGTATGCATATATTGCAACAAAATAGTTCTGCATCCAGATGATTAAATCATTAATGTAAACATTAATGAACACGGGACTTCTAGACTTTCTTCTGTTTACAGTAAATTAGTCTGTATAATTGTAATGACATATTCTGCATAGGGCTGTCCATAAATTACGTAACGCAGATATGGGTGAGTCGTTACGATGCGTTACAAGAGGTGAGGTGTTAATAAAAACGTTACATAATTTTAGGATCTCCCGGGTAAGAGAATGACTCATTTTCGTTCCTGAAGTGCTGCATAGCGAGCCGAAGTCATTTCTGTCACTGCCTCGTATGTTACGCGTGTAATTAATAAAGTGATGCAACGTTTGATATCCCGCACTGTATTAGTACAATTAACGGGATCGATCGAAGATATACGATACGTAATTTTGGGGGTAAGTATGTGCGATGACGTTACGGAACGTCACAAGAGGTGGGATGGTTGTTAAAAAGTATAAAAATAGCGTTACGTAATTTGTATTAAAATTTCTATTTTCCATTGATCTAAGTTTGGAAACAAGGGTCTAAAATAAGATATCACGCGATCTGTACTTTTCAATTTTATCAGAAATTGAACTAAATTATTTGTAGGATTAAATATAAATTTCAATTATAAATAAAAAATTTATCTTTGCTATTAATTTATGTTTACAACGGGGGATTATCGACAGCGGATATAAAATGTAGCTAATACTAGTGATCTTTTTAATCTTATTTCTATACAAGCCTCATTTTGTGCCGAAATGTATTTCTTGGCCATTGATCTATTGAGATAAATAAAAGAAAGACAGTGGATCGAGATGGAGGAGATATTTAAGAGACAGAGGAAACTAAAATCATTAGCGACTCCTGAAAACAAAATGTCAAACTGCGTATGTTTCATGACATGCATTAAATATTCTTTGTAATTGAATAAAGAAAATTAAATCGTAGTGAGAAGTGTTCATAAAGAAATAAAGGCCGAGAATAAGGTCAAACTCTTTTATTTCTTTTATCGTACCGTGCTTAAGCAGAGAGAAATGGGACATTCAAAAACAAGCTAAATCTTCGTAAAGATGAGTCACTCCCAGTATTTTCCAACACGATAGTCATTGTAAACAGATTTTTAAAGATTTATCTGAATCTGAGAGTTTAGAAACCTTTGTGAATAACTGCAAACCTATTGATTCTACTGTAATGGCACTTTATCGAAGTTGAATATATACTATACCATAAGCGGACAACCCTTTTTGCGCGTGCCACACGTGGCACACCAACGAATTTTTTCCGACACACAACTTAGGGCTTACCTTAAAAAATAAATATGTCATCTTCGTCGAGTTGTATATTTTAACTTAATAGAATACAGTTTATATATTTTTTTAGTAGAGCGACACTAAATAAAAGTGCAATAAAGAAACAAACACTATCAACTGTTTTAGTAGCTGTTAATCCATTGCAACAGATCTCTATCAATTGTGTTACTTTGTAATGGATCGTTATACAGTAATCGTTATATAATTTAACAATGTTAAAAATTTTATTAAAATTAATATTATTCATAAATTAATTAAATATAATAATAATAATAATAAATATTTAAAATTAAAATTTTTTGTTTAAACAATGAGCTATAGGAAAATGAACATCCATAGAGAGCAATGAGAAGAGTTTGCAAATAGNTGCGCGTGCCACACGTGGCACACCAACGAATTTTTTCCGACACACAACTTAGGGCTTACCTTAAAAAATAAATATGTCATCTTCGTCGAGTTGTATATTTTAACTTAATAGAATACAGTTTATATATTTTTTTAGTAGAGCGACACTAAATAAAAGTGCAATAAAGAAACAAACACTATCAACTGTTTTAGTAGCTGTTAATCCATTGCAACAGATCTCTATCAATTGTGTTACTTTGTAATGGATCGTTATACAGTAATCGTTATATAATTTAACAATGTTAAAAATTTTATTAAAATTAATATTATTCATAAATTAATTAAATATAATAATAATAATAATAAATATTTAAAATTAAAATTTTTTGTTTAAACAATGAGCTATAGGAAAATGAACATCCATAGAGAGCAATGAGAAGAGTTTGCAAATAGGTAAGCACATGTATAAGAGCGCATACACGAATAGTTTTAACTTAATTAACAAAAATTTTAATGAAATAGTAAGATAAATTGGTGATTTTTATTTATAATTATGCATATTCTTTGTATTTTTTTTAAAGAAATGTGTTTTTAGACATTAGAAAATATGTCAAAACATAAATATTTCATAAAGAAAAAGGCAACAGAGAATAAATCAAGAAAATTTTTAATGTAATTTCGAACGGTTTCTTTTATGATAAAATTAACAAAAATTATATGTACATATGTAAAATATGCTAATTCTTCTTATTGTGTCGTTGAGGTGATCTTTCGTGACATGGAATGAGTTTTCCCACTTACAAAACTACATTATCAACTTATCGGATGCTATTTTAACTTGTAGAGTTAATTAATCTTGTAAATTAAATAAATAACTTTAAGAAAAATAGATATTTTTAATTTTATTAGAGTTTTAAGTATCGAACATCACTTATAAAATAGCTATATTTATGAGAATGGGAGTGTTGACAGCCGTAGCTTCAATGGCATAATTCATCGATGTTATTGTGGATGGTTTTAGGAAGAATTTTTGGTCTTCTTGTTAGAAGTTTCGATAACAATGTATCGGTTTGAATCGAGATGCACGTCTTTTCTTTCCACTTACCTTTCTCGTCTATAGACTACAACGAATCGAATCACCTAGCGATTGTAAGGTAGTGAAAAGGACCAGCTTTACCTTGCGAGTCGTTCAAAAGAAGTGAATTAAGTTATCACAAAAAAGCCGAAATCCAATGAATACTTTAGTTGAGGAGGAAAAAAAATAAGTAGAAAAAAAAGAACAACGTTTCTTAACGGAATTCTTGCGCTGCAAAATATAATTTTACTTTTATTTATTGATATCATACCTCGCTGTAAACTTATTCTAGAACATTAGTAAGTTATTAAATTAAGTTACCATAAGGGAAAGTAATAAGTTATTGTATACTTTAAATTTATGTAAAAGTTTATAAAATTATAAACTTTAAAATAATTTACTATTTAGTGACAATTAAACCAGATATTAAATTATTCAAGGATAAATTATAACTTCTTTTTACCTAAAATATTTTATGCTACATTCGCATATTTTACTTAATTTTGGCACATGTAATAACGTAACAGAGTCATTTACGTATTAACTGCCCAAACAAATTAATATAAAATTCTAATTTTTACATTTTAATAAAACATATTAATGTAAAAATATATAGACCCTACAGGTCATACTATAATTTAATTATAATTTAATTATTCTATTAATTTATGTATATTAAATTGACAATATAATCGCTTCAATAAAAAAAATGTATGCACATTTTAAATGAATTCTAGTGTAATTTCTCACGCGTGACATCACCTCCTGTAAAGTGTATATCGTCAGATGACAGTAAAATTCGGATAAGACCAACTAGTATCCTATAGAATACGTTGTAGTGTAAGTCCACCCCGTACCTGTGCCCCTCTAACAGCGCGTAGAGCAGACTAACGCGTCATCATGTTCACCTTTATCCTCTATTTACTCGTGTCACCGGAGCAAACAACGAGTAACTTTTTATGCACCAAACATTTACCCGAAGGCATCAAAGAGGTTCGTCTATATTGGCACCATACCCTTGCAAAAATGCAAACTACAGAAGAATCTTCAGAAGATTACGTAAGGCGACAGGTGACCGATAACGAAACTTTCATACAATTAATCTATAATTCCGAAGATCGATTAATCGATTGCGAATTCTACAATGATCGTAACGCAATAGGAAATGTCAGACACAAATTTCGTGAAGATTTCGAATGCTCGAAACGCCTAGGAGATTCGAAATCGAAGGAGAAATGCTTCGATGTGAATTGTACCCATTTGAACCATATATCTGCCGATTACGTCGACGTATTGGATTATAATGAATTGGAGAAAAACTGTCGCCTCGTCCGTCGTCACGTTCGCCCGTCACTCAACAAACGAAATCGTAGGGATCTCTTTCTGTATCCAGGTACCAATTGGTGTGGTTCTGGAAGTTCCGTACGAAAATTTAATCAATTGGGGTATAATGCCGCTTCGGATCGTTGTTGCAGGGATCACGACATGTGCCCTTACGCTATTCGAGCCTTCACTAACAAGTATTACTTGTTTAATTACAGATTTCACACCGTCAGCCACTGCGATTGCGATGAAAGGTAAACCATTTTTTTTTTAACGAGTAAGAAATTGCTCTTAGATTAATATAATCGAACGATAAGTACGAAAGGCATAGGAATGACACTTGTGCCTGTCCTTAATTTTGAAATAAAACTTTGATTTTTATATATTATTTTTAAACATAAACGCATTATAAATTTTAAAAAAAAATTATTAAAAATAACGTTATTTAACTTACTTAAATGTATTGAGTAACTAAATAAAAATCCATTTAAATTTTTAAAATGTTTAGTACAGTAATTAATAGCAGACCTGTAATAGTGTAATTAATTATATGAAATAAATGCTGTAAAATTGTTCCTTAATTTTTTAAATTTTTTATTTAAAATTTAATTTATATCATTGTTATTGAGTAGCAATTTATGACGATAAATGCTAAATTATACTAAGAAGTGCTATTATAATATAATAATTTTTAATTTGCATATTTTATTTATTATATCTGAAACTCATTATTATATTTGTGTATGGAATAAAGCACGGATTCCAGTGATGATGAGGAAAAAGAAATCGTTCCTCAGTAAACAAAATGTTGCAAATTCTTCCCAAAATACACTTAGGCCTAATTAAGGCCGTGTGGCACTGAGATTTGAACAACCAACTACCCAACAACCCAACAAAAAGTCTACTTTTTTTTTAACTTTCTGTAAATATTGAAACCACAACTCTTTTATAATGAAAAGAATTGTGGAAAGTCAGATCAACTTTCAAGATGGTGTCACGTAGTCGAAACAAAGGACAAAAAGTACCGCATATATTTTTTGTTCTTCTGACTGTCGTATATGAGCTAATACACAACTATAATTTATTTTAATTTATTGTAGTAGGCCTACAATATGTATCCTAACCGGTTTTAAGACATCAACTATTTATGATCAATTCAATCAATTTCTTTTCATTCCGATTTCCAGTACCGCCATTTTGTTTAAAAGAATCGTATTGCAGATTTGTTTGTTGGTTACAGAGGTGCACTCAGAATTTACTCTTGGAGGGAGCAGAGTTGAACGGATAAAGAGATTTTTTAATGCCAATTCTATAAAATTCCCACCTTATATAATTGATAATTCATAATTGAAGACACCACAGAATGTAAATAAAAATAAATTTTAATTAGGAAAAGATTTTTGAAAAATTGTCTACTGTTTATTTTCCTTTTTCTTTGAAGGGGATCGGGGCCCCTTGGTCTTCGTGGGTGAGCCACTAACAAAAACTTTCCCTTTAGGACAGATTAGATGTTCAAATGGCTTGATAACGAGAACTATCAGGCATATTAAAAATTACCAACTTCTACCGATAGTCTTTTATTTTTAGTTGGAACTGATCACATTGGTCAGTGTGATACGGACTTTAGAAACACTTAGAAGTAATAAGGAACACATATTTACAGACACTTAAGAGCATGCTTAAAATTACACGAGAATAAATATTTAGAAACCCATATGAAAATACATATAGAAAACTTAAAAAAATACACCTAGGAATAGATTTGTTTGTAGTTAGATTAACTCCACGAATGAATTGTAACACGAATCTAAGAAAAACAATATAAAAACGTATTTACCTGTTTTAAATATATATAGATAACGGAATAGATAGAGGTGAAAATTTGTGTCAAATAATTCGAATCAATTCAAAGTTAAATACAGTACTATTTTATTGTGTTCACAGTTTTATATTTATAATGAAGCGTGGATTTCGATATTCCTTCATACATAATTAATGATTTGCTTATTTTTTTGAAAATATATAACAAGGTTTTTAACAAACACGATTATTAGAAGTGATGAAAAGACCGAAATACAAAATATTTGGGACTATTTAAACAAGTTAAAAATAATAATAAAATTATATTAATAAAGATTGTTAAGTGAAATAAAAAAACGGTTTACCCTCACATTTGAAGCACTCATATAAATCTATAATGCCTTCATAGAACTTTATATTAAATTTTTTTTAAGTAAACGCCTTAAACCCCATTTTATGAGTTATATTTAAGTCATCCGCATCATGATAATTAAAAATTAAAAATTAATTTTTTAATAGAATTGCTAATATAGATTAATGAAATTAATGTTATTCATAGTTCTAATCATTAATACTTGATATTTTTTCTGATATTTAATCAACGTTGCAAACGTTTACTTAAAGTAAACATTAAAAAAACAAAAATATTTACTTTAAGCAATAAAATTAATGTGTTTAAGATAATGTGGAATCAAATTAACAAAATATATTTGATTCTTTTAAATTATATCATCATTTAATGATCTTATATTTAAAGTTTTAAAGCGTTTTTATGAGCTTTGGATCGATAAGCGTTAAACACAGTGCAGTATTATTATATTGATTTAAATTAATGCTAAACGGAGTCTGGAAACATTATATTGATCAGAAATCAATTCGAACCCTAAATTCGTTTATAGATTCAAGATTGATTTAAATTTGGGTTAATTAGTATTTATTAAATTCAAACAGCGTTACACCCATTCAATATTGGGGTTAATATGTACTGTCAATGAGTAGCATTAATTTAAAATTAACGTTAGCAGTAAATTAATTCTGAACTGATAACACTAGATTTCAGTTTAAACCATTTTGAATCGATGTAAACCTGTTAGAATTCAATAAACTCTAATTTAAATCAATTCTAACCTAATAATCTTTCGCTCTATCTAACCCTTAGCCACGATACATTTGAATGTGTGTAAGGGTGTTCTTTTGTGTATGGATGTGTGTGCGTGAACGACAGAGAAAGAGTATGTGTGTGATCAGAATAAAACGGTTTTCTGGCCACACGAGAAGGTAATCCTTACACTTGTTACATCGAAGAGGCTTCGTTATCGCTCCCCCTCAATTCAAATGTCTTTCTGGGGAGCGACTGCGATTACTAATTTTGTTTCTGCTGTTCCTTATGTTGGGGTGGATATTGTTCTAATATTATTGATTTAAATTAGCGTTAATAAAGTTCGGGATAAATTGCATTAATTTAGTGTTGAACGAAGTCTAACATCATTAAATTATATTGATTCAAAATAAGTTTTAACTTTACTTTTTTCTTTTATCTTTCAGATTTCGTGCCTGTTTGAAATTGGCCAATTCGCCGACAGCTAACATGATCGGAAGATTATATTTTAACATAGTCCAAACCAAATGTTTTGTATTCCACACTGAAAATATCTGTAGCAAATGGTCTTGGTGGGGAAAATGCCTCCTATGGCAAAATCAAAATAGGGCTCTACTCAAAGCCTCCCCTTATTATTAATTGACTTTTTTAAAATCGAATTTCATTGTATCGAAATCCAATAAAGAATTACATTTTTTTAAAAAATATTTTTATTCCGTTGTTTATATAAGATAATAAAAGAAAAATATATAACGTGACTTTTAAGATTGACGATTTAAATATGTGTATATATAGGCTATATTCAAACACGAAAAACCGCAATCGATTACGTGACGTATTTTACGTCACGTATTTTTTTTAAACACGCTTAACCAATACGTTAAAACCGATTCTTTTACGTTTTGTCCGTTGGAGGGCGACACCGGATCTGTTACACGGAATTTTTTCGTCGAAAATGTGATTACTTTCCTTCAAAATTTAAAATGTCCGTCAGTCAGTAAGTATTTTAAACAATTATTTATAAATTTTCGTTACGATTTAATTCATTTCCGGCTTAAATAAAATCAAATTATAATTAATCGCATCACGTTTAACTGAGTTAAAAAACAAACGTATGTAATCCAATTAATAAAATAATTCATTAATTTCACATTTAATTAATGCGAGTGCAATTTGTAAGTTAAAATCAACTTATATTATTTTAATTTATTTTAAAAATATGACAATTAAATTATAAATATGGCTTTTTATTGAACCCCTGGCAATGAAAAGCCGCTGTTTATAAAATATTTATGGGTGGCGAAGTGCGGAGTTGCATTTTTTAAAAGTCAATTTAAGTACCAGTCAATTATAAAAATTCATTTTTTATGTTGTAATTCAATGTTTAAAGTCTTCTATTTTGTTAAGTTTTCAATTTTTTTACGCCCGCGACTTCCTTTATTTCAAATCAGACCAAGTACCGCTGCTTCCGAAGAAATTTACGATGATGATTCTAAGGATGAAGAAACGAGCATCAAAGTTGTGGTTAGGTTGGTATTTTCCTTAAGTTTTTTAATGATATTTCTATAAATCTAATGTTGTGAATACGTATAGGGTACGTCCTTTAATGAATCATGAGAAAGGAATTAATGTGCAAGCTGTGCAATTTCCGGCAGCGGGTCAGATAATGGTAAATTTATTTATTTATGAAGATCTTGTTTACTAATTAATTGATAATTTTAAGACGTTTCTGCTCCTTCAGAAGGTTTATTCTTACATAACGTCTCAGTTAATAGTTATAATCAATTTGACTTAACTATTGAAATGAAAATTGATTTTTTCATGATGAAAATTGCTCTTGAGATCGATTGAAATCAATGAATAAGAAACGGAATGAATTGGTGATTGCTCCAATTTTTAGTGTAATCCATAGTAAAAGAGTTGTTAAACACATCATAACTTTTCTGTTCATTATTTTATGGATTCAATTGTGATTTTTAACACTTTGCTATAATACCATGTACAAGTAGCATCAATATAATGGTGTGGTAAAGAAAGAATAGCATCTTAAAAGAAAATCAAAGAAAAGCGCGTTATTAAGCAATCACTTTTCCTTTAAGATCTTTGAACATCTTCAAAGATCTTAAAGGAAAAGTCCTTTAAGGTATCTTTAAAGTATCGGAATTTAAAGGTTTCTTTAAAGATGCCTTGAAGGAGTTTAAAGATACCGAATCCTCAAGAACACTAAAGATATGTTAAACAGTCTTAAGATTGGCAAAAAGCATCTTATTTAAAATATTTTTTGCCAAACTGCCAAAAATGACATTTATTGTAACTAAAAAGTTAGCGTTACGTGCCAAATTGGTACCCGACACAACAGTTACTATAAAGGATTTAAATAAACAAATTCGTAACTAGGTAATACGTGTGGATAAATCTATAACAGTCAGAAAGTATTATAGGCCTACGTATGCCTTTCGTGATTAATATTCGCTCCATATATCAAATTTTACATTCGCAATTTATGAACATTTATAATTTATAGAAACTTCTACGGCATCGAAAACGTCAAATAATTAATTATTATGTCCTACCGCTATATTTTAATTTCGCTTATAGATTTTGGTAATTTTATTATTATTTATTTATTTTTTTGTCTTGTTAAATTTTCGGCTACAATACTTCGTAATAACATAACTGACGAATGTCAGTACAGGATAGATTTTTGACCGATAGATCGAATTTCTTCTGGATATTTTCAAAGTAACGAGCAATAATTGGCTCCATGTTTAATTTTTTCTCGCTTCGAACCTCTTTATCCTTCTGTCGTTTTGGCAATTCTCAATTTGAATCTGATCAGAATTATGAATCCTTCAGATAACGATAGGATTTTGAGTCATACCAAGTGATTTTTGTAGGAGGAGCAATGATGGAATAAGGCAACGCAACACGTGGGCGATATGTAAAGGGGAATGCCTCGCAGGAGGATTTCTAATCAGTGGCGTGCCGTGACATTTGATGATAGGGAAGCTGTGTTTCTGTAAGAAGCCGACTTCCAGAGGCAATCAGTTAATTCTCTAAATGTATTTTTAATAGGTTATTTATCTGACGTACTTAATAAATAAACAAGTTCAATATAATTACCTCTGTNGTGTAGTGTGTGTGGTATCACACCTGTACAGGAGAGAACGACAGGTACAATAAGCACCCTATCCATCCTCCACAGATGCCTTATTTCCTGGGCGAGTTCTGTGTACTTGCTAATTTTTTCAGTGCATGTGTTTTGTACATTGTGAGTGTTTGGAATGGCTATATCTATAATGTATGTGATTTTATTGTGTTTGTCAATGAGTGTGATGTTTGGTCTGTTGTGGTAAATTGTTTTATCTTATTATTATTATTATTATTATCAACCCGTCTCGATTATATATTAGATATCGCTTTGTAATGAAACGTACTGTACATAAAAGTAACATAAAATATTCTTTACTCTTTAAATCTTAATCGCTTAGTCAAATAGCTCCCTACGAGTGGAATCGGAGACGATCTTGGTAGGTGTGCAGTGCATGCATGCGTGCCAAATCCCGAGGGTGCCGATACCGGTTAACGTCAAATGCCTCTTTTGTCGCATCACTAGTATATCTCAAAGGAGGCGACAGGGTTGTTGTAAATTTTAAACGTTTCTCACCATAGCTGTAAAAATCTAAATACGTTAAACTTAATAGATTGTCCGTCGTTTGCTTCCTAATTCATTTTAGGACAGGTGTCCACGGAAATTCCAAACTTTACAACTTTTCGGTCACTCTCATTGAACTGGAAAAATTTCTGTTTATATTACGTCTAATATTGCGAATAAATCGATCCCCACTGCACTCGGCTAGAGACTGGGTCGGTTAAGCTTTTAAGTAATATTCCAGCTCTTTCAGCAAGGTTTTATTTACGTCCCTAATTCCCTAATGTCTTAATTATTTAACTACTTCTTAAGTAGAAATAAGTCGAAACCGGTTACTTTGTACTCGAATATTTGTAGTCTCGGGAGAAAAGTGGAAAGACTAATTTTTATGACAAACGGATATATAAATCGTAAATGTAAGGAAATAAATGCTAGAGCTTTTTCTGTACCTGGTGCATCTCTCTCATTCATTAAATTTAGTCGTAAATGACGTTGTCGAAGTAACGGTTAATTTTTTAACATTATACAAGAATTATACACGTTTTTTTCTACGTCCCCTTAAATATGGGACATACGAAATCGTAATATAACTGGGTTAACATCGAAATCCGTGAGTAATAGAAAATCAGAGAGTGGAATAAAAATATCAAATATTTTAATGGATTTCTTTTAACTCCCGTCAACTATACAGAACTATCGTAAAACGTACCAGTAAATTCTTATCGGTAGGGTTAAGTTATAAATCTACTCGCGATTCGCGTAATCGGGCGAGGGCGGCCAAATATTTAGCGGGCGGGCGGCTAATGGCCCGGATAGAATCGGATGCGGTATATGCGTAGCGTCCACCCGAGGTCCTAGGCTTCCGCCGGCTAAACCGGGTGAGGTCGCTGCTCCGTAAAGCGCGTACGCGAATCTGGCTTTTTGGATGTCGACGATACGGCACTTCCATTGCTATTGCCGACGATACGGCAATAGCAATCTTATCTTTTTTTTCACGCGTAGTATAGAAATTTGTAATAAGATACGTAACGCGGTTGTAATAAAATATTCGTATAATTAAAATTAATATGTATTTATTTTTTAGACAATACGAGGGAAGCGGAGCATCCACCGCTTCCAATGACCGCACGCCAATGTTTCTAATNTGTGTACACGCACACGGGCTGCCAAATCCCGATGGTGCCGATACCAGTCAATGTCAAATGTCAATAGACGCGACAGGGTTCTTGTAAATTTTAAACGTTTCTCACCATAGATGTAAAAGTATAAATATGTTAAACTTAATAGATTGTCCGTCGTTTGTTTTCTAATTAATTCGTTTTAGGACCGGGTGTTGTCCACGGAAATTTCCAAAATTTACAACTTTTCGGTCACTCTCGTCGAACTGGAAAAATGTCTCTTTATTACATCTAATGTTTCGAAGAAATCACTCCCACTGTACTCGGCTAGAGATTGGTTCGGTTAGGCTTTTGTTTAAGTAAAATTTCGGCTCTCGTCAGGGTTTTGTGTCCCCAATTCCCTAATCGCTTAATTATTTAACTACTTCTTAAGTAGAAATAAGTCGAAACCAGTTACTTTGTACTCGAAAATTTGTAGTCTCGGGAAAAAGTAGAAATACAAATTTTTATGACAAACGGATACATAAATCGTAAATTTAAGGAAAATAAATTCTAGAGCTTTTTCTGTATTTTGTGCGTCTCATTCATTAAATTTAGTCGTAAATGACGCTGTCGAAGTAACGGTTAATTTTTTAACACATTATACAAGAATCGTACACGTTTTTTTCTACGTCCCCTTAAATATGGGATATACAAAATCGTAATATAACTGGGTTAACATCGAAATCCGCGAGTAATATAAAATCGAAGAGCGGAATAAAAATTTCAAATATTTTAATGGATTTCTTTTAACTCCCGTCAACTATGCAGAACTATCGTAAAAACGTACCAGTAAATTCTTATCGGTCGGGTTAAGTTATAAATCTACTGGCGATTCGCGTAATCGGGTGAGGCCGGCCAAATATTTAGCGGGCGGGCGGCTAACGGCCCGGATAGAATCGGATGCGGTATACGCGTAGCGTCCACCCGAGGTCCTAGGCTTCCGCCGGCTAAACCGGGTGAGGTCGCTGCTCCGTAAAGCGCGTACGCGAATCTGGCTTTTTGGATGCCGACGATACGGCAATAGCAATCTTATCTTTTTTTTTCACGCGTAGTATAGAAATTTGTAATAAGATACGTAACGCGGTTGTAATAAAATATTCGTATAATTAAAATTAATATGTATTTATTTTTTAGACAATACGAGGGAAGCGGTGGATGCGCCGCTTCCAATGACGGCACGCCACTGTTTCTAATGAAAAAATGGACCCTATTTAGATGTTAAAAACAGTCTAAATCCGCCGTGTCCAACCCGCGGTCCACTCAATGTTTTTGTGCGGCCCTTTTAAAATAGTAATTATCTTGTGTAGATTTTTATTACAAGGAAATATTACATGTATAGTTAAATACATTAATATGATGTATAACACGTTATCACCTACACTCAAAAATTCAAACAGTTATTAAATATTTTTTAACAAAGCTTAAAATATATGAGTGAAAATGACCAGAATGTTCCTGAATTATATGATGGAGCTTGATTTATGGATTTGTTATGGAGCAAGCTCCAACAAATTTGCAGATAGATTTAATAGATCTCCAGTCATCTTCTGAATTGAAATGTATGTTTGAGGCCAATGACAAAGTTCAGTTTTATACAAAATACTGTAATGATAAATTCCCTAACCTAAAAAAACTGGCGATGAGCATTACAGTTGCAATGGGAATCGCATTAAAATACATACAAAATACTGTATAATTGTATAGGTTTTGTTGTAAATAAATATGTGCGGCCCACAGTGTATTTTCATTTTTGGTTTTGGCCCAGTAAACAATTTCGGTTGGACGACACTGGTCTAAATAAAACTCCACGTGTCCAGCCCGTTGGTCAGGTGCTAACCCGCAACCAACTATCACTCGCCCATTGGTTTGCACGATTACTATAGGATTATTAGGTGTAACTCATAGAATTTTGTATTATCTTCAGCACTGAATCTTCATCAAGATTCTGAAACCTATTGTATGAAATAGTTAAGTATGACAATGAACAAACTAATAAGGATTACAACAAGATTTTTAAATCTAAACTAGAGATTTATGTAAATGTCACTCTTATAAATTATGTCTTCATGAAGATTTATGGACCCTGAAATTTGGCTGCCATCAACAAGATTTTAGTAATCATTCCTACAGCATTTCTTAAATTCTATAGACGTCACTAATTAAAATATAAAGGAACCAAAATTTGAAATTAGAATTTTGTTAAACCTGTGCAATTTGATTATTTGATGTTCGGTTTAATGTAGAAAAAAAAAATCTTTTAGAATTCAAATATCTTACCTTTTACCTTTTTAAATCCAAAAAAAGAATTTAAGATATGCGATTGTATATTTTTAGATGGAAGATCAAACGGCTAATCAGTCACATATATTCACCTACAATGTAGTTTTCGAACCAGAAGCCTCGCAAGAAGACGTTTTCGAATTTTGTGGCATTAAAAAAATGATCGACATGGCACTAGATGGGTAATTATCATTTATTTTCAATTATTTAATTTGATAAATAATTATTTAAAATATGTTTTATAGATTTTCATGTACAGTATTCGCATATGGCCAAACCGGCGCTGGGAAAACCTATACTCTGACAGGATGTAATCATGTACATACTTAATACTGACGTTAATTTCATTAAAATAATCATTTTTATCTAAAAATTTACTTTTTTATATATATACGTAGGTAGAAAATAACTCTTTGAAACAACAAGAACCCGGAATTGTACAAATGAGTTTTATTTATCTCTTTAATCAAATAAAATCAAGAACTGGGTTAGATTACGTGGTTCAAGCCTCCTATTTAGAAATATATAGAGAACAAGTGTGTTGGCTTTATATAGAAATTCCGTAAAATTTACATGAAAATATATTAATTTAATCATCTCTCAGGTGCTCGACCTTTTGAATCCTTCAGATAAAGCTTTGTCTGTGAGATGGTCTAAAGAAAGGGGTTTTTACGCCGAAAATCTCTTTGTAGTGGAGTGTGAAGATCTTGGAGATTTGGAAGGAGTTCTAGAGGAAGGTAACGTCAGCATTTCTATATTCTTTCCAATATCTTATTAACGTTTACTTTTATTTAACAAGGGCAGAAAAATAGACAAGTGCGTAGCCATACGATGAACGAGCATTCCAGTCGTAGTCATGCGATGTTGGCATTAATGCTGACGTCAGAAATTTGCGATCCCGACGATCCAACAAATTTCATACGACGTCACGGAAAACTTTCCCTAGTCGATTTAGCAGGATCGGAAAAAACTAAAAAGACAAACAGCCAAGGAGATGTTTTGAAAGAAGCCAACAATATAAATAAATCTTTACTCGTTTTAGGTATTTCATTTTGCAAAATGTTTAATTTTTTCAATTTTTTTTTTAGAATTTTAAAAGTATTTGAATTTAGGAAATTGTATCTCCGCCCTGTCCGATCCAAAAAAGAGAAATGGGCATATTCCGTATCGAGATAGCACTTTAACTAAGTTATTGGCTGACAGCATGAGTGGAAGTGGCATGGCTCTTATGGTAATAATTACTTTCTTATTTTTTAATTAATCTTTTATCATGAAGAAACCTTAACTCTATAATTTATAAAGGGGGAAAACAAATTTTATGAGGCATTTTATAAACAAGACAACTGCAAATGATTTGTAGTGTCTTCTAACTAAGCAAATTAGTCTCTTGATTAAAAAAAATAAAAAAAACTTTAGGAAAGGGTTGCGTATCAACAGATACCGCGTAAAAGAAGATTCTTCTGTACAACAATTTAATTGTACAATAAATTCATTTTATAAATTTACTGATTATGGTCGAGAATACTCTTAACTATATATAAAAACCGTTAATTGTGTTATTGCCATTGACCAAATTAAAAGTTTTATAACTTCTATTCGTACTTTTCGCAATTTGTAATAATTTATTTACAATAATTGTTGTATTAGTATTATTCCAATTTTCCGCAAAATTCTTTAAAGTTATTATAATCTAAGTTTTTACGTGAGTTAAACAGTGAACATTAAAATTAACATTAAAATATCTGTATTACTGTATTTATAAAATGCTTAAAGCAGCAGTAATTAGCCTTTTCGTCTTCAACAAAAAAAAAAAAAGTTAAAATCGAATAAAAATATAAAATTTTCAATAAATAAGACTATTTTTGTGTGAGAAAAGTTTTAATAAAAATTAATGTATACAGATTGCTTGTGTCTCGCCTCATAAATCGAACATTCCTGAAACGTTAAACACGTTACGTTATGCATCGAGAGCGAAAAGAATTAAAACCAAACCCGTAATTATTATGGTAAGTATTTATATTTATAATCATTTTAATNTTATTATATCTGAAACTCATTATTATATTTGTGTATGGAATAAAGCACGGATTCCAGTGATGATGAGGAAAAAGAAATCGTTCCTCAGTAAACAAAATGTTGCAAATTCTTCCCAAAATACACTTAGGCCTAATTAAGGCCGTGTGGCACTGAGATTTGAACAACCAACTACCCAACAACCCAACAAAAAGTCTACTTTTTTTTTAACTTTCTGTAAATATTGAAACCACAACTCTTTTATAATGAAAAGAATTGTGGAAAGTCAGATCAACTTTCAAGATGGTGTCACGTAGTCGAAACAAAGGACAAAAAGTACCGCATATATTTTTTGTTCTTCTGACTGTCGTATATGAGCTAATACACAACTATAATTTATTTTAATTTATTGTAGTAGGCCTACAATATGTATCCTAACCGGTTTTAAGACATCAACTATTTATGATCAATTCAATCAATTTCTTTTCATTCCGATTTCCAGTACCGCCATTTTGTTTAAAAGAATCGTATTGCAGATTTGTTTGTTGGTTACAGAGGTGCACTCAGAATTTACTCTTGGAGGGAGCAGAGTTGAACGGATAAAGAGATTTTTTAATGCCAATTCTATAAAATTCCCACCTTATATAATTGATAATTCATAATTGAAGACACCACAGAATGTAAATAAAAATAAATTTTAATTAGGAAAAGATTTTTGAAAAATTGTCTACTGTTTATTTTCCTTTTTCTTTGAAGGGGATCGGGGCCCCTTGGTCTTCGTGGGTGAGCCACTAACAAAAACTTTCCCTTTAGGACAGATTAGATGTTCAAATGGCTTGATAACGAGAACTATCAGGCATATTAAAAATTACCAACTTCTACCGATAGTCTTTTATTTTTAGTTGGAACTGATCACATTGGTCAGTGTGATACGGACTTTAGAAACACTTAGAAGTAATAAGGAACACATATTTACAGACACTTAAGAGCATGCTTAAAATTACACGAGAATAAATATTTAGAAACCCATATGAAAATACATATAGAAAACTTAAAAAAATACACCTAGGAATAGATTTGTTTGTAGTTAGATTAACTCCACGAATGAATTGTAACACGAATCTAAGAAAAACAATATAAAAACGTATTTACCTGTTTTAAATATATATAGATAACGGAATAGATAGAGGTGAAAATTTGTGTCAAATAATTCGAATCAATTCAAAGTTAAATACAGTACTATTTTATTGTGTTCACAGTTTTATATTTATAATGAAGCGTGGATTTCGATATTCCTTCATACATAATTAATGATTTGCTTATTTTTTTGAAAATATATAACAAGGTTTTTAACAAACACGATTATTAGAAGTGATGAAAAGACCGAAATACAAAATATTTGGGACTATTTAAACAAGTTAAAAATAATAATAAAATTATATTAATAAAGATTGTTAAGTGAAATAAAAAAACGGTTTACCCTCACATTTGAAGCACTCATATAAATCTATAATGCCTTCATAGAACTTTATATTAAATTTTTTTTAAGTAAACGCCTTAAACCCCATTTTATGAGTTATATTTAAGTCATCCGCATCATGATAATTAAAAATTAAAAATTAATTTTTTAATAGAATTGCTAATATAGATTAATGAAATTAATGTTATTCATAGTTCTAATCATTAATACTTGATATTTTTTCTGATATTTAATCAACGTTGCAAACGTTTACTTAAAGTAAACATTAAAAAAACAAAAATATTTACTTTAAGCAATAAAATTAATGTGTTTAAGATAATGTGGAATCAAATTAACAAAATATATTTGATTCTTTTAAATTATATCATCATTTAATGATCTTATATTTAAAGTTTTAAAGCGTTTTTATGAGCTTTGGATCGATAAGCGTTAAACACAGTGCAGTATTATTATATTGATTTAAATTAATGCTAAACGGAGTCTGGCAACATTATATTGATCAGAAATCAATTCGAACCCTAAATTCGTTTATAGATTCAAGATTGATTTAAATTTGGGTTAATTAGTATTTATTAAATTCAAACAGCGTTACACCCATTCAATATTGGGGTTAATATGTACTGTCAATGAGTAGCATTAATTTAAAATTAACGTTAGCAGTAAATTAATTCTGAACTGATAACACTAGATTTCAGTTTAAACCATTTTGAATCGATGTAAACCTGTTAGAATTCAATAAACTCTAATTCAAATCAATTCTAACCTAATAATCTTTCGCTCTATCTAACCCTTAGCCACGATACATTTGAATGTGTGTAAGGGTGTTCTTTTGTGTATGGATGTGTGTGCGTGAACGACAGAGAAAGAGTATGTGTGTGATCAGAATAAAACGGTTTTCTGGCCACACGAGAAGGTAATCCTTACACTTGTTACATCGAAGAGGCTTCGTTATCGCTCCCCCTCAATTCAAATGTCTTTCTGGGGAGCGACTGCGATTACTAATTTTGTTTCTGCTGTTCCTTATGTTGGGGTGGATATTGTTCTAATATTATTGATTTAAATTAGCGTTAATAAAGTTCGGGATAAATTGCATTAATTTAGTGTTGAACGAAGTCTAACATCATTAAATTATATTGATTCAAAATAAGTTTTAACTTTACTTTTTTCTTTTATCTTTCAGATTTCGTGCCTGTTTGAAATTGGCCAATTCGCCGACAGCTAACATGATCGGAAGATTATATTTTAACATAGTCCAAACCAAATGTTTTGTATTCCACACTGAAAATATCTGTAGCAAATGGTCTTGGTGGGGAAAATGCCTCCTATGGCAAAATCAAAATAGGGCTCTACTCAAAGCCTCCCCTTATTATTAATTGACTTTTTTAAAATCGAATTTCATTGTATCGAAATCCAATAAAGAATTACATTTTTTTAAAAAATATTTTTATTCCGTTGTTTATATAAGATAATAAAAGAAAAATATATAACGTGACTTTTAAGATTGACGATTTAAATATGTGTATATATAGGCTATATTCAAACACGAAAAACCGCAATCGATTACGTGACGTATTTTACGTCACGTATTTTTTTTAAACACGCTTAACCAATACGTTAAAACCGATTCTTTTACGTTTTGTCCGTTGGAGGGCGACACCGGATCTGTTACACGGAATTTTTTCGTCGAAAATGTGATTACTTTCCTTCAAAATTTAAAATGTCCGTCAGTCAGTAAGTATTTTAAACAATTATTTATAAATTTTCGTTACGATTTAATTCATTTCCGGCTTAAATAAAATCAAATTATAATTAATCGCATCACGTTTAACTGAGTTAAAACAAACGTATGTAATCCAATTAATAAAATAATTCATTAATTTCACATTTAATTAACGCGAGTGCAATTTGTAAGTTAAAATCAACTTACATTATTTTAACTTATTTTAAAAATATGGCAATTAAATTATAAATATGGCTTTTTATCGAACTCCTGGCAATGAAAAGCCGCTGTTTATAAAATATTTATGGGTGGCGAAGTGCGGAGTTGCATTTTTTAAAAGTCAATTTAAGTACCAGTCAATTATAAAAATTCATTTTTTATGTTGTAATTCAATGTTTAAAGTCTTCTATTTTGTTAAGTTTTCATTTTTTTATGCCCGCGACTTCCTTTATTTCAAATCAGACCAAGTACCGCTGCTTCCGAAGAAATTTACGATGATGATTCTAAGGATGAAGAAACGAGCATCAAAGTTGTGGTTAGGTTGGTATTTTCCTTAAGTTTTTTAATGATATTTCTATAAATCTAATGTTGTGAATACGTATAGGGTACGTCCTTTAATGAATCATGAGAAAGGAATTAATGTGCAAGCTGTGCAATTTCCGGCAGCGGGTCAGATAATGGTAAATTTATTTATTTATGAAGATCTTGTTTACTAATTAATTGATAATTTTAAGACGTTTCTGCTCCTTCAGAAGGTTTATTCTTACATAACGTCTCAGTTAATAGTTATAATCAATTTGACTTAACTATTGAAATGAAAATTGATTTTTTCATGATGAAAATTGCTCTTGAGATCGATTGAAATCAATGAATAAGAAACGGAATGAATTGGTGATTGCTCCAATTTTTACTGTAATCCATAGTAAAAGAGTTGTTAAACACATCATAACTTTTCTGTTCATTATTTTATGGATTCAATTGTGATTTTTAACACTTTGCTATAATACCATGTACAAGTAGCATCAATATAATGGTGTGGTAAAGAAAGAATAGCATCTTAAAAGAAAATCAAAGAAAAGCGCGTTATTAAGCAATCACTTTTCCTTTAAGATCTTTGAACATCTTCAAAGATCTTAAAGGAAAAGTCCTTTAAGGTATCTTTAAAGTATCGGAATTTAAAGGTTTCTTTAAAGATGCCTTGAAGGAGTTTAAAGATACCGAATCCTCAAGAACACTAAAGATATGTTAAACAGTCTTAAGATTGGCAAAAAGCATCTTATTTAAAATATTTTTTGCCAAACTGCCAAAAATGACATTTATTGTAACTAAAAAGTTAGCGTTACGTGCCAAATTGGTACCCGACACAACAGTTACTATAAAGGATTTAAATAAACAAATTCGTAACTAGGTAATACGTGTGGATAAATCTATAACAGTCAGAAAGTATTATAGGCCTACGTATGCCTTTCGTGATTAATATTCGCTCCATATATCAAATTTTACATTCGCAATTTATGAACATTTATAATTTATAGAAACTTCTACGGCATCGAAAACGTCAAATAATTAATTATTATGTCCTACCGCTATATTTTAATTTCGCTTATAGATTTTGGTAATTTTATTATTATTTATTTATTTTTTTGTCTTGTTAAATTTTCGGCTACAATACTTCGTAATAACATAACTGACGAATGTCAGTACAGGATAGATTTTTGACCGATAGATCGAATTTCTTCTGGATATTTTCAAAGTAACGAGCAATAATTGGCTCCATGTTTAATTTTTTCTCGCTTCGAACCTCTTTATCCTTCTGTCGTTTTGGCAATTCTCAATTTGAATCTGATCAGAATTATGAATCCTTCAGATAACGATAGGATTTTGAGTCATACCAAGTGATTTTTGTAGGAGGAGCAATGATGGAATAAGGCAACGCAACACGTGGGCGATATGTAAAGGGGAATGCCTCGCAGGAGGATTTCTAATCAGTGGCGTGCCGTGACATTTGATGATAGGGAAGCTGTGTTTCTGTAAGAAGCCGACTTCCAGAGGCAATCAGTTAATTCTCTAAATGTATTTTTAATAGGTTATTTATCTGACGTACTTAATAAATAAACAAGTTCAATATAATTACCTCTGTTATTAGATTCAATAGATTCTCTATACATAAACACACGAGAA